ATGTGTGTTTCTGCACTGTCTGATGTCACGCTGTATTATATTTATATAAAGCACAAATCAGGCGGGGGAGCGGAGAGAGCAGCCAGAGCTTTATATATCTGTCTGTGTGCGTCGGTATTATTTTCTGTGAGAAAACCAGAGCTGCGTCTTTATTTAGCAGAATTGAATCAGTGATCAGAAGTGCGAAATATATATAGCTATATCACTCTGTATATATATATATATATATACATATATATATATATATATATATATATATATATATATATATATATATATATATATATATATATATATATATATATTGTAATATATTAATGTAACAAAACTTTATTACAATTAAAACCTCTGCACTCATATTAGGTATTCATAATGAATTAATTGATTCATAACAAAATAAAAAATATACTTATACAATATAAAGTAAAAGTCAGCATGTCCCCTGTTTAATGTTTATTCATTAGGGTATTATTATTTTGTTTGTATCATCATTACTATCATTAGATGGTGCATTAATATGTAAGCAACACTTTATTGTTGTAGCTGCCCGAGGTAATGCTAGTTTGAAGTAATTTACAAACTGTGAGTGTTGTCCTGTGGTTTCCAACTTGTGGGTCACAGGAGAAATGAGTCACAGAGTGATTAATGAGAGAGGAAAGAAGAGAAAACAAACAAAGTTAGGCTACTCTTATTCTTGGATGCGGGTTACAGACTACCATGTGTTCCTTGGATATGTAGTAGAGTAGATATATAAGATAAAATGATCTGTCCATTGATTATTTGTGTGTTGATCGCAGTGGTTAGAGATGCTAAACAGTTGCTAAACAGAACAGTTTCATGAACAAGCTTTTATTCATGATGTGTATCACTGTAAATGGAATAGGTTCTCCCTATTTGGTGATGTGGAAATGGCCTGGAATTATTTTCATGATCATTTCCTGAATCTAATAAATAAACATGCTCCCTTTCGGAAATTCAGGGTGAAAGGGCGAAATAATCACTGGTTTCATCCAGAATTTGGAAATCTTTTAAAAGACAGAGATGCTGCATGGGCTAGAGTTCGGAAAACAAAATCTGACAACGACTGGCATTACTTCCGTGAGCTGCGTAACAAATGTACGTCCACGATTAAGAAGGCAAAAGCTGAGTTCTATCTAACAAAAACCACAAGAAATCTAAATGATTCAAAGACATTTTGGAAGGTGGTAAAGTCGACATCTGGTGCTGCTGAGCAAAATGAACTACCAAATTTCTTGGTGCATGGCTCTATCAATTTGACTGACAACTTGTCAATGCTAAATTTCTTCAACGAGCACTTTGTCTCTGTGGGTCATTTATTTGATTAGGAAAACCCTAAACAATTACATTCCGATATGAGAAAGGAGTCTAAGGATGAGGCTGTAAATAGCTCCACTCAGAATTTGTGTTACCCTTTTTAGTGATCTCTCTAAAGCTTTTGACACGGTTGATCAAAAGATATTGATCAGTATCTTGAAAAAAAAATTCTAACCATGCATCTACCTGGTTTGCTGATTACCTGTCCAACAGGACTCAGTCAGTCCAGTTAGCCAATGCCACATCATCCTCACTTGAGATCACTAAAGGTGTGCCTCAGGGCTCGGTCCTAAGACCTATTTTATTTTCTATTTATATAAATGATCTTTGTGTAAATGTATCAAATGCTGCCTATCACTTTTATGCTGACGACACTGTTATTTATTGTTGTGCATCCTCTGTTGTGCTTGCATTTGAGTTGTTACAATCTGCTTTTAACGCCGTACAGGACTGCCTACAAAATCTCAAATTGGTTTTAAATGCCAACAAATCAAAAATCATGGTGTTCTCTAAAGCTCCTTACTCAAATGAAAATATATCTTCTGTAAAAATTGCCTAAGGTAACCCAATCGAGATTGTCACCAAATATAAATACTTCTTTTAGATAGGGAGCTTTCTTTTAAATTATATATTGAAAACCTGGTAAAAAAAACTAAGACTAAGGAGTGGCTTCTTTTACAGAAATCGCTTGTGTTTCTCTTTGAGAGCGTGTAAACTGCTTGTCTCGTCAACTTTTTTACCTTTTCACTGGCTGTGGTCACCTCAAACATCACTGTCAGCTTTATATGACGTCTGGGTGGCCATCTCTGAGCCCTCAGGGAGAAACTCACTGGTTGTCCTTGATCTATAAGGCTCTCCTCGGTATGGTTCCGTCTTTTCTATGTTCACTCCTCCGTGGAGCAGAAAACCGGTACGCTTTAAGGTCCAGTGATATTTACTGCTTGTACATTCCACGAGTGCATTGGGGAATTGGGGAAAAAAGCATTCAGTTTTGCCACCCCATCAACATGGAACAATCTCCAGGCTGAACTGAAATTGTCTGAACTTGTATCTTTTAATGTTTTCCAATGTCTCCAAATGGACAGACAACAAAAATCTATTGAACGGTGCCTCTGCTTTTGACCATTTTTTCTTTGTATTTTATTTTTAACTTAATTTGTATTGTGGTTTTACTCATGTCATGTATATGTATTTTATGGCTGTATTTTATGGCTGTTTTTTAACGACGTGTGCTGCTGCCTTCTTGGCCAGGTCGCCCTTGAAAATGAGATCTCAATCTCAATGGGACTTTTACCTGGTTAAATAAAGGTTAAATAAAATTAAATAAATAAAATTGATTTCTAGGACCACGGTGTGTGATGTTGTGGGCAACGCGCGAAAAGCAGTGGATGTGAGAACGGAAAACGCCACAAAAGACGCGGCACACCTGGACGCCTTCTGTATCAAAGACAGAGGTCAGTAAACCCACACAACACACAGTACACACAGATATATACACTCATCGTTTATAATGATCTTTGCCTAAGTACGTAATTAAGTTACGTTAATTTATTTTTTGAGTTCTTGACGTCCTCTACTTTCAACACTCTTACAACCCTCCTAATACATTGTTTGTCAATGTTTCCATTTCTATATTTGCCATTAACACTTTCATACATAAAAAACAGTGCTTGAGAAAACGTGATAAGAGCCTTTGCCTTCACATTTCAGAGAAGCGGAAATTGTTAGTCCATAAATGATGGTAGAGATTTCCTAACTCTCCAAAAGTTAATTATATGAGATCACCCTATTTAAAAAAAAACGTGCATTTTGAAAAACACCATTTAAATGTCTTTTTGTAAAGGTTTTTATTTCAGAGAGTAAATACAGTAACTGAAAACAGAAGAATATGTAGTGAGCAGTTTTTTTTAGGCCATCAACATGTTATTACTTGTCAAACAATCTGTGTTGCCTCTATAAAATTACCGTGAAAAATGAGACCAGTCGGGTCAATACGTAGCCTTTATCTCATCCCAGTACATTGTTAGGCGTCCTGTTTGTCCCATTAACATCCACATTCTCCACAAAGCACATTACTTCCTGTCCCTTGAGTCACTCTAATCTCTATCTGTTTACAAATGGGATAGTGATGAGGCTAAGCTGCATAGTGATTATGAGCCGTGGTTCATTAAACACACTCGGCAGTACTGAACAGGGTTTGCATCGTCACTATTGAACCTAAAACATTTATATCACACTTTGCATGTTGTATTTCCTCAGGACCACATGCATGTCTGTGTTTTTTGTCGACAGGTGTGCCGTGCGGTGACCCTCCATCCTTTCCCAACGTACGCCTGCAGGGGCACAGTGGGTATGAGATGGGGGACGAGCTGCTGTACACCTGCGTGCCGGGTTATGCGATGCCCAGCGGACACAGTGCCTTTAGCCTGCTGTGCGACAGCTGTGGAGAGTGGTACGGACGCGTGGAGATATGTGTCAAAGGTAAGAAGGCCTTCAAAAGTTGCTTCAATTGTTTCGAGGTTGGAACGGAAATGAAAAGAGCTTCTGGTGCTGCGGCCCAAATTGTTTTCTTTAAATCCCTGGATGTTTCAGATTTTTTAATGCCTTCAGCTTGACTCCTGGTCTTTTGGGGAAACAGAGTATCTGTTGTGAGTTGAGAATGGCTGCTGTGACACCCCAGTGTGACATGCCATAGGGTGGCCATAGGGTGGCCCAGTTCATAGCAGAGGGAGAAGAGCTGTATGTGAAAGCAAAATGTCAGACCTGTGCACACGGTAAGCTGACAGGGTGGCAGCCATGTTTGTGTGCTGCAGGAGCCGTGCCTGAACTGAAGGTCAATCTGAGGGATCACGAATTAAAAAAAGAGATTAAGAGTATTTTGACATTTACTGTTGAGCTTTGACAGCCAATTGAGTAAATGTGTCTGTGTCGTGTTTCCCCAGATGAGACTGAAACTCCTGTGGACTACGAGGAAAAGTATTCCTACGGAGAGACAGAGCGCCACAACGAGAAACCAGAGGAGGCTCGTGGTCAGGTGTTCAAGGAGATGCACAGAGCCGCACACCAGGAGGAGGGACGGAGTCTGGAGCAGCAGGAAACGAGCTTCAGTGTCAAAGTAGAGCAGAAGCATCAAGACCAACATGGAAAGCGTGGTGTTGGGGCAGAAGTGATTGGCCAACCATCTGAAGGAGCTTTAGAAGAAGCAGAAGAAGACGAGTCCCGAGTTGTTGAGGACTTCGTAGCCCGTCCGCGGGGAGAGCAGGAGGTGGTTGAGACCAATGGCGCTACAGTCTCTTCTCTCTCCCAGAAGCACCTCTTCTGGTTCCCCCCCGAGGCCTTCCAGGAGGAGGGACATCCTGTCTCCGGCAATCCAGTCACCGAGACCACACAGAGAGTCCCGGGCGGCCAATCAGAAGAGAGTAAAGAGAGTGACAGCCAAGAAACGCACCACCACCAACGTCCAGCTGATGACCACGACCACGACGACCTTGACGACGAGCGAGACGGCCGCGATGACCCGGACACGGATGACCGAGTTGACCACGACAACAGCGACCACGAAGAACCGGATGGCCACAACGACAGCCGCCATGATGATCTAGATGACCATGGCAGTCGCCGGCACAAAGACGACGACCATGTGGGGCATCAGATTCCAGCTCGGCACGATGACCTGGACGAACGTGACAGCCGCGAAGATCATTACGATCACGATGATCACGCCGACCATTATGACATGGGTGAACACGAAGAAGGCCGCGATCGTGTGCGCAGCCATGAGTACGGCGATACTTACGATGAACATGATAGCTACGAAGAACGTGACAACGTCACCCACAGTCGCGGTGGCGATGGCCGAGAGCATCCCGACGGCTCCGAGGAACACCTGGAGCCTGATGCCCGTGAGGAGCATTATGACCCAGACGAGGAGGACAACGACCGTGACACTGACCACGATGACCATGAACACGATGATCACGACAGCTACGACGATCACGATAGCCACGAAGATGATATTGACAGCCGTCAGCACGTCATATCTTCTATAGCGGCGGATGAACGTCAGAACGGCACTCAGAAGCGAGCGAGAGGAGAGGCCGCCACAGATGACACCTGGCTGGACGGCCACCCGGTCGTTCAGGAGGGAAAAGAAATGGGCGACTCCACAACGGAAGGGCTACGACTGGCTGATGCAGAGCGGGGGACAATCGTCAGGGCAACAGACAGACCCAATGAGGTGGAAATCCGTGGACCGGGCCATTCCACCAGCCCACCACAGGTGGCTAAGTCCTCCACCACCACGACTCCCTCAAATCAGGAAGGAGCAGACGAGCCGTGGCATGGCTTCACCCTCGACGCTGCCCCCTCACAGCCCTGGGACTCCCCCTCGTCCTCCGACTCCCTGGACTACGATACACAACAGGCAGCTCCCACCCACTTCTGGCAGGGCGACCTCACCGAGCACCCCTTCCTCGATCCCGGCCCGGTTCCACCCATGCGCGACGGCAACGGCGTGGTGACGGGAGAGGACAGGGTACACAACCTGCCCGGTGAGGCGGGCGAGAGGGGTGAGATGGAGGGAGAGGCGGGGGAGGCGATCTGTACAGGAGACAACTGCCCTCCCCATCCACCGAGCTCCTCCAGCCGAGGTCCTACGGTGGCGGCAATAATAGTGGCGTTGTGTGCGGTCGCCACGGCGGTTGTCGTTGGGGTCTGGTGTTACCGACGGCAACAGCAGAAGAGCTCCATGTACGAGATGAATGGGAAAGGCCAAAGTCAGAACCGACAGGGCCAACACATAGAGATGCAGCAAAAAGTGTAAGAGTGAGGAACGAGGACAGAGGGACATTGACGTAGAGCAGAGACATTTAGGAGGGATGGGAAGATTTGGAAGAATTTGGGAGGAAGGCACAGCCACTCAACTTGTTAGAAACTACTGCATAATTTGAGGTGTGAATGGATGGGTTTGTTCAAGAGCACCTATGTGATGCAGAAACGTGTGTAAAACAGTAAGAGCTGATGCTTAACACAGTGAAGACACTAGATCCATTTTAAGGAATTTTGGTCATCTGCATTATACCTAAATGCCAAAATGAAGCTCTGACCTCTGGATGGACATCTGGACTGGACTTTACTCCAGGAACTGAAAAGGGTGACATTAAGGAAAACCACAAGAAGGCTGCCTGCCCACCTGAATATATGAACTGAGACCTCAAAGCTCTTGGACTGTATGTTGATCAAGCTGCGTTGATCTCAATTCCCCATCTTTTTGTCACTGAGTATTGTTTTGCTTTGAACTGCATTTGAACTGTTACTCCAACACTTTGCAGTAGGAGATTTGGGGCAGTTGGTGGCAAATTAATGGCTAAGCTTCTGTTGAACCAACAATAACAAAAAAAGGATGATGAGGATGATGATGGTTGAGTGTCTGTTTGTGTGTGTGTCTCAGGTCCGCGCAATCTCCCGGTCAACAATATGTCGTGTTTACTCACGGGATTCAGAACCAGAGATTAAACAGTATGTGGCTGCGATGGCAACAGAGAGAAAATGAAATAAGTTTCATTGTTTGCCGCCATCGGGCAATGAAATCCATGATATCCTTTCAGGATACTGTTATTCAAGCGGCATCGGGGTCTGGTTGAACGTGCGCACGCTCATGCTCTCCTAGTGGGAGGAGCCGAGCAGAGAAGAGCAGAGGAGCAGGAGGAGGGCTGTATTATTGAGTTTGGCGTTGGTGCCGAACTGCAACTACTGCATCTTTAAAGGAGTAATACCAGTTTGACAGATGTTGACGTTTTAGGGTCTTAAGTTCAAATGTACTTGTGTTAATATTAAAATGGAATTGAAGCCAATTTGTGTTAAAATTAGAGCTCATGCCCTAAAACAAATATCATGATGTGGTTATATTTAGCTAAATAATGACAAATGTAACCCAACATTTTTTCAGTACATCAATGGGCTATTTTTAGCCATTTGTGTTCTTTTCTCTTTGTCCTGATAAAATGTGGTGTGTGGAGTTTAAGAGGATTGGCTGAACTGGAATGGGGTGAATCTGTTAACACTTACAAATTTCGACAATTTGCAATTTTGCATTTAGTTCTGGTTTGAATTGTACATTGGATTAATTGTCCAGTCCTTGTTCAAAAAATGATTTTACAGTGTACCGTAGCTCTGCATGATATGGTGATATTTGTTTGTGCTGTGTTTGTATTGTGCCAAATACATAAGGTAACAATAGGTCAAATATTAAAAAAAGAAAGCCTCGTGCAATTGTAAATAAATTCAAATAGCCATAAAAGGGCTTAAAATTTAAAATTAGATATTAGAGTGTTATACTGGGTATTTAGAAAGACTGCAAAAAGTACCGCAATAACTTAAATAGAAAGTGCTTCACTTGTAATTAATTATCTATGTTAAAATTATAATTTTATTTTTCCTCACATCCAGTTTTTTCAGTTCTGAAAATTGTATTTCTGATGGTGTTATTTAGTGACATATTTAGTTATGAAATACGTGCTTGTTGAATGTGGATGGTTTAAGGGAATAACAGTTAATATAGTTTTTCTAAAGATATCTCACCTATCTTTTTGATTTCCGTATTGTCGTGTCTGAAGCTGAATGGACACTAAAGTCAAGATGTGGCGAGGCCAAAGGGAATAAAGCACACGTGTGTTTCTATAAATATGAATCTTTAACTGTAATACTTCACTGGCCAGGGTGACATTCAAGCACAGCTGACATTTATTACCTCTTCATGTCTCTCACAGCTCAACTCCAATTTAGTCAACTGAATGTGCTTGAAAACAAGTACAAGTACCGAATGGTCCATCACGGAGGAGTGTCTGATCACACACCAGGTGATCCGTAAACACCGATCACAATCAACGTATAAGAAAGCAAAGCACTCCTTTGGACATTGTTGGCCCTCATTCACATGTCGCTTCCTGTCTGTTTCTCCTTCATCTCAAACAGCGTGATGTGTGTGTGTGTGATGTCAGGAAGAGATGTGTACTGTATTTGTGTCACAATAAACTGCTTAACATGTGGTATCAACTCTTGAGATGTACTTTTACACGGTTTGCAGCCTCGGCCTCTGATTGAATGGTCCACTGTTCCGCCCATGGCCGCGTGTGAGAGATCGACGTTTAGTATTAGGGTGTGACTTTGACCCGTGACCATAACTCCTGACAATCAGCCTTTTATGTTAGCGGTTACCTAACCCACCCCTGCCTGCTGCTCTCCCCCATTTCTGTGTGATGTTTCCAAAAATGTCTTTTTTTAAACAAAGTAGAATGTTTAAAGAGAGGTCAGATGAAAGGAAAGCATTGGCAAAGGGAGAAAACGTGGGAATGTAAAGGGACGGCTGAATAGAGGCAGCAGAGAAATGAGAACGCAGAGTCAGAGAGAGACGAACAGTAACACAGCAAGAATTTTCCCCTGTGGGGTTTTTACATCACCGTGTGAAAAACTGCACAGAGACTCAATGTTCAAACATTATTAAACAACTCTGTGTTTTTTCTGGATGTCTCCGTGCTCAGAACAGACAGGGCTCATAGCCATCTTTGCTGTATAGATCTCTCGTCAAATAGTAATAGACTGAAACAGAATATTATTCAATTGATAAATTAATTACTTTTTTTGTTCTTCAAGCACAAATACCAGACAATTTCATTTGTCATTTCATGAACAAAAAACATAAGCCTACTGTTACTTACTCACAGTTATAGCTGCAGTCCTCGACTAAATAGATGTTACTCGCAAACCCATCACATCCCCGTCACCAGCAGCTGTAGTACCATAACACACTGTACTTTACTGGAAACACATGTTTGTCGAGTTTTATTATCATTTCATTGGCTGACAACATACATGATTCACAGTGGAGGAACGTAGCCATATAACAGTAAGTAAAAATATTTCTATCTTTATTAACATCATTATGTTTAAATCGGTTTGCTACTATGTCCATACCACTGAACTAGATGTTTAGTGGACAAAACTGGAAGTAAAAACATATTCAGGATGCGGCTCTGCAGGTACAAACACAGTGACCAATCACAGCCTCTTGCAAAACACAATAAATACAAACTGGAAGAAGGTGGGGTGGGGGGGTGTTGGTGCCGTTTCTTTGCGAGTCTTTCAGTGTTTCGGTGGTATTTCCAATTTGGGAAATTCGTCTTCATCCAGGAATTCGTCTATAAACTCCAGCACCTCCCCCTGCAGACGCACGAAGGAGAAACAAATGGAATTCAGGAGGGTCTGTTTGAAGAGCACGCACATTAAACATCTGACTCACAGTTCCATTGGGGATATGTCACCTGGCATAACTAAAGAGATAACAGCCCAGAACTGACAGCATGGAATCCTGGTTTAAACCCGACAGGCCGGTGCTGCGTCGTAGGAATTTAAAGAAATGTCTTGCTGCCACCTGATGGCCGTCTGTGACGTTGCAGCTTGATGAACACAGAGCCCGGTTTGTACTGCAGGGCGTCATGTGATCAGACTGAAGAATCCATCATTTTCAAAAATGACTCAAGGATGGAGCCGTCGATGCTAACACACTAACACACAAACAATGTGTACACATGGGCGCTCACCTCATCGTCGCTCACAAGGCGCTGCCTGGAGAACTCCAACATCTGTAGCTGCATGGTGGTCTGATTGTAGAACCGCAGGGCCTCCTGTGGCAGACACACACAGCAGGTAAAACATGCGTCATAGGGAACAGAAGACACAAAATAGAGGACAAAGACAGACTGGATCCGTCCCCCAAATCTCACCAACATGGAGTGACTTTTTTATATCTAAAGGGAATTAAGTGCATGGCCTTTGTAGTCATTGACATGTCTCACAGCTCTGGGGAGGAAGTCCTCCTCCGTCAGCTCCCAGCGGCTTTTGTGGAACTGGTAATAGGCCACGTTATTCTTCATCACTTCATCGTTGGGATCAAAGAGCACGTAGCTGGCTGCACACGGCACTGCGTTCTTCAGGTCATTCACTGAAAAACAAGATTACACGACTTAATCCAGAGAATTCAGCCATCGTGACGCAGCAGCCGTTGGGACAACTTGCCGTACCTACATTTGTAATAGGCAAACTGCAGGTAGTGGTACATGGTGGCCACAAAATTCTCCACCACAAAGCCCCCTACGACAGGTGTCAGCTCACTTTCACACTTCACTTTCCTGTCGAGGACCTCAATGTAGTGATCTGAGGAGGAGAAATGTTATGATGCGATGAAAAATAGATTCTGTTTAGGCATAAGTAGAAAGTGTTGGATAAAAAGGTTAATTAAATCACATCAAGAAGACAGATGCAAAAAGTTGGGATTTTGAAGGCAGGTATAGATGGAGAGAAGGAACAGAGGTAGCCGGCTACACGTGAACTGACCGGCTATGGAGGGATAGAAATCTTTAAAATCCTTCACGTCCCTGGGGCCCTCCGACGCCGCCAGACACTCGTCATACACCTTGAAGAAATCACGCAGGGACAGCTCCATGTCGGACACCGAGGTACGGAAGTTCTCTCCGTTGTACGCCCGCACTGCGCGCACAAACAGGGTCTGCAATAACACACACAAACACAAACGGGCAATATTGTTTATGGCGGACATGATTGCATTACTGAAGCGCTCCACAAGGTTAAACTTCCCTTTCTCATTAAAGCCACTGGCATTGCTAATGATCCGTCATGCTTCTCTGACCTCTGACCTCTGACAGGAGCAATGGTTGCAAAGGGAACATTCAAAAAGACCTCTTGAAGGACTGACACATGACCTTGATACTCCCTCATACTCCCCGCCGTGTTTTCCTCTGAGACCTCACAGAATGAACGTTCTGACATTTCAACCTTAAAAATGTCGCAAATTATTTTTGCATTGTTTCTTGAAAAGTTGATTGTCGTTAATGTTGGCGCCGTGGTATTTGAAAATGTTAATCTTGCCATTTGTTGTGAAACCATCCTGAAAACTGTCCATCGTCAGAAGGATGACTTTGATCAATTCTTGCACCGGGCTCAGCCTCGTTTATTAGGTGGAGGATGTCGCTCCACTTTTGGTTTCAAAAGGTCGGTGGCCGGTGTCTCTGCAGAGAGGTTTTGTACTTGTGGCCACAAATGGCCATAATATTTCTGACGTCAAAACCTCAGATCAGATTCTGGTCGCAGTATTTAGTGCATTTCTGCTTATTTTTTTTTTGCTTAGTCTGGGCAACATTATCAAGCCCTGTCAAGAACCACTAGCGAACCGCAGACCCTATTTTGGGAAGCGCTGGTGTCTATGAATGACTCTCCCCAATGATGTGGCCAGCCAGCTCACCACAGGCTGCAACTCCACCCGCACGCCCACCGAGCTAATGAGAGGGTGGTCTGTGTATATTTATATGGCTTAACAAAGATGAGAGCATGGTTGTGTGTCCGTGTGCGTCTGCCTGCACCTCATAGGATTTGGTCTCCAGGTCTTTGAGGTGTTCGTCGGCTCCCGGCAGACTCTTGTAGTAAGCCATGTTCCTCTGCATCATCTCATCATTCGGGTGTTTCAGCAGGAAGGTGTGGGCAGCAGACACCGCCTTGGCCAGGTTGTCAGACTGGGGGGAAATAACAAAGAAACACTGAAAGCAGCGGCTCTCTTGTACATATTAGTTGAGAAAATGATACAACTGTGGTACACTATGGAGTTGTTAAAAGGTCTTGATTATTCATAAATAATTACAGAATAACTGATTGAAAGACTATTAGAAATGAATGTTTGTTTTGTCGATTATCAGGTAAAGTCCAAACAAATAAGTATATACGGTTTTTAATCATAACCTGCCTCACCTCTGTTTCCATGGAAACAGAAGCCTGACTTTAGGCCCAATTATTTCTCCAACCCTTCACACTAAATGAACCGGGATTCCGAACTTGGTTCCCTCACAGAGATGATGACCAGTTATAGGCTTATTTTTTTGGCCTTTCAACTACTTCTAAATCGGGAGGACAAGACGGCCCAGGACGTCCTGCCGGGCAAAACCAAAGTACCAGCTCCAAACGGACCTGTGCATCCGTGGCACGCAGGTGACGTCACAACGCAACAAACAAACACGCATAACCACGAGCACGACCGCGGCTCGGAACCGTCGATATAAAAACAAAAAAACAAAACACGTGTCCGAAACTCACTTTGAAGTAGGCGTACTGCAGGTACTTGTACGGCTCTCTCTCCTCGAACTCCACGACGGTGTCCCGGCTGGGCAGGGTCTGCCTGAAGGCGGGCAGCCCCTGCTTGCAGCGCTTCAGGCACTGCGCCCTCTTCATCACGTTGCCGAACGCCCGCAGCTCCGGGAACTCCGCGAACTTCTGCTCGTCCTCCAGGCGGACGGAGCTGCAGTTGAGGTTGCAGAAGGCCTCGCTGTCCCGCAGCAGCCGGTAGAGCCGCAGCGACACCTCCATGTACTCCACCGTCTCCTTCCACTTCTCGCCGGTGTACTGGTCCAGCGCGTACTTGTACGCGGACTCCAGCGGCATCAGCTCGTGCCGGGGGAAACTCCTGAAGCTGTACTTCTCGTACTGCGAGTTCACCGCGGAGATGGAAAGGACCGCGAGCACGAGCGCCGAGAAGAGTCGGGAAGAAGCGGAAGGTGCCATCTTTTTTTTTGTTAGTTCTTCCAAGTTTAATGGTGGACTGCGGGAGTTGTGAGCGTGTGTGCGTGTGTTTAGGACCGCCTCAAGTTCCACGACGTATCCGGGCGAAGCTTCCCCACCCCCGGGGGCGCCAGGTTGGAACGGCTGCTGCAGCGGGTGGAGCTGCTCCTCCCACTAAAACACAGACACGCACACACAACAAATCACTGCTCCTGTAGCAACCTGACAGAGAATATAACTTTCTTTTTACTTTAACTAACACGGCAGAGGGAGGAAACCCAGTTCTACGTATAAATAACGGATTTATTTTTTAAACTTCAGGAAGGACCAAGAGTACATTACTCTTTATTAAAACTCGTCTCCTCTGCGTCAACAATTAAACCCCTGCAGGGAGAGGACGACGGGACCCTCCCACTGCCACGTAGAGACATTCCTGTTCAGTCCCCCCTCCTCACCCCCTCACCCCTCACAGGGCTGAACCCCCCCCTGCACAGCAATGGGGATCAACGTGGAACGTCATCTACACACATGCTATGTGTTCTGCTCGTATTAACTTGTTATACAATATTTTTGTGCATCGTTGGGATTTCAATGGGTCCGTGTGTGTGTGTGTGTGTGTGTGTGTGTGTGTGTGTGTGTGTGTGTGTGTGTGTGTGTGTGTGAGGGGGGAGACCCCTAATTACGTTACCACGTTGACACATATCAGGGGCTTCACTGCGCAGGAGCAATACGTGGTGCCCAAAACTACCCCGTTCAACCCCAGAGGGCGTCCACGCAACGGGAGAGAGGCCGGATGCGAAAGGACATGTACGAGTGAAATTTCAAAATAAAAGCCCAACACGCCATCGAAGATTGGTTCGCACTTGTTCGTGTCTCCCAGAGGCATCGCCTGTGGTATATGTCCAGACATGTATAGCTGTGCGTAATTAAAAATAGAGATGATACGTAAAGAAATCGGCTTCTGAGCGTTACATTTCAACCGGAAGTTCTACCGTTTCGTCTGGCTTGACACGTGGTCGTGCCAGCTCTGGGAACTTCGGGGGGGTTAGGACTTCTATCCAAGTCGGAGTAGAGGAAACCGGCGGTCAACAGTGAGCCAGCACAGATCCCATTATCTCCATCGTCCGAGGGTTCCGTCGCCAGTGAAAATGACCCAGTGCGTGCAGGGCATGCTGTATCTGTCGGTTCTGGTGGCGTTCGCCGCCTGCGACGCGCCTCCGGTACCGTTAGACGACATCTTAATTGAGAAAACTTTCGTGCCAGAGCAGTGTGTGCGCGCAGTCAAAGTGGGCGATTATGTCAGGTACCACTACAACGGCATGTTTCCGGACGGCAAGAAGTTCGACTCGAGGTGAGTGTCACGCGGGGGGAGAGCGTTTATATTCCCTCACTTCTCGGTCGGTCCGTGCACAGCAGACGCGGGTGCACGCTGGGAATTGGCGTGCGCGATGCGTAAAAGTGCGCGTTCGGTGGTTCGCCCTTGTGAGCCACGCAGGCAAGCTGCCTGAACGCTGAATCCATGTATGCTAAGCCCAAGGGCCCCGCAGGCTTTTCATAACCACAGGACTGTAACCGTAGGCCCCTGTTTGATCCGGTGCAGTTTCCCTGCTACTAACGTATTATTATTATTATAAATATATGCTTGATCACACCGGATTTATTGAAACCCCAAGTCCTCTTGCTCACGGGGCTACCTGCTTCCAGGATATCTGAAGGTGCCTGATCTCCACTTTGGGAGCCTCGTTGACCCCCGAGGGCCCAAAAGCCAAAGATTCATTTTTTGTTCAGTCAATTGATGAACAGCACAGTCTGCACTAAAGTATGCAGTACAGTGTTGGCTAACTGTATGACCTTGTCTTGTAGAGGACCCCTTTGCTCATATATATATATATATATATATATATATATATATTCCAAATTAAAGCAAAATCTTGTCATTTGTATCTTACCAGGATTATGTGTGTTTGATCTCAGAACATCAAAGGAAGATGGTGACGTTTAGATCTCACATCCTATAGAACATGTGTGCAGGGACAAAATGACAGCATAATTTGCACAAGACACGTTAATACTCCATTTTCAGTCCCTGTGGATAAATCTTAACAAAAACTGTCAGTGGTGAAACCACTTTAGCAGCATTGTAAATTGTTTGTATGCAGCTATATAAAAGAGTCGTTCCTGTCCTTACAAGTACGTACGTACATACAATACTGTTTTTATGTGTTCCAGCTACGACCGTGGCAGCACCTACAATGTGTTTGTTGGCAAGAAGCAGCTGATTGCAGGGATGGACAAAGCTCTGGTGGGGATGTGTGTCAACCAGAGAAGCCTGGTCAAGATCCCACCTCAACTGGCGTATGGGAAACAGGGATACGGTGTGTATTAAACTTCCTGCCTCATAGGAACTGTCCTGGCTGAGTGTCCTGAATCAGGCAGGACAGAATATAAAACGTTGTCCAACACGTGTGTTCATTCCTCCGGGGAGTCATTGTAAACACGCAGACGAGAGAGAGTACGGCGCCCGGCAAGGCTGACGATAAACAACGAGAGGAATTTGGTGGGACAGTAGCGAGAGCAGGAGGGACAAAAATGACTCTGCAGGAAAGTAACATATTGAGTTGTACCAGAGTGAGTCGCAGCAGGGAGAGGAAGTGGGCTGCTCCTAAGCGTCCATGTTTAATGATGTCAAACCAGGAAGCCGGTCAGAGGAAGATGCTTTTTCAGCCGGTAGTAACTACACTGTAGATGTCAGAGCATTAACGGATGCAAGATAAACTTTACAAATCTTCCTCCTTTTTACAAACGTGTAGAAATCTGAAAGTGTTTGTTTCACAGAATCTTGATATATTTACTTGTGACTGCAGTGATGAGAATATAAAATGTAGACGCTCTTGTTTACTTGTAAAGAGAATGAAATATTTGGATAAAGGGACAGAACGGAGGGGAGGAGGGACGTGTGCGGGCAGGTAAAAACAAGTCTGAATCAGAGAAGTTTAGTTAGGAGAGAGGACAATATAGAGGGCAGCATTCGGAGGAGGTAGATGGAGATTTAACTGGAAAGAGGCCTGACGTGAAGGTTGAAAGGCCGCCGGCCACACATTCTTTGCGCTCCTCCCCCGCCTTCCCCCTACTCCCACCGCCTAAGCTTCACCCTCTTCACCATATCCGTCTGCTGTATGTTGGTTGAGCTATGAAGACTCTAAAGGCAGGGACTCGTGCTCACGTTTGAGATGCTGGTGAGTGGACAGACTGTGCAGGACGAGGCTACAAGGCACGTTTCCACGTGCAGAAAGGAAGGAACAAATAATGATTTTAAACATCACACTGCCACGTTCCATTGTGAGAGTGATTGATGCAAGAGATTCAGATCACAAAGCACGGCGTGCTGACTTGATCTTCCTCTTTACCCCTCCAGGGGACATCATCCCTGCAGACTCCATCCTCCATTTCGACGTCCTGCTGCTCGACGTGTGGAACCCGGAGGACGGCGTCCAGATCAAAACCTACCACACACCCTCAAACTGCTCCAGGAAGGTCGAGGTGTCCGACTACATTCGCTACCACTACAACGGCACCTTGTTGGACGGCACGCTCTTTGACTCCAGGTTTGTCCCGTGCAATAGTCCCTCACTCACACAGACAAATACAAACACATATATGTAACCCCCCCCACCCCCGGTTTGTTGCAGCCACACCCGTATGCGCACCTATGACACGTACGTTGGGATTGGGTGGCTGATCGCTGGTATGGATCAGGGCCTTTTGGGAATGTGCGTTGGAGAGAGACGCATCATCACGATGCCGCCGTCCCTTGGATACGGAGAGAACGGAGACGGTGAGAACGGGCAATTTCTTCACTTGTATGTTTGCGTGTCAAACTTCCCCAGATACACTTTTACTTTGTTTTCAGTCTTTGTCCAAAGACAAGTTAACCGGCAGCTGTCAGTATCTTTCTGTTTACACACATAAAGACATCAATCCTCTTATCCATTTATTCCCAGAGAAAAGGAAATAATGACTCACAATAGAAATATTCCCTTATAATACTTTTTTATTTCTTTATACAGTATTTCTATTCATTACTTTCAATATATTTAATTAACATATTGGAATAACTTCCAACAATAAAAAGTAAGATATAAAAAATCCAATATGAGGGAGACACTGGTCACTTTTGATGAATCCCTTATCGCCAGATATTTCAAAAAGTACCGTACAAAATGAATCAATATTTTGTAGTTCCTGAACCCTTCTATCTTCCCGCTTCAGGGAGTGACATCCCAGGACAGGCGTCCCTGGTCTTTGATGTGGTTCTCCTGGACCTCCACAACCCCAGAGACGGGATCGCAGTGACCAATCAGATGGTACCCGAGTCCTGCACGAGGAAGTCCGTTGCCGGAGACTTTGTACGCTACCACTATAACGGCAGCCTCCTCGATGGGACATTCTTTGATTCCAGGTGTGTGTGTTTAGTCTTCATCGTGTTAACCAGGCAGAAAAAGCTTGTGGTAGATTTGGTTATAAATGAGAAATGAATGTTTAGTATCTGTTGTTCTTAAAGTGGCCTCAGAGTGGCAGCGTCGCTGAAGAAGTTGTGGGAGGTGAACTGAAACGTTGTTGTCTGCAGGACTCGTGGTGCATCCTGTCAATAGCTCAGACGGTTCTATCCGCTGCTTCCGTTAACAGACTTTGTTAGTTCAGACCAAGTAGAGATCCTCTCTAATCCGTGTAGGGTATCAATGACATTTTTTATTCCTGGCTGTCGCTTTAGAAAATCTCTGCTAGGATGACAGGAAATATATCAAGCAAATAATTGATGCTCATCATTCTGTATGTGTGTGTCAGCCAAAAACACCAATGCATCCACCAAAACAAACACAGCTCAATCACAGTGGTTTCATGGATTTCTCAGGACTCCTACATTCCTGTTTTTCACGTTTCACATTTAGTTAAGTGATGTTCAAATGTGCTCTAACTGTATATGTGATCTAAATTACATCTCAATTTATGATATGACAAACTATTTTTATATCTCCGACTGAAGATAACAATTCAATATTTTCTGATCCACAGCTACTCTCGTAATCGTACCTATGACACCTACGTGGGTCGAGGCTACGTGATCGCCGGCATGGACGAGGGCCTGATTGGAGTCTGTATCGGAGAGAGACGCACCGTCACCATCCCGCCACATCTCGGCTACGGAGAGGAGGGCACAGGTGTGTGTGTGTGTGTGTGTGTGAATGGTTAGATTCCTCTATCATAAAAATATCCACACTACTGAATGCCAAAATGAGCAAGCACAAAACTGTTTCTTCTTGCAGGCCATCTATATATAATGTATATATATATTTATGCAGATTATTAGTCAGTTTCTCAGTGTATGTCCAGTAATCATCTCATAACCATTTCCATGTATCTCCCAGGCTCTAAGATCCCCGGTTCGGCCGTCCTGGTGTTTGACGTTCACATCATCGACTTCCACAACCCGTCGGACAACGCCGTGGTCAACGTCACTCACAAGCCGGAGGAGTGTGAAAAGAAAACAAAGAAGGGAGACTTTGTCAAATACCACTACAACGCGTCTCTGATGGACGGCTCATCCATCGACTCCACGTGAGTGAACATCTGTGAGACGCTTTCCGGACTGCTGCAAAACCAAACTCTTCAGTTGAGGAGAAGATTTGCATAATTTCAGATTAAGTGTTGAAAGTTCCTCACCGGTTATAGGTGTCCCAAACGTTTCCTAAGATCTGTTATTTCAAAGCTCAATGTCCCTTGGGGGCGCTATTGTGATTCAATTCATAGATGTTTAGAGGCAGTAAGAAGGACACTGTCGAAACTAACATGATATGTGTGTGCCTCTGCTTTACTTGGTATCAATTTGTTTCAGATATAATTATGGAAAGACCTACAACGTCGTCCTGGGAGCCAACCAGGTAGTCCCGGGGATGGAGGTGGGACTGATGGACATGTGTGTGGGCGAGAAAAGGCACCTTGTTATTCCTCCTCACCTGGGCTACGGGGAGCGAGGAGTCCGTAAGTCACACACGCAAGCAGTTAGCCGGAGTCTGATGGGGACCAGCTGTTTCCCCATTTCCATTCCATTCCATTTTGAGATACCATGTTTAACTCATAAACTACCATAAACCCTCTTTTGTTGAGGTAACAGTATAGTATCAGTAACACCGATGGGTAAAGGAAAAGTTTACCTTGCTGGGGACAGCAAGGTAACTCCTTTCACAGCACATTTAAGTGTCAACCACTGTAGCTCCAGCAAGCTAATTCCATGTGTGTGTGTAGTTGACGAAGTTCCAGGGAGCGCCGTGCTGGTGTTCGACATCGAACTGGTGGAAATGGAGGACGGGCTTCCCGAAGGCTACATGTTCATCTGGAACGACGATGTGTCAAACGACCTCTTCACCGAGATGGACAAAGACCAGAACAAAGAGGTGGAGCCCTCCGAGGTACGTGACGACCTCCCGCAACATCTGGGACATCTTCAGACATTTTTTCTCCCTGTTTGCAGCTGTCCACTCATCACAAATGTACCCCACCCTCTGCCTTTTTGGCTCCCGCAGTTCACCGACTACATCATGAAGCAGGTGAACGAGGGCAAAGGCCGCCTGGCTCCCGGCTTCGACCCGTATCGCATCATTGACAACATGTTCTCCAACCAAGACCGCGACGGAGACGGAAAGATCACGGAGGCGGAGTTCAAGCTCAAAGCGGACGAGGACGTCTCCCACGACGAACTATGACGGGACTGAGTGCGAAACGCAGATCAGGGTGACGGCGGGAGGGTCGGAGGGCGGCGTTGTTACACACATGCGGGTGGTAGAGTAGAGAGAAAGAGAGACGGGGTCGCAAGTGTGTGAAAAGTAATCCAATTTTCAATTTGGAAGAATTGGATGATGTTCGAAGGAAGTCTTGGCTTTTAAAAGGGAGGTGAGAGGAATGCGTGAAGGTTTAGGAATGAGATTATTTTGAGTACTGTTGTGTTCAAAATCTTTTAGGCCAGGACGAAGAACTCCAGTGGTTTTAATATAGAAGTTTTGATGCAGAGGCTTCCCGGGCTTTGATAATGAACAGTCCACTGCGGTCTATGCTTCCCGCCAGAGAACCTCGAACACAAGTTTTATACGTTTCACCATGTGGGCGTAGTTGCCTCTCATTGGTTGAAACATGCTTATGTCTGACAGATTCAAACGGGAGCGCTGCTGGCTCTGGGTTTGGTTAAGAGTTGATGTAAAGGCATCGCTTCTTTCCTAGCTGGGCACCATGGGCGTTTAAAAGCATGCTGCTCAGTCTCGTCATCTCCTTTTCATTCCAAAGATAGCTGCTGAACAACATTTGTCATACACAAATCATGATATAGTCACATTCTTACAGAGAGAATGCAGGACTTAGGTCCCAATATACCTTCTGTTGACCCTCCGGGGTCACTGAGAAACACATCCTAAGGCAGACTGTCTTCCAGACTACTTGTACGATTTATAATTTTTCATAAAGCATTTTTATCCCATCATGCATTTACAGGAGATACAAGACATTTCCACACTATTCAGAACTAAATATTGGAAGGACTCATCCGAGGTTAATGATGACGGTTTATTTTTACCTCCACTCTTGTTATTTTTTGTCTTGTGTTACGTAACACCTGTTTTTTATTTTGAAGGGTGCAAAAGTGTGAAAGAACAAACTGAGGCCTCACTCCACAATACCTGCATTGAAAGCTCCATTGTGACATTTATTGTTGTTGATGTTTTGTCTGACTAGTTTATTGATTGAGAGCTAGAAGTTAGAATGATATTTTATTAACATGGTTGACCGCTGATACCTTTTTAATGTGAGGATGCATTCAGTGTTCAATCATCCAAAATACCAGTGAAAGGTCACAAATCCTAAAATCACTGGGCGTTGGAGTCTTTCAATCAATCGAGTTGTTGTATTGCTTGGTTTTTCTGCGTACAAATGTCGACATCGGGATACAATTTAAGATTCTGTGTGCGTGTGCGTTTGTGAAAAAGTGTAATTGTTGCTTTTTGTTTTACTTTTTTATTCAGGAGAATGTTGAGGTTTGTTGCTGAAAATGTCTACACAAAGTTAAATTTGATTAAATGACCTCATCTAACTATACGCCTAGATTGAGTCTGTCTAGTTTTAATTTGACCAAAAGCATTGTCATGTTTTCAGGCTGGTTTAAGCGTTTTAAGTAAACTCCTCATACTTACGGTTGTTATTTCTTCCGTCTTCTTCACAGTTTTTTTATCAATGTTTTTTTATGAGCAATGCGAGTTTATGTCACAGTTTCTGAGGATTCTGTTTAATATCTCAACATGTCATTTGTGTTCATTTAGCTCAGTGATGGAGGTCAATTTCTTACCAGGGCCCCAGATAACCACCTGGCTGAAGTTTCAAAAATAAAAAGCCAAGTGTCTCATTAATATCTCCACTTAAGACCGCTGCTTTATCTCTCCTTATGCTCTTTGGGGACTTCGGTAATTTAGACTTGCTACACAATAGCCTATTTATTGTTGTCTCGGCAAAGCACATTGTTCATTGCACCCACGTCCTTCCTTTAGCACCGGTCAAAATCATCATCATATAATCAGTAAATACATCCTCATCATCTGATGTCGTAAGCCTTTGTTTTTTGTGGAATATTTCATGTTACTAGTTTATTGCTTGCAAGCGAGAGGCCGAATACACGAGCACGTATCACAGTGCTCTGTGGAGACGGCGTCTCCGAGCAGTCAAAGCACTGAGCGTTTATACACACACAAGAAGGTCACTCATAGTGGCCAGTGGCCCACTGATACATATGGAACTAGCTTGTGAAACTTGCAAAGCAGACGAGACGGGTAAAGTGGAAGCTGTTGGAGCAGGCTGTTCCTTTTTGCAAGGGTTGTGTGTGGGAGAGCATGTTGACTCACCGAAACTTTTGAATCATTCTGCTTTTCACACATTAAACTTCAATACAGACAATTATCACTCTTTTACCATAAAATAGTGATATAACATATTTTACCATTACAAGATGAACAATGGGGAAACTAATTCTGATCTTGGTCTCAGTTTAACTTACATGAGCAATTTTTCACAGCTTGTGCTTAATGAAGGTGGACTAGGTGTACAGTTTATATACAACACCTCTCAAATGTTCATCTGCAACTTGGTAAAGTATCATCTTAATTTAAGACTTGCCCCAACTCTGACCACGTTTAAAACAAGACTGAAAACTTTTATGTTCAGCTTTGCCTTCTGCAAAATTTTACCTACATTGCACTTTTAACCTCTGCTTTTAATTAAACAATTTAAATAAGATTTTAATTTATAATTTTATTTGCTGTTTTTAATTGTCTTTTAATTCCTGCAATTTCTTTCACTTTATTGTATGAAATGTTATATTGTGAAGCACTTTGAGTCTGCCAGGTGTATGAAAAGTGCTATACAAATAAAATTGCCTTGCCTTGCCTTAATGGATAAACATGCATCTCAATACGTTTGTTGATCCTAGTTTATATTAATGATGTGATATTTGCAAAATAAAAATTACAATAAAACCAATAAAACATTTAGAGAAGTGGAAGTATAAAGCAGCATCAAATAATTGAAAACATTTAAAATATTCAAAGTACAAGCACTTAAAGGTTGTGTCCAATAGCTCAACACCTGGGTTTCCATACTGATTGCAGCATCCAACCTGACCGTCCATAGAGGTCAAAATAGTAACACAACATTGAAAGATTGCTGTAAGCTGTAAATTCCCCAGTGTTCCAGTGTAGGTGACTTTATTGTGAAGGAGAGACGTGTTCAGGAGTGAGTTTTTGGAGTGAGAATAAAGTTATAAACCCTCGGCTACATTGCCGGCTCGCATTTGGTAATCAACAACAATCTGTATTGTTTACCAAATCAGAACATTCTGCCAGAACTGAATTAATACCCGCTCGACCCCACTAAAGGGGAGCAGCGAGCTGGAAACCTGGAGGCGCGCGCTGAGGGGAGGAGCCGCCCCCCGGTTGGCTCTCTGACGTCACAGCTGCTGCAGATTGGTGCCTCTTTTTTTTTTTTTTTTATGTATTTCCGTAGTCGCACCCGCGCCGAGAAGAAGTCTGCCGCCAGTCAAAGTCACTCGAGACAGACACACTTCCAGAGGAATGCATAGTTGTTTTCCTCTTTCCCTCGGAAGGTCCGGTTAGGACACAGGAAACGGTTTGCTCACGGGCAGCAGGCACTTGTCAACCCCCCCTCCCGGCCGGCATGGAGGGCATCCGCTTCGGCTGTCAGGTAACGCGGCTAACGGCCCAAAGTAACGGTGCGACGTTCGTGTGTGTGTTCCTGCTCTCCTCCTGGCTCCAGCTAAACGCTTCTTAATGTAGTGAAACGTGTGGCGTGGTTTTATTTGGGCTGATGAAAAGCTCTTCATATAGACAAGTTCATTTTCTTTTATCGTGTCGTTGGTTAAAAACAAAAATAAAATGTTTGTTTTTAACTCTACTTGCAGGTCTGCCTCTGCACATTTGAGAAGCTCTTTGAAATGAAGACGCATATGTACTCGCGTGCACATCAACAGGTTCGTGCTTCACACCTTCTGCCACAAGTAACACGTTATGTTTCCTGCCATCTGGTGTTCTGCCTGCCACCGCTCCCGTGGACGGGTACGGGGGGGAGGGGGGGGGGGGTTATTGGTGCACGAGGACAGTAAATCAGACCCTAACGCGGGTCACCTGCCACCAATCAAATCCCATCGGTACAACCACAGGCAAAGCACATCTCGCAGGTCAAATGATCCCTTCTGCACTATTTATTTTCTCTCTCAGAAATATTTATGCACGCTGGCATCAAATAAACAACTTCTCTGGCAACCCTTTTTTGTACTTTTGACTTAATTTCCTAGCCTCATTGTCATTTAATGTTAACTGCATACATTGAAAATAAACCTCATCATGTGCGGGGGACACACACGTTATGCTCCTCTACATCCAAGTTACATGTAAACTTTTACACAGGAAAGAATGGGATCATTATTGTTCAGCGCAGTCACTCTCAGATTATTATGTTTCAACTTTCCGAGCATGCAAACGTTCAATCCAAAAATGTGTTAAACACGACATTGAAAATGTGCCTGGGCAATGAGCGCATGCACACAACTTTTATTTTTTATTTTTTTTAACAATGGCTCATGTGCTCCAATCAGGGCAAACCTGAGGCACCCATCCAATACTATCAGCTGGAATTTTAGGTAGTATCTCCAAAAAGTATGCAGAATGTGACTTTAAAAACACAAGATCAAGAGACGTAAAGTATCTGCACGTGATTATTCTATAGCCCGAGAGGGAGATCGGTCCCGTATTTGTCTCCTTAATGGTTGTGATTCATGAGGCCTTCCCCACCTTAATTCCTCTGCCCGTTTCCTCTCTTCTTACCAACAGACAACCGCAGATGTCTTCAAGCAAGGTAGTTTTTTTTTCATTTTTTTTTTCATTACTTTTACCTGCATAAGTCATAATGATCATTTTTATGTTGAAAAAAATTGTTAATAATCTGTTTTTCTTCTGTAGGTATTGTTCGGAGATTGGGTAAGTCCGCTTCTTTTTCTTGTGTGTTTGATGCTTCTAAACGGAGTTCCTGTCGGTTCAGTGTGACTTGCTATCTTGTGTCCTTGATGCCCAACAGACATTTTGAGTTATTTTCACATTGAGACCAGAGTTGTTTACATCCGTATATCAGATCAATTGGTGTACTAACATGATTCAAGTAACAACACACGTTATTAACTGCTTTAAATGTCATTGTTCTGTGTGAAGAATGATGTCACGTGGTGCCCTGAGTAGCTCGAGTTGAATCATCTTTTCTTCCATTGTGCTCTGCTCCACAGTCCACTTTCCATTGATTGTATTCGTCGGCCAATGGCACAAACGAGACTCCAGAAAAACCGTCACCGGTGAGAAAAGTTTCTTTTGGTTGGTTGTTGAGCTTTTTTCTCATGCGGTACTGTTCTGCTGAAGAAATTCAAATAGACTTTTTGAAGTAATTATTTTATTTTGAATGTATTTTCCTGCAGGCTTGTGTTTGTGTTTCAGTCGAGAGACGAAAGCCTCTTTTTACTTGTGCCATATCTGTGAGGAAAAGCGTCCATCAAAGAATATTTTATTCCACCTCTCGTCTGTGGACCACTGCGTAAACTACTTTGTAAGTGTGTGATATCATAAAAGTTAACGACAATTTGAAATTCGGAATCACAATTTCATTGATATTTTGTATTTTTAGAGCTGCAAAAACCCGAATGTACTGAATTTCTCCTGGATCCCCACCAAGTATGTGGATAAAATGTTGAGGCCCCCGAACAGGCAGGAAGTAAAAGAAAGCAGTGGCGGACAACTACAGGTTTGCACCCGGCGGCCTGAAATCTTTTTCAGCCCATAACTGTTTTGTTTTTGGCTGCAGCATCACAATTGCTTTTCCATCCACCTCCCTGCTGTTTCTTAATGCATTATGGTTCACAGCAGTGCCAGATGTGGTATCTCCGACTGGTCACAGATGAGGTTTCAGTCAGTCATTTTGACAGAATTCTTTTAAGTAGAAATTAATCCTTTGAACGAATGCACAGACTGCAGAATTTATTCAACTGTCTGAGAACTTTTTTTATACCCTCTCATCACATAGTGTGTGTGTGTGTGTGTGTGTGTGTGTGTGTGTGTGTGTGTGTGTGTGTGTGTGTGGGGGGGGCTGGGTAGGACGGTGTCAACGTCATGTCTATTCATGGTTACTTGCCAGTTTAAAGCTCAGTCTGAACCACGTGGTCAGCTCTTTAAATTCCATTACACAAATCATTATACGGTGTTGAACACACAGATACAGGCTTAACATATACAACTTCATGCATGATGTACACAGAGAGAACCCAGATGTATTAAAGAGCTGCACAAATCCATACATGGTGCTGCACAGGAAGAAGGCACGCAGGACATTAGGTCTCCATATTTACAAGAGTTGACCCTTCGGGGGGCAACCAGATAGGACAGAGGTTATTTACGTGTGTAATTTCTCAACATATAGTGGAAATGTATATTAATGGATACTATTTTTTTTGTTTGAGACTGAGACTCACAAGCTTATACTATTACATAAAATGTTATCAGTCCTAACATGCATACACAGGAGATAAAAATCATCAATCAATATTTGTGTTAGTGGGATGAAAGCCTTTTTAGGAAGTTTTGCACTTTCATTATTATTTTTCTTCGCAGATGTTGGACTTGCCTGGAACTCTATTTAACCAGCTTGAAACGAGTACCTACCATGAAGGTATAAAGCTATTTCTCTATATAATATTTGGCTATTGTGTATTCAATTATTTCTTCATGATCTTATTCCCCTCCTCAGTGATGTGCACTCTCAGTGAAAATGAAAAGCTACTCCACGGTCTCAAAGGTGAGTGCACAATTCTCTCAGGGCTCTAATTTCTGCTCATCGCTTAAGTCTGGACTTTGGGAGGTAAGGAGTTCATTAAACAAATACAATTATTGCTTAAATAATAACTTCCATCTCGCTACAGCTGTCAAGAAAGGTCCATTAAGTAGCCGTTTCTGTACTCCGGTGTCCACATTTAGCATCTACTGCTCACACTGTATCTTTGTTAGATTCACTATTTATCCTTCAGTCCACGTTTCATCGCTGCAATCTGTGTTTTCCCTCTAGCTGTCGAGCCGAAGCGGATGACTATACAAAAATACCAAAGAGATCCCAACAGAGAACACCCACTTCTTGGTCAGTCTGTCTCTGAAAATGTCATCTTTTCATGAAATTTTCCCCAATGATGTAAGATGGGTTCCTTTTAAGCTGTATTAGGGAGCGCCAATTAGAAAATCCAGCCGTCCTGTTGACTCTCGCGGACTCGTTTTGTTACCGCGTCTCCATTCACACTAAAACCGAGGGTCCGTGTCGGTTTGCCGTACCCTTTTTAAACTGCGTGACCCAGCTTTAAGTACGAGAAGGAACGACACACAAAGGGGGACATTTACCTTGTTTGGTGTACAACATGGAACAAATTAATTTGGGAGAGCGATGATTGCTTATTCACTATATTATATAATACCAATTTAACAAAATGATTAGATCCAAGGATGGATTTCCATGATCAATTGGATAACGTTCACGTACATACTACAGCTAAAAATAACTGCTTTGTCCTTGAACTTTTTTTCCCGTTTCTTCTGTGATTTTGTTCCTGTAGGAATGCAGCACCTCGTTGAAATAGTTTGTGTCGGGCAGCCTGAGAAGAAACACTACCTCTGCACCCTTTGCCACCTAACTTTGACGTCCCACGCGATCATCAAACATGTCCTGAGCTTTGACCACATCTTTTGCTACTTTGTAAGTAGCGATTGATGGGTGTCATCTTTATGTCCATTCATTTAGGCTATTTACATTCCTGGGAGACTTGCCCAGGAATGTCAGACATACTGGCATTTTCTCTGCGCTCTCTGGCTTCCTCCCACAGACGTGCTGTGCCTGGTTAGGTTTTTATTGGTGCCTTTAAATTCCTCAGAGGTGTGAATGTTTGTCTCACAGTCTCTCTCTCGCCTGACGTTATCTGGGATTTACCCCAGAACCCCCTCCGCTCTGAGGATAAGAGGTGTAGAAGATAACTGACCCACATATGTCTCTGTACAGATAAGAGTGGCAGTTCAACCAGCACGTCTGCCCACTTCTGTCTGTGTTTCTGATTTCACAAAAAAGCACAAAATGAAATGGCTATACCAGTGTCCTTATGTGGTTACATCAGTAATTCACACCAGTTTTAATCTGCAGAGAGTGTGGCATCCGTCTACTTTGCTGGCAAAGGAATCGTACAACAAATACTCCTGGAGCTTTGCCTGCAAGATGCTGGATTTTGCAAAGCAGACGGAGCAAATTCATGCTACTACAAACGCTGATATGAAGGTAATACATCTAATGAAAAGTCACTCGTATGCTTTTGTTTGCGTTGAGTTAAATTCGTATGCCTGTGTTGCAGCAAGTAAGCCTGGAGGCCGGCAAATTCACAGCAATGCGTCTGACTTGTTATGCAGATGGTTGGTATTTATTATTTCATGCCACACTGTACATTTACTTTACAAGCTGGAGCCTCAGTGGAACACAAAAGGATGATTTACTAATTGAACCTGTGGTTTGTTGTAGCTTTGAAGGAACTGGAATCCATGAGAAAGGAAAACCAGGAGAGCAGCTTGGTTACAAGCGTTAAACCAAGCGACAAGTTGGGTATGTGTTATTTATTTTAGAACTTGTGTTGCGGTAGAAAGTTGCAGGGGGAGACACCCTGCAGAAATTTAGAGTATTTTCAAGTTTATAAAACCGTTTCACAAACCACACAACTGAAGAATGGCAGCAGTGGAACGGGGCCGGCACGACGGCCTGTGTTGCTAGATGTTTGATCGGTTGAAAAAAGTCATACATTTAATTTTCAGATAGTTAATAAATATTAAAGTTTCAAAGTCATAAACTGTTTAAAATTGAATGATGTCGCATGGTCTGCCCTGAGTAGCAAGTTTAATCATCTTTTCTTCCATTGTTCTCTAGTCCACTTTCCATCGCCTGTATTCAGTAGTCTGCAGTACAAACCAGGCCCCAGACAATCAGTCACTCGTGAGTAAAGTGTTTTAAGTTGGTTGGTTGGTGAGTTTTTTTCTCATGCGCCCCATCAGGAGACAAAGCACTTTTACTGTGTGTGTGTGTGTGTGTGTGTGTGTGTGTGTGTGAGTGTGTTACACTTTTTTATATCCTCCCATCACATAGAAGTGGGGGTCTAGGTAGGATAAACATGGGTGTCGCCTTTGACTCCATTGGTGGGTATTTAGAAGTTTATGGCTCAGTCTGAACCGAGGGGTCAGCGCTTTACATTCCAGAGATGAACAACCAGTGGCCGTTTGGCTAACCCTACCAAAAAAACAGTTCCAGTAAACATTGCAGTATGATTCAATGCAAAAGGTGTGTTCGTGTTCAGAATATGATATAACTACTATGTCGTAACCATTATATTAAAGGATAAATATATTACAATATATAGATAGATAGATATAAAAATTTATTTTGAAAATAAAACCTTTTTTCTTTTTACGTCGCCCACTGTGAACAACATTTGTCGTACTCAAATCATTTTATGGTGCGTTTCACACAGAACGCATGCACTATATGATCTCTACACATCCAACTAGACATGTATGCAGAAATGGGACACTTTACTGGAAAAAGTGTACTACTCTGCTTGTTTTTTTTGAGCTCAACATATTTGACATGTTTTCGCTGGCTAATTAAAATGTATGGAATTTGTAATTTGTCGGTCAGTACAACAAATGTAAACCTGAGACCATGTTTAGTTCAGCTGAAGGACTTCAAATATACTGATTGAAGTAATTATCTGGGTCAATTCAAATACATTTCTTATTTTTAAATATTGAAGAAAAATTATAAATATATAAAAACGATAAATAAAAATGTCAAGTGGTCCTTCTAAGCTATACAAATAAAATTGCCTTGCCTAATATACTACCTTCTTTCCAGAGTTGAAATCTGGATGCTACAAACTACGCTGTCAGGTAAAGAAAATTATGATCGCCTCTCTATTAATACTTTCCTTACTCATACTATGTATTTTGTTGGAACATTAAGAACATTTTGTTTTTAATACAATAAACTTTTCACCTTTGTGTCTTTGTTTGCAGAATTGCAGTGTGGGCTTTGAAAACATGTCTGTCTATTGCACACATTTGTCAGACTACAAGCACAAGCAGGTAAACAATGTTTTTATACCTTCCCACAGAAAATGTTTAGGATTATTCATGAAACGCAACAAAGTAAAACCTTACATTCCAATGTTCTTCTCCAGATGCTGAAGAAGTTTTTTGGAGGTGCCATTCACTTTTCTTGTCATCCATAAATACAATTGTGTACAACTTTTGAGCTATTTTGCTTAAGTTATGATTTTATTTACCTTTTCTACAGGTGATGAATGTTCAGACAAACCAGGTAAACGTTTCATCTTTGTTACAGTTGCCAACACTTAATTTGTTTAAAACGATACAGATCAGATGGCCTATAATGTTAGACTGAAGCCTTATTAATATATTTTCATTGAACGGATTGAGCTTAAATTTACTCATCAATATAGTACTAGCATTTCCTTCATTAAAAAAAATTAATAACATCAACTTAATGTCCTCCGACTTTAGTAGAAGAAATTAATGGATCTAGGTATTCATTGAACTCTAAACCCCTTTTTCTTTGCACATTAGCACAGAAACCCAGTCTTGGTTTGTACGAGAAAGCCCTCAAGAACCTGAAGGAGAATCAACCGCTTGTTGGTGAGCGCATCATCATCGCATTTTGTTAAGATGTTAAACTGAATAACGTGCCATGTCCTCATTTCCATCTTTTTGCACCTTTTTTCTTCAGGTGTTTCCCTGGTTGTGACGTGTGTCTGCTCGGAGGTCCACAAGGAACCTCTTTATGTGTGCTTTGCTTGTCAGGATTGTTTCACAGAGTCTGCTCTCGGGCAACACTTTGACTCGCAGAAACATCTCGTACACACGTCTGTGAGTCCGTAAGCATTATTTACATGGTTTGTGTTGGTTATTATTATGTTTACATATTCAAGGGCTGATGTAGCGGTATTTGGTGTCTGTTAAAGGGGTCTGGTCGACTGAGGGGGAAAAAAAAAAAAGAAACAAGTTGATGTACAACTGCCTTTCCTGCACTGGACCTCATTGGCTTTGTCTCAAATTCTCAGCTGTACCAGGATCCCTGGAGGCTGCCGCTTGCATGGGAGAACTGTGTGGATTTGAAAGCCTTAAGATCAATTGCATGGGAAGAGGAAAAGAATAAACCAGATCAGATGACGCTGAAGGTAAAATGACGAAGATTTTTTTTCTTCACTAAGGTGTTCCCCATCTGTGTCGAGATGAATGTAAGTTTCATAGCATGCAAGCTAAAAGGCAAAGTCTAACCACGGTGACGCTTGTTACTGTGACCGAACGAGAAGGTTAGTTTACTGACATCTTCTGTAGACTTAATAATTTTCTTCCCTCGGTACTAATTGAGAATTCTTCCTTTCTCAGGTACTTGACTTGCCGAACACGATGTTTGAGAGACTCGTCGGGATTAGTTACCAAAAATGTAAGAATTGGTCTCAAGTGAAATTGTTCAGATACAGGTAACTGCATCCATCCTCGCTGCCCTTAAGCCCCAGTTTTTGTGAACATATGTGCTCTGAGATTAATCTCACACTTGACATGTGTGTTCTCTCATCCTTAATTTTGTCTGCAGTGATGAAGTGTCTCGAACTACAACACGTCATCTTAAAGCGTGATGGTTAGTGATAAAAGAACTTAAATGAGATTAATTCAAATTGATCACTTTCATCTGACTTGTACGTGGATTTTTCTTTTTTGTGTCTGCAGTACCACCTTGTGAAACCTACAGTAAGCTCAAAGAAAACGACAGATTTCCTCTACTAGGTGGGTACCATCGTATATCAGGAACAATAACGGTAGGTAAGGAACGATAAGACAAGAACAACATAGTGCAAGAAGAATTTAAATTAAAAATAAAGTGCACCAGCGAACAGGAAGCAAGTGCATGTGGAGAGAGTGACCGGCGGGATGTCAGTCAGTGGGGGGCCGGACCCTGTTGATGAACCTGACTGCCGACGGGAAGAAACGGTTTGTGTGGCAGGAGGTTTTAGTCCTGATGGAACCTCGGCCTCCTGCCAGGTGGAAGGGACACAAACCGTTTGTGTCCGGGGTGAGAGGTGGTAGGCTACGACGTTTTTAACTCTCTCCAGGGTCCTGGAAGCCCCTGATGGGCTAGAGGAGGTGAGTGTGGGGGTCTGGGACAGGTTGGTGGGGATGGAGTCAGGACATCGACTATCAAATCTGCAGTAGAACTTGTTCCGCTCGTCTGCCAGGCGGAGGTCATTCATGTTTTTATTTATTTTATTTTTTTGGGCTTCTAGTTTGTGAGGTGAAATTTGAAGTGCACACTCAGTGTTTTTGACTTTTCTTTACCTCCTGGTTGCAGGCAGACAGTTCCTGGTCATGCACAACATTTGTAGCAAAGGACAACCGCCAACTAAGGGATTCCTGTGCCTGCTCTGTGAGAGGAAGTTGTCAGATGAAGAATTTTACGCTCATGAGTTCAGTCGGAGACACATTGCAACGTTCATTGTGAGTATTACTTAACATTGCATTGTTTTTTTTATTACTGCTATGCTCTCATCTCAGTATGTCTTGAACTAATTTGGGGGGCTTGCTATCAGTCTTGGGAGAATTGGGGCAGATTGTACAACGTTGATTTAAGTTTCAACAACTTCCTGTGTAACGGCCCCAAAAGACTATTTTTGATTAAGTTTACAGCCGATGTGTCACTCGCCTGGTGATGCTCCACACAAGTCTTCTAACTGTTAACAGTTGTTCTGGCCACAGTTCTGGTTTTGTATCTCGTCATCGATCAATGGTTCGTTTTAAACAATGAAAAAAATTGTATTTGTGTGTGTGTGTGTAGGAGCGTTTCCATCCAGGCTCGCTGGATTCAAACCCTGATGAAGAGACTTTCTTGGACTTTGCAAAACAAGCAGCCCGCTATCACCCCATATCACATGTGCAGGTATTCTGTACCTGACATGGATTTTCTGTCTCTTCATGTAGGATCTCCTTTTAGCAGGCACTTACGCATTTAACTGTATTTTATGCCTTCAAAGGTAATTCCGTTAAGCCAGCCTGTCAGGGAGACATGCACCTACTCTGAAGGTGAGTACATTTATTTATTGTGTAAATCAATAAAAGCGCCACATATGCATCTTTTAACTGCTGTCTTTGTTCCAGCATTATCCATACTGACATCTGCAAATAGGAGAAATGGGAAAGCAAACCTTAATCCAAACATAAACCCCAAAATGAAGTTGGGTAAGTCGTGTGAATGTTTATTGTTCAATATTCCCTCCATACGAGTGTGGGAATGGTAACTTTTGCATTTACTTGAGGCTTTGGTAGTTTTGGTGTTTTAAAAAAAATTCTAAATGTAATGCTTCCACGTCAGTGAGGTCCGTAGCTTAAAGCATTTTTGATAAAAAATGTTTGCAGAGGCTTTTAACAGAGTTCATTTGCGGAACACTGCAGTAACTAAATGTTTTTGGTGGGACATTTTAGGGATGCAGCTTTACAGGATGAGCAACATAAACATGTGTTTGCCACATAGTTTAATGGTCCTTGCTATTTGACAGAAGCTATCTGTCAAAAGACTAACCACAATTTTCTTTTGCACTATTGCTTACGGAGTGGCCACTTGATTACACAATATTACATTTTTCATTTTATTTCATATAATTTGTTTATTTTAGTCCCCAGACCAAAAAGGAAAGATGTGGAGGAGGACAACCTGAGGGACAGCAGTCAGAAAAACAGCTGGATGAAGGAAGCGTATTTGGAAAAGAGTCCAAAATCTGCAGAGAACAGTGAGACGACCTTGGAACAGACTGTGGGAGTCGGTGCTGAAGTCACTGATTCTCTCTGTCCGAAAAGCGGCGCAAATGGAGACAACAAGGAGACTGTGGCGTCAAGTGGAAAGGAATTGCTCAAGTTGAATGAGTTTTCAGGAACAAGTTCAGACAAGGCGAAGCAAAGCGAGACATGTCATGCGATAAAGGAAGAGAATATAGAAAAGCCTACAACCAAAGAACCAAGTGGGGAGGCTGTCGAAAACCGGCAGAACATGGACATGAACAAAAAAGAGCCGAGCGAAAGCAGCAAATGTGTCCTGACACAGAAGAGGAAAATCTCGCAGACGGATACCTGTCCTGTGGATGATGGAGAGCAGGAAACAAGCGAGAAATGCCAGCGGCTAACCGTGAAAATAGAACCCCAAAACCTGCTGAGTAGCAGTCAGGAGGAAGTGAACACACCTGACGAGGGAAAAAGTGGAAAACCAAACGATCAGACTGCAAATAACAAAGGTTTGTAAATGTCACATCTAATTGTGATTGTACATTTTTATAGAGGTATATATTTTAGCGTTTCCATGACAATGACTTAATCTGTGATTGGTGCAGCGTCCTCGGAGGCCGACCTGCAACAAGCGACTCATCTATGGCAGTATGTCAAGCGGAAGTTACGAGAGCCTGTGGTCGGTCAGTGTTTTGTTTTAGGCCAATTTACCTCAAACTAAACGAGCAATGCAATAATTAATACATTTTAAATATTTTTTGAGAGTTCACTTTTTAACCATGGCAATAAACGGAAAATAAATACACTTTATTTTCTTATGGCACAGAACAATTTTACGAATAGTTTTTTAATTGATTATCTGGACATTTTCGGCCAGCGAGTTGATTGTTCATTATTAATGTATTTCAATGTGTCTTCTAGGCTTGTGTTCACTTATCGAATGCATTTGTGATGAGCGTGCCCCCATCTACCTCTGTGAGTGCTGCTCGCTGCAGATCCCAGAGAAGGACATTGTCAGCCATGTTACCGGGGTAGACCACCAGAGGATGTATCTGGTGAGTGCTGTCATTAAAAATTACTAAAAAAGAAGTTTCCTTAGTCCACGCAGTTTTATGATATGCTTGAGCGGAGGTAAAACAATTGCTTGACTAACCACCTCAAGGCATCTGTTTATGTCTGCATGAGTCACTAGCCACGCAGGCTAGCTAGCTAAAGACGTGTGAGATTTTCTCTGGCTGTTGTAGCCACTTGTCAGCTGTTTGGTCCTGTTTAACCAAAGCTAGCGCAATGCTGCACTACTTATTATGTGGTGCCTGCCACATGTGTGCGTGTCTCCTGGGCTTTTATTTTTAAATAATTAGATTGGGTGGGGGAGGAGAGACAAACTATCAGGGGTGTCAAACTCCGTTCAGCACTGTGCCAGATACTACTCACTTTTACGCACAGCAAAATATTTCCTATTTGATCCATCAATGATGTATTAAGAGTAAAAAAGTATAGGACTAAAGGCCTAATAATCTTTTTTTTTTTACCGCTCACTCTGGCACCCTGAAACTATTTCCGAAATGTTCCTAAACTTAAACAACCATTATATGAAGACACTGAGAGTTGCCCATGAAGAGTATTGCGGATTACTATGAAGGAGCCTGCGCAGGTCTTCTCATAATTTCGACTTTATATCATTTCGATTTTCCAACCCCTTCATTTTTTATAGGGCGGAAATGGCTTCTATAGTTCTGTGAATGTATAAATGCAGCCAAAACAAAGACGGGGTTTGTAAATTGTACATTGTAAATTAGATGTAGTTATACCATTGTGACTGGCTCCGCCCCCTTACTGTCAAGAAGAAGAAGAAAAACAACAACAGCGCGCGAGCAGGACTCTTTCCTCGCTCGAGACCGACTTTTACGCGCAAATGTTTGATTTCCGCGCGCGCGCACGGACCTGTGCGGATTCTGGCATTGATTTTGCCGTCATACAGGCTCTCTGCCACACCGGGAGAAAAAACGAGAGGGAAACCGACACGAGCATAGATGTATAAAAGCCTCTATTATATCCCTGGATATGAGGACCTGACGTTCAAGCCCCGCCCCCCCAGAGCGGCACAGGTTACGGACCAGAGGGTGAGGGTGAGGGTGAGGGTGAGGGAGAGAGGGAGAGAGGGAGAGAGGGAGAGAGGGTGAGGGGGAGAGAGGGAGAGAGGGTGAGAGGGTGAGGGGGAGGGCGGCCGCCGTACCAACAGACGGAGGAAAAGACACTGCGCTTCACAGGGGGGAAAGATAAGACTTTGGAAACAAGCAATATACAGTGATTGGCAGATCTGTTTCAGCTGTGACGAACAACGCGGGCGCCTCAACGGCCGAAAAACAGGTAAAGGTTTTATAGGAAGTACAAGCAGCAGTTTGTGTCCTGGATGGGCTTAACGTGCTCATACCCAGCGAGCATTTTGTGGTGGAAAAGACGTTGAAGATTGGTTTAGAAGTGATACACGTCTACGTTTATAACACTTTTAAAACAAAATGGGAGAAACTGCAGAGAAGTAGGTGTGTACAGTATGAACAACTTAAAGATGTACGAAGCACACAGACTTCAGGGAAAAGGCAGTTTGGGCTAATAAACAGCAGCAGGTGTGTGAGACCCCTCATTTATAGATTAAGATAACAATTCATCAGCAACTAATGGCATTTCCACGTATATTACACAGTATCATACTTTACAATGTTGCTTTAAGCACACAGTAACTTACAATGTTTTGGCCCCTTTTACAACAACTTGTTGAATTCAGCCCTTCGCCCGTGCAATCTGCATTTAGCCCCTGTTGCTTTAAAAACGTGTATTTACATTATATGAATTGGGAAACGGCAATAATAGGTTGTTGCTGTACTCGTATACTAACGCATTAGCAGCACCAAACACACGGACGATATGTGGGGATGTTTTACTTTTGGTCCAGCTCTTCATGCTGAGCCAATAACGTGAACGACTTTGTTGCGTCGACTTTGTTTAAAAAAACAGTGGCAACGAAAACTGGCAACTCAACTAAGCTAAAATATCTAAACCTAAAACAACAACCATCCCCCCCCCCCCCCAGTCTCTCAACCTGAACTACTGTCGGTTCATCCGGACTGCTCGTCCGCCTCTCCGGCCGGGAGGACCGCTCCGTCTCTCGCTGCAGCCTCGGAGCGCGTCGGCCTGCCGGAGTTTGAAGCCCCGCGTTAAACCTCCCCGGCTGCCGCAGCGCGAATTTGGGCAGAGAACCTGCTTGTCAAGTTATGGATTTGACTAAATATATAAACTCACACATTCATTTTTCTACCCTGGGAGACGGCGCTTGTATTAGTAAAGCCTTCTCAGCCAGCGTCGTACATTAAAAACACAGTAGCTCACTTGACTGTTGACTCAACCAAATTCTGTACATATGCAATTCAGCAAACAAAGGTGTGTTTTGTAATGCCTCCCCTGTATGTTTCTGACATCGGTTCGTACAGAAACCTGCACAAGGGATGCAGCAAGGGAAGACTGTCGGACACCGTGCAGCTTTGTCTGAACAAGAACATGGATATGGATGCGCTGAGGTCTGGTTCCTGATTTTGTGTAGACTATTAGAATTGTCACTTCATGGACTGAGATTGAAAAAGATATCCAATATTCCTTAAGCCAGTCCTGGCTATTGTTTGCAAAACGACCTGACAGTTAAAAGATGTAAACAGATTTTAGTCGTTCATTTGACTGTTTATTGCTTATTTCTTATGTCCAGGTTGTTGAGTTGGATTATCTAACCTACGATAAACTTTTTAAACAGGACTTTGATTCAGGTGAGTCTACTGCTCTTAATTCTGAGATTGCTTTTTATGTTTTTAGTCACTTTTTGGTTTAAAGCCCATTCGGTTCAATCAGCAAGTGAATGACAAAGTCACAACTTTAATGTACTGTGTTTTCTGCGGTTTCCATCATCCACACAGCCGTGCGGGAACTAAAAGCATTTAAGGATCAGCTGGACATTCGCTCTTCAACCTCAGCTCCGTCCAGTGTTCAACCTGGGGGCACCTCGGTCCCCCTTCACGCTCCGCTGTGTTCTACGGAGAACGACCCCCAGGTCAGTTGTTTTTGCTTTCCAATGGCTCATTTTACTCAGACTGGCAGACAGATGAGGTTAGGGACAAACCTCAATTTCAACATAATTCTTTATTGGACGCGGATCATGGGAAAGGTTTGCTGACAAAAACCGGTCTGCTAAACATGGTTGTTTGCCTTCCTTTCTTAGGTGTTGGGGATTGATGATTCAGGAGACTCTTCAGTAACTACATTAATGTCCACAATGACTGAAACCCCCTCCAATACAACCCAAGCCCCCCCTGAATCAAATGATGCCCAAATCAAAGCGTCAAACTCACCTGGTCACTCGGCAAACCCCTTTACCAGCCGCATTGAGGGCAAAGCTGAAATCGTTTCAAACACAAATGTGGGGCCGCTAAAAATATCCACCACTTACGAAAAGGTGTGGAGATCTGAAAATGCAGCGACTTCAAACTCTGGTGCAATCACCCCCGTTACCGCCACGGCGCCCATCTCCACGCTGACGACCAAGTCTTCAAATTCCACCCCGGACGCCTCCAAATCAACAGCACCCGCCTGCAAACTCTATGCCGCCCTCTCCAGCGTCACTACAGCCGACACCCAATCCAGAGAAGCTCCAAAACGTAGAGCAACGATCTCCACCTCGCCTGCAGCCACCTCAGAGTTGTCGTCCAAAACGCAGAGCAGGAGTAGAGCTGCAACCGTAGTCAGAGCGGCTTCGTGCGAGTTTGCCTCCTCCTCCAAAACCGAATCCACGACGGCGCTTGAAGCCACCTGCAGAACTCTTCTGACATCCGCTGCTAAAACGACCGAGGCGTCGTTTAGATATGAGAAGAGGCTAAGCGCAAACGCTCTCACAGTTGGTCTGTATTATTTATACTGGCTCGGTCAGTCTCTTGTCAGTCGGTCTGTTTTTAATCCGAGGGTCTGCATTGCTTCTTCACTTCGTAGGCTTGAACCAGCTGATTAAGGTGTCGTGTGGACAGAAGAAGCAGGTCTACTGTCGGCTGTGTTCGGTCAGGCTGCTGAAGTCCGATCACACGTGCAGCGCCGCCCACCAGCTTAAATATGTGGTGCGTGCTTTATGGCTGTCATTGTAGAAAAAAAATTAAGGAAGAGCGCAGGCGTTTGGATGCTGATGTGTGCTCTTGATGTTTGTTTGTTTTTTACCAGAAAATGAAGTTCCCTCAATGGTCCTGCAAGCCGTCAGAGCTGCAAAACGAATTGCGCGACCAAGTGGCTCAATTGGCCGAGGACGAGAGAAAAGAAGGATCCGTCCCCTTCCCGGTGAGCCGTCTCTTCACACATTCAAAATTAACCAAATCTTGCACTCAGTGTGGTGTAGTTGATCTGCGTTATGTATGTACAAAAATGATATTAGCTTGAGAGCAAAGATCTCACCGATTGTAAAATGTGTTTAACTAATTAGTATAGTTTCTAATGACCTTTGTTTAATTTCTTTCTGTTAGAGACTGCTGGTGACAATCGACGTGTACAAAGAACTTGCTGATCTCCCGGCAGAAATAGGTAAATATCCTAAGAAATTTGAATTCTATGTGAAACAGAAACTTTGGCTGTTCTAAAAAAAAATCCAGAAAATTATCAGATTTAAATTTTAAAGTCTTACCCCACACTGATGTGACATCCTTAAACTGAATATTTATTAAATACTTAAATGTAGGAGCGGAGTTGATGTGCATAAAAGTCATGCGTCAAGGTCACTTGATGCATAACCTTTTTCAAAGGTTTTCTTCTCCGGCCTTGAATCAAATGGTCTTGGATAACACGCATATGCAACGAGTGGGCTGGACCACCTCCCGCCTGGTCACCTTCCCCGCTTCAAAGGGAGGGAGGGAACACTTTGTTTACACAGAGACAATAAAACCTCACAATAAGAGTTCTTTGGGAGACTGATACTGACTCACAAATCATCCTGAACATCTGTTGCAGCAGAACACCAAGCGTCTGGATCGCAGATTCTATAAATTAAATGAGTCAAAACATTATCCAAGTTTACCCCAAAAATGGCATGTTTAGGAGATGTTGCAGATTCCCACGAAGTGGAACTTTGCAGGAGTCTTCATGAAGAGTGTCAATATAAAACGCTTCAGCCATCTCAGTGGAAAAAATAACACACAAGCTCTTATTGTTGTGTGTTGGGGAAATGTCATGGGAAGCCTCTTGACTACTTTACAAAGACACATTCCATTTATGATGAGTGTATGAGGTGTACTCATACAATATCTCTCAGGACGACTTTGTGGCTACACATCTGTTAATTGATTCCTTAGGATCAGTCTTTTCGATCCTGTAAAAATATGGATTTTATTGGATTGAAAAGTTAACCTGGTTTAGATTAAGTGCATAACATTTTTTTCTCTGTATTGGCAGCTCTAGAGAGATTGAAAGCCACGCTGAGAAGAAGCTCGGGGGTCACATCGCCCGCCACGGGCGTCCCTGTGCCGGTGTTGAGACTGGAATTTCCTGGTGCCAGTCAAAGCGAAGCTTCGAGCCCAGTCGATGGTGAATTCATGTGTCTTTTCTCTTTAAAGTGTCGTGTAAATACGTAGGAATGTTCCATGCACATGTGCCCTGAATGAGCAGAGGTATTTTCTGTGTATTGATTCTTAATAGCTCCTCTCGGACGTTATTGGAAGCCTGTGAATGAGGCCCATGGTTGTGATTATATTACACATTAGATGCCACAGAATGAAGGACTTTCTTCAGAAAAACAAACGTGTGCTGGTCTTAATTGGTCCAGATCCCAACTGAGAGCCAATATGGAAGATTTGTTGCTGACTCTAGGTCTGTCATCAGATATATCTAGTCTCATTAAAGTAACTCTTACTATTTCAGACATCGAATCCAGATTGAAAGAAGGATCATTCACTCTGCGCCGGTTCAACAGAGCTCAGAGTCTGGAGAGTTCAGAGCCTGAAGCCGATGACCAGATTCTAGACCAGCTGCATTGCATCTTGAATAAAAAGGAGCCCATCGCTAATCCTCTCATTCAAGACGTAGCAGGTACGTCCGTGGCTTCACAGCTGGACTGGCTTTAGATATCAATGTTCCTGTCAATAGAAGCGATTATAAAAATAGCCTCTTTGTATATTGTTTGTGTGAAATTATCTCAGTGCAGGAATTTAAATGTACAGCTTCTTGTTTCCTATTTTTGTTTCTCTTTCATCCCTAACTTCACGCAGCCAAACATGTGAATCCTCAAACTCCTGTTGCAAGCAAAGAGGCTCCTGAGTGGCGACAACCGCAGGAGAGAAGTCACGCAGAGACAAGGGAGGTGTTGGAAGGCTCTCAGAAAACATCACCTGTAAACCCAGTTGTGCTTCCAAAGATTTCAATAGGTAAGCGTCAATCATTTATCATCATCTACATTACTCCGCAGACCTTTAGGCAGTCATTGTTTGAAAGACTGAAGACAATAAAACACTGTGCCATTGTGAATCAGTTTGGTCCAAGATGCAGGTCACTAAGTTAAGAGGACAGAGTTCAGGGAGAGGTCACTTATTTAATGAGACTCGGTGTCCATGAGATAAATCAATTTCCCCCAACAATTAGTTATTCATTATTTTACATTTTTTATTTCTGCTCTTCATAACTGTTTTGATCCTCATGTCTAACTGTGTAACCCCCCTTTGCTGCGGTTATCCTGTAAATATCACCGCTGCAGGAAGAATAAAGGATCATTATATTATCTTTTTCAGTAGCTCTTGATTTATTAAGTATTGAGGTCACGTCAATATTGTCCCAGGCCCCGTGCAGGGTGCTCCATGCTATCTCTCAGACTGAACGGGCCACGAGCAGAGCATAAAGGCAAGCAGAAAAAAGTTTCTAAATAAAAGTGTAACTTCGTATGGGTACACAGGGGAGTGCACTGAAGGCAGCAGTTATCTGTCGAGTTGGTTGAAGGTGGGCCACGACAATGAACCAGTCATAGGTGAGTGCGTCCGTCCTTACACGGCAAACCCTTTTCACTCTCATTACTTCATTCATTTTCACAAGACCGTATGTTAAAGACTTAGGTGTGGTCTCCAGGTATGGGCTTTGTGTGGGAGTGTCGCTTTGTGTCGGAGGTTCAGGGGCTGTGCAGGAAGCCGTTCTTCCTGTGTGAGAGCTGCAGTGTGATGCTGCCGCACAACGAAATCTGTAAACACATGGTCGGCCCTGACCACCAGGTCAACTACATTGTGAGTGTTGCCTCAATGACAGTTTTCGACGACCGGTCCCACATTTTTATATCCTAATGATGCATTTGTTTCAGATGAGTCAGCACCCTGATCTTTTGTATTTCTGGCCGGAGAATTATCGGTTACAATATCCGGATATTGCTCTGGAGAAATGGATGAAATTCGACATTCTTAAAAGCATTGCCCAGATGCTCTCAGAAGGGGAGCGTTATCTCAAGACTGATGCGCAGGTGAACCGTTGTTTCAAGACTTTAGTTGTATATTTTGTAGCAACACATACACCCACCTCCTTATTCAAGCGTTTCACAAGGTATTATTGTGGCCTCTCTTGCAAATACAGCAAAGTAGCTACTGCAATTCACTGCATCATAATAATATGAAGCAAAAGCTGTGTGCATAGTGGAAATGCACACCCATTATGCTAATTGTTATCCGTTTCTTCTCAGAGTATACTGCTGGGACTGGAGTTGTACGAACGTGTTCGGAACGCTTCTTTCAGTGAAGGTATCTGTGAGCAAAGTATACAAAGTTTATGGAACATGAGGGTGAACAGCATTTTGTATCAACTGCCATTTGCTCTTTTTAGCTTTACAACTACTTAAAAACATCAAGAGAGCGCACAAACTGAGCGTCTGCTGTCCATCCATCTCTATTCCACAACGAAAGGGTAAGTCCCATCGGTTACAGGGTAACTTGGTTCTTGTTCTCACTCACAGCTCAATTAAAGTGACTAATACAGGCAGATTTTGAATATGAGCCATGCATTTCGGTTTCTTTCGCACAGACCGGCACCCTGAGAACCAGCACAGTCCAGAGGAATCTCTCTTCATGGAGCCTGCACAGACACTTGAGACGCACCAGAGAAGTGACAACGGTAGGATCCTTATGTTGTTCACAACAGTGTTGGATTAGTTCCTTCGAAAGTGCAGTAAATGTATTTTTGTATTTAGGCTTCTTTTTTCACTTTTTCTTATCCACTGTCTTTATTAGAACCAATTGTCCAGGACAATTTGGATGGGGTCAAACAAAGTGGAGTTTTCGGTCATCTGGACGTGACCAGTGTCTCCTCAAAGGCAAACTCTGTGTCTCCGGTCTGCTCTGCTGACCCACGTCTCAGTCACCGAGAGCAACCAAATCCAGGACTCTCAGACTCTCGGCAACAGAGGCTTATCCAAGAGTTGCCAGGGAAACTGGCGGAGGCGCACTCAGAGTCCACATCTTCCTCTGTGGTTTGTCCTCCAACCACTCAAACCCTGCCCACGTCTTCCAGGGATCAGAGCATTAGAATTCTGAAAAGACCAGCTGTTGAATCTATTGACTCATTGATCAGATCTTCCACTGATAACCCCGACATCACAGACCCTTTGCCAGCCAAATGCAAACTCCCATATACTGCGCTGCAGCCCATCATTGAGCAAAGCCCTGAATCAGACTCTAAGTCCACTCACCAACCTAACTCTGTGAACCCCGCTGCGACATCTATTCCCCTGTCACCTCAGGACAAAGACCCTGGAACTGTGTCTCATGAACAAGACGTACCCGTTGTGGACCAGGCAACATTTGATTATATAATGGCTCTATTCAGAGAGAGGCAGTCTGAGGGAAGTGTGTTGCCTTGCACCTCTGCTCCAGTTAACGGTGAAACTACCACCTCCTGCGCAAACAGTGCATCCGAAAGTGGGGTGAAAAGAAGATTCAATCAAAATTCTGCGAATCAAAAGGTACGTAATTTAAGTTTGGAAAACGTTAAAGGGACAAAAAATCCAGCCCTTTTAAACCCATTGGCCGAGAAACCATCTCTAGACGGCTTTGCTGAAGCGAGGGGCGAAATTGTGTCTGTTGCCGGTCCAGCCAAAGCAGTCGGTACCATGTCACCACTTGTCAGCCCTGCTGACCCCGGTTGCCCACGAGTCCAAACAAGTATCAATGCTCGGACGACCTTCAGAAGCACTAGTCAGTCCATCCCTAGTCCCATTGACTGTGCAGTCGTCAGCAGTAGCCCAGGTCACACAGCACAGCCACAGGATAACCGCTTTGGGGCTGATCAGCAGCCCATTAACGCCATCGTAAGTGTCCGGTCAGAGCAGCCTGGACCCTCGGTTATAGGTGGCATCAATAAAGAGGACTTCACTAAGCTGAACCGTAGCAATCCGATCACGCCTTGTTTCTCCTCTGTTCCAGAAATGAGCCGCCCTGACGCTCCAGGAAGATACGATCAGTACAACCGAATGGCTTATGTCGCAGATAGACCGGCAGGTTATTTTTCTTCTGGGGCCGTTGGAATTTGCACAACACCAAGCTACCGTCCTGTGTACACTGGGAGTTCCTTTCAATGTGAAGGGTACCCTGCGGGGGTGCTCCACTTCCCAAGCCAGATTCAACCCGAGCAGGAAACAACCAGCCAAAGTCTGCAATCTTTTGGAAACGGTTTAGCAACTCCGCTCCCGCCACAATGGGTGAGGTTGGGAATGCAGCAGCAGCAACTTATGCAGCAGCAGCAGCAATCTGCACAGCAGCAGCAATCTGCGCAGCAGCAGCAACTTATGCAGCAGCAGCAATCTGCACAGCAGCAGCAACTTGCTCACCAGCAACAATTCGTACAGCAGCAGCTAACGCGGCAGCATTGCTTCTCGTGGACAAGTACCTCCCTGGCAGCTGGCAATAGCATAGTGACCAATGAGGCTGCCTACGCAGGCGCCACGTCCTTCAACACTCCAAACATTTCACACAAGCCATTTTCCGATTACGACTATCGAATCGCTCTAGATTCACAGAACAGCAACAACTCGGCCAGACAGCACAACCCTCCAGGTTTTAACTGTCCTCCTGCCGCCAACACTCAAGTAGTGCCTCTGCAAACTCCTCCGCCGGAGTTTTATTTTAATGCAGCTCCCCCTATGGTCGATGGTACTCCTCCCTGAAACCACCTGTACAGCCACGATGAATATCGAGGCCGTTATTTCTGCAGTTAATCCATTAATTACTGCTCTGTGTGTGTCTGGTAGACACGATTAAGTTCAGATATGTTGAGTCATCAGTGAGATGTCAAACCGCACGATGGAGGTGTGCTCGTGTGTGTGTTCACATTATTTTACTACTATTGAAATGATTTCTTGCTTTAAATATCAAGGGTGACTTTGTAAACCTTTTCAAATGTTTCTTTTTAAACATTTGTATTCTAACCCTTTCAGCAGACTGATTGTTTTTATATTTGTTTTTTCATTTTAATAAAATCCAGAATAAAGTTCTTGAATGTGAAATATATTTGTTTAAATTATTTTCATAAACAGAAGGAAACAAGGATTGCATGTGAGGAGACACATGATTGCTAAATGACCTGTAATGTAATGTAATGTGTCATTTACTGGGTAAAATGCCCATGAAATAGTTTCCGTACCAGATTTGTCTAGTTTCTTACTCCCCGCAAAACCCCTCAGACGTGCACCAAACCTAAACCCACTTAGTGCACTTAGCAGAACGCTGGAAAGTTCACGGTTCCTCATTTGGCTGAAATAGATCTGGCTCTGGTTTCCAATCGGACACCTTTTTGCAGTTTGCTTCTCATAATAAAAGCAAGTAGTTCTCTAAGGAGGTTGGTGTCGGCGGCAAATTTGTTGAGCTGCATATTGTGAGCTCGTGACCTGACCAAGTCCACGATGGCATCCTGTTTTCCAGATGTGGCCTGGACTGATCTGTATCCTCTCCTTCCGTCCGTTTCTGTCTGTCAAATATGATCGACTAGGTCCATTAAGGGGGGGTCACGGATGTTCCCAAACGACATCTATTTACCACTAATCTCCCTTTGTGGAGGGGGGTGTGAGGGTCTTCCTTTTGCCTCTTGCTTGAACTTCAGAGATGTATAAAAGCTCCTGTTCTCCCCCAGAAACTTGGTCAGATATTCTAGCTCCTCTTGGGACAAAGAACCATCTGCCCCTATTCAGCTGAATTGTGGTCATTTGACTGCTGTCTGTACTTATTACAAATTTCCACCACAGTTGGCTGCTTAGTTTTTCTCCCACGCTGGACAAGTGACTAAAACACGCTTGATTCAGTGGAGCTAAACTGTTCGTCTATGAAGAAGACTTCCTACATGCACATCTTGGCGACATACTCTCATTACTGTACGTCTTAGTCTCAGTCACCACAGCAGAGTTTGGGTCGAGGACTCGCGTCCCACAGATGGTTAAATTCAGTGTGAGGAAACATATGGCAGAAAGGCATTTAAACATATTTGTCCTGCTGTTTTTGAGGTTATTCTTATTCAGATTTGATTACTTATTAGAAAGAGAAAAACTGCTTATTGATTTAATGGTTCTTAGTCACCATTACATCTATCACATTTTTAAACATTCACGTGTACAATTTTCTATAGTTATAGTATTTCCTATTAAAGATTTACATCTTGGGCAAAGTATATCCGAATTACGGGGAAAAATATTTTGAACATGAATTCATATGGATGTAGTATAGTCCAGCAACTAAAAGCTAAAACTTGATTGGATGTGTTCCATGTTCACCTGTGGTCTTTATGTAAATGTGCCGTTTCATGTACAAAAATCTGTTGTCAGTTGATATTTCTAAAGCACTGAAAGCTGAATATTGGTAAAGGTTGGGCAGCATGGGAGGAGAGCACGTCTGGGCCTCGTCACGTTTGCAAGGTCACGTTATCTGGTCTTGACTATTTTCCGGCGCGTTCGGTATCCCAGATAGGACATCAAGGCCGGACATCTGTGGGAGAAGAACGGCTGCTCATGTGAGGGAACTTCTTCCACCCGAAAGAGGAGGAAGACTAGGTACTATAAATCAGTACAGAAGATAAGAGAATAATCTCATTACTATTTTGTTGTGTCTCATTGTGTATGAAAGAAAAACGCCTCATTCTCACCCTTGACAGAGTCAACTTTGTGTACAAATAAATTGAATCCATTAAAAATGTAACGTAATGAAGCTTTGGGGTACTTGGTGCGCTTCTTTGATTCCTGTTTATCGTGTACTAGTGTTCATTTGGCTGCTTGAGACCTTAATCTCAGTGAGAGAACCTAAAAAAGATTGACAAATGTTGGAGAGTTAAGCACACGGAGTCTCACTAACTTTGACTGTGAGATGCATGTAGTGGTAAAATATGTTATAACATTGTTTGTGCTAAACCCGTGTATCAGGTGTCTGTATTTAACACGACGTGCAAAGAGCAGCATGATACAAAATGTTAGTTTGCAGCTGTGTCCTAAGGGAGGATGGTCGACCCGATCTGACGCTTCATCAAAGAGAATTGTGTTCATGGCCTTGGTTCATATCTTATTTGGTATGAAAGTTGTCATATCTGCGTTTCTTCCTTTTCAGTCTAATAATTACAATTCGCACCTGCCACTGAGGATGACCTTGTGTGTGTGTATAAATGCTCTGTGTTTTCGCTGCTCGGGGACGCCATTTACACAGTGCTTGTGTATTCGACCTCTTGCTTGAAAGCAATAATTAGACTCTTTTGGTACAGCTTGATCCGGATATATCTGCGGAGAATTGCTCATGTAATCTTTTTCTCTTCTAAATAAATTAACTTTTTGCCTTTAATTGATTTAACGTGTCGCAATCCTTCTCATCAACCAACTCGGGGTTGAATGGAGATCCCGACATGACCTCCCCGAACTGTGTCCTCAGGGACCAACATTCTGGACCAAACTGACTCACAAAGGAAGTGTTTTATTGTCTTCTGTCTGTCTTCCAAAGACGGTGCGGGGGATGGGGCGGGGGGGTCGAAGTGTGTATTCCTCCATACCTGTTCCCCTTTTGAAGTTCTCATTGGGCAACACAAACCTCTCTGATGTGCATTAAAGCTTCTCTTAAACCAAGAAGCTTGGTCGGATCTTCTTGCTCCTGCTCAGCTGAATTGAGTCAAACAACATCTGTCTGAACTTACGGCTTGTATTGATTTCTGTATTCTTTTTGATTTTTTTTATACGCTAGTTAGTAATAAATACTTTTATACTTTCACAAGCGAGTTTAAGATACTTTTGATTTCTCATGAGGGCTTATTCCACAAATTTCCACCTCAACAAAGTAAGATTAAGTTCACATTGTACTTATTCTTGGTCATTAATTCCTGTCAATGTTCTAATATTCACCGTTATCTCACAGACAACGATCAAAGGTTTTTTTTAATAGTGCCAGACGGGGAGGAACTTAATCCTGAAGCTCTGAATCTACTACCGAGCTGCTGTCACAGACCGGCACCCATCTGATAGCGGCAACACCCCGACATTCCACGGGTGCTGCTGCGGCCTCCACCGGGACCCGCGGAGCGAGTCTGCTGTGAAAATATTCTAGGACGTCAAGCGCGCTGTGTTCATCCCAAGAGTCCTTTAAGACTACATGCGTCCTTGTCTATTTGATTAGTACACCGGGTTACTTTTACAATGTTGAATCCTCAGTGTGAGGCCATTTAATCCATGTGTATCAATCTATGTATGTAAATCTATAGTGTGATGAAAGTCAACAGTTTTTTTTTAACCAAAGACGCTGATCAATTAATTTAATGTTGTGAAATGCATATTGACTCATTCATCATTGTATTTATCTATTAATATTCATAGTTTTGTGTACTATTATGTAAATAATGATCTAGATGTGTGTTTATGTTAATCCAAACAATGCAGTTATATTCTTATGATTATATTGTGTTAATTTTTGTTACTTTGCATGCATAGTTTAACTAAACTCAATTCCTGCAGCGGGATCTGGCAGCTCTCTTTGTTGGTGAAGACGAGACCATTCAGCATGTCTGCTTTCTCCAGCAACTAGGGGTGAGGGGTGAAACCAGACGGTTTATCATCTTGACCCTTTGCATGGACTTCCCCGTTTCTTCATCATGCCTCTCAGTTAGGAATCTGTGGAGCTGCAGGGGTTTAACAGCTTGGCCTCGAACTGTTGCTTTATCCTGCTCAGCAGCAGAATGAGTTGTGTGCGTGCATGTGTGTGTGAGTGAAGAGCTTTCACGTTATCCATTCAGAGTATATTCTGTTGGTTTAAAAAAAAAAAAAACGAAAAATAAATCTCTCCCTGCATTTGTCTCTATGTAGGGCTCAACTAATGAATACATCAACAGGGAGTGGTGTCTTAAAGTTTCATTTGTATCATATATATATATATGTGATCGGCCTAAATTTAGAAATATATTAAGATGCATCCTTTTTTTTATAACCGCGGCACAATTTACTTTCAAAGTTGAACACGGTCTACACCGTTAAGACACACGTTAAATCGTTCACTTTGATTTAACTGCGTCACAGAAAAGCTGTAGAAGTCTCTCTGCCCACAAGTGTTCTGGCAAGTGAGAACAGGAACTAGTTAAACAAAAGCTGTGGGCACCTTGAATTTATCGACACCCAAGATGTGTATTCGTTGTCAGTGAGTTTGGTCTGAGAACCCAAGTCACACGTGTTGAGTAGGTGTGCGAGGGCTCCATGCGGGCCGGTTACACAAAGCCATTGATCCATTGAGGTGTGAACTCTCAGAAGTGGGTTCTGGGCTCCCTTCACTTTATCACAATTGTTACTGTCACTGACAGGTATTTACACGCAATATAAAGGAACGATTTAAAATTGTTTTTCTGCACAAACCAGCATTATCTAGACTAAACAAAACGTGAGCGCATTATTCCCTGAGGAAGACAAAGAGATATGAATCACAGAGGATGTGTCTTCCGTGTCAGGCACGGGGGGGGTTATCAAAGTCAGTCCACAAAACAAAAATGCTTTCGTTTTGTCTACATATACTTGCTTGTTTTAATATAAGTGAAGATAAGACTTCATTGAACAAAATAGCCTTTTTATTAGGTCTAATGTGAATATTGAGTACTTGAGGCGCATATTGGAGTCGTCGTGGCGCAGGGGTTAGAGAAGGTGTGCTGTGAAGCACAAGGTTGGTGGTTAGATTCCAGGCTGCCCCATGTTCCATGTCGAAGTGTCCCTGAACAAGACACCTAACCCCTAATTGCTCCCCAGGCAAAAATGTGAAAAAAGCCATGGGTTTAAAGTGTAATGTAAGTCGCTTTGGATAAAAGCGTCTGCTAAATGACCTGTAATGTAATGTAATGTATTATTTTAACTCAAGTAAACACATCCGAGTGCTACACACACACACACACACACCTCCAGCACCACTTCCAAAACACAACGACGCCTCCGGAAAAGAACCCACTTACTGCGAAAGTTTAAATCCGACCTTATGGTCCCAGACAAACGCGCGCGCGCACGCAGATGTGGAACCCGTGGATCTGATTGGACAGCGGAGGACGAGCCGTGACTCCATCAACTTTCTTTTCTTTTTTTTTAACCTCAGTCGCTTCTTCACGGATTTCAAACATTTCCGACCGCCTCGACCTGTCGACGGAGAGACCGACGAGTCGTCCCCGACGGTGAGCCACCGACTCCCCGCCGGTGGTCCGTGACTTTACCCGCTTGGGGGATGAGATGAGCGTTTGTGGTGGCTTCAATTAGCTTTAGTTAACGTTGGATGACGCCAGCAGGCCTAACTATTACTCTATTGTGGCAAAGTTTAGTTTAAAAAATCGCGGTTGATTAACTTTACGACTTTAAAATTCTTAACCGTTGTTAATAACTCGTTTTAAATTATTGTCGTTCGCTTGCGATTCAAACCTCGGTGAACTATGTTTTGGGTGTTTTAACTTAACTTTTTCCCCCCAATATTATTTCGTCAGGAAAAGCCCTTATCGTTTTACCTTTTGGCTAAAGATTCGTGTCCAGCGTTTAATTCTGTAACACAGCTTTAAAGTTCCCGTTGGACGTCCTCTCAGTGAGGAGCCATGTGACGCGCGGTGACGCGGCGGCGCCACCTTGTGGGCGGTTTGATTAACGGCGAGGCCCTTTACTGCGTTGTTGTCGGTGTGTCGGTGGGGCTTTTCTTTGAAGTACGAGACGAATCTAAAGTTCCAGCAGATACAAGTTGGGTTGCACACAAACACAACACAGGGATGCAAAACTAAACATTTTAAACCAATGGTGACCAGATCCTCATAGACTTTTTTCGTTGCTAGGGGCAACAGCTTTGGTCTAAGTTTACTTCCTGTGAGCTGCTGCATTAGCAAACCTTGCAACAGGATATAGAAATTGCCAAATGAGCATGTTTATGCGGTCAAGTTTGGAAAGGAAACATTGTTTACAAGTGTAGCATTTCTAAAGTAACATAGATTGGTTTAAGCTAACAATATTGGCTGTAGGTACATACATGTTTCTTATCATGACTGATAATACTTGTGATGAATGTTGGTTTGTTTGTAATCTTACAGGCAAAAAGTGTTTGTTACATACTACTCAGAAATGTATTGAATTTTACAGTTAAGTACAGAATCACACATGACTCTAAACAGGGACGGATGTATAATGGTGGAGTCTGTAGGTGTGTGATGAGATTCCTGCTGACACTAAATTAATCCTTTCACTCTTTTCCTCTCTTCCGTATATAAAACGTCTTTCATTGTTGAAGTTGGCTTGGGGGTGTTCTACTGTATATTTACCAGGCGTCTGGACACAGGCACACTCAAATCGTACGTATCGTTATTGTAAAGTCCAACTTACGCTTTATGCAGGTGGCGATTCTACATCTGCAGCATGCAGCCGCTTGAAGCGCAACCAGGTATGTCTGCATGTCCGAGGCAATCTGCCTGTGGACCGCCATGCTAACTCAACCTTTTTACCCTGCACGTCTGTGTGTGTCAGTGTGGTTTGAGGGGAACCAACCACAAAGAGTTTTTGAGTACTTCACCAGGTGTATATACTGTGGAGGGTATTTAGCGAAGAGGCCCATTGGTCCCCGGCTTTACCCTCCCCCTTGGCCCGATGTGGCGTTGTCATGCTTGCTGTTATCCCATCTCAAAGTGGTTCGTAATCCGTAATTAAGTTTGTCTAATGCATTTTACGTTTGTAGGAGTTTCTACCAAAAGCCAGCTGTTCAATTCTTTGAGGGTCTATCTGAACAACAAGAACAGACTGCAGCCCATTATTGGTCTGTTAAAACTACTCTCTATCGTGCATGTTGAACGTGTCCTGTGTATGTTTAAATACGTGTTGTTTTATTTACCCTCAGGCCTTGACAGCATTACAGAATGCGTGAAGGCGAGTACGCATCACGACGAATTGCTGTACCTATGTGAAGTGTGCGTGTGTCGACTGAGTAAAGCCGACATGCGGAACCACATTATGGGAAGCCTCCACAGATACAACTACATTGTAAGTGCAACTGTAAAATAAGTGACGGAAAGTTCATGGGCTGCCTTGGATTGCAGTTTATGCCCACGTGCTTTGGTTTTTTTTTTTTGCTCAACAGAAAGCCCGGCACCCCCACTTAGTGTCTGAATGGGAGGAGAAGTCTGACCTTTCTAAACTGGCCTGGCCACTGATGGACATGGCCAGGGTACTCGAGGGGGAAGAGGGACCAGGACAGGTCCAGGTAAGCTATTTGGGGCTGTGTGTGTTTGGTTTGTAGTTCAAAACAGAGCAGTATTTTGAGTTCTCATATCTTTTTACTCTTCTATGTGAAGTGGTTAGAGGTTAAAGATGCCTTATACCAGATGATGGCAACACACAGTGAGAATACGGGTCAGTTACTATTCACTTGTTTGGAACGATTGTTCTCTAATCCCTCTCTGGCTTTTTCTTCTCAACTTATTTTCATATCAACATGTTCATCGATCTTTCTCTTTGTAACCCGACAGCTGTCACTCTGATAAGAATCTTAAAAGATGGGCGGGGCCGGAGTGAACCTGAGAGACGCTCAGGGCCCACTGCGCCCGAACCTGCCGGCTTTCTTGACGGCTACCCGGGAACCGAGCCTCTAATCGGTGAGCACGGACAGACAAAACAAAGACAATGCAGAATGTATCAACATGATTACAAACGACACATGTGTAAATACACTGAAGCTTTCAGTAATTCAGTAATTCACAGTGGTAAGTATTCAAGGGATAAGCACTACTGAATATATTATGGTATTAGAATATTTTGAGGAGTTGTTAATATTTCATTTCTTGATGAGAAAATCAATACCAACTTCATGTCTGTGGGATGAATGTAGAGTTTAGTATCTGCTGTTTCAGGACTGACACTTGCAACGCACAAGGGTCTCTATTGGTTGCCTGGCAACTGTCTCCGCCCAGCACTAATTACGCCACAGAGATATTCAATAGATTTCATCCACATAAAAGCGGACAAATTGTATTTTTTGCACTTTTACTTTTGCATGGATAAAATAAATCAAAGAGTTATGTTTTGTATTGAATATCAGTGACTTATTAGTGGGAGGTGGATTTTGGAGTGACGGCCTTTGTGTCTGAGGCTACATATTCATTGCACAGTCCTGAGAGTGGTATTGATTAAATCTAACGCTTTGCAAAATCAGTGTATTTTCCCTAAAATATCTAACCATCACTTGTTCAAGAGAAGCTGCTTAAAAATGTTTGCAACAGGTCTTTTCCGCGTGGTTGAGTGTAGAAGTGAAGAAGGACACACATACTGTTTCTTATGTCACTGCTGCCGCATCCGATCCAACAAAAAGGACATCATTGATCACCTAACCACATCTTCCCATCTTGTCAACTACTTGGTCAGTTTGTTTTGAATAAGTAATGACAAATGATCAAGAACAATAATACTTTACCATCACGCATCCAAAAGGCTTCAGTGAACATGGAAGGTTTTTTTTCTCTGAAAACGTCTTGTGTTTTAGATGGAAACTCATCCCGAGAAAGTGGGGGTAATGATGGCAGATATCAATCCCAATTATCCACTTCTCCAATCACTGGCCAAGAAGGTGGAGCAACAGGAGGGCAGAGGAGAGCTGAAGGTATCCCATTTCCTTTGAAATAGAGAACATCCTGCCTTGGTTATGCTGCCGTGTGTGTAAATGAGGGGTTCACTTGCTCTCATCTGTACATGAATATGTTGTCAGGTGGTGAACGCACCAGGATCCCTCTGTCGCCTCCTGACTGGCAAAAGTTACCACTGGTGTGAGTACACACGCATGCCCACCCATTGTTCTGTCGTTGGTCCTTAAAACCATTTGCCTCTTTAGCTCCAGCTCTCTGCTCTTTGTAATTGAACCGGGATGCAACGACTGCACATAGTTAACTCTTTGCCCCCTAACTCCCTTTCGGTGATGATCATGATGCATTTCATGAAATGGATCAACTTGCATCAACAATTTCTGTATTATTCATATGTATTATTATTCACTGCCTTCTGTCTTCTCCATTCTTTGAAGATCTCTTAATGCTGTTAAAGTCTCTTATTTGACCTTTTGTTCAACTACATCGAACTTCTTTTTCATCCAGTGCATTTCTATAGCAAAGACTTTTCTTCTCTTACAGGTATAAAGATGCTATTTAACGGATGGGCACACACTGACATCAGGAAGCGGAAAATAGCTGTCGAAGGTTTGTCTTCGGAAGCAACCGCTCACTTGAAGGGGATGAAAATTCTGTTCTGTCTCTCAGAAATTCAATATTCTTTTGAATTTCTTGTCGTTTTTCAAGTTCTGTGGTTCGATTTTACACTTTTCCTCTAAGGGCCGAGTGTGAGAGAGACTTCCGACGAGGTGATGCTCCAAAAAAGTGCCGTGCTGGTGTCCCAATGGCCCAAAACGTTGCCGGCTAAGAGGAAAACGAGGAAAGGGACGCACACTGTGTTCAATGTGAGACTGCCTCTTACCACAGGCTCAATGCTGCTGGCGAGGAACTCATTCAACACGGACGGCCCCGCTGTGTCGTCTACGTACTCCCCCTCACCCGACTCGGATATCACCCCCCTTCCAGAGCCCCAGTGGGAGCGCTGTGACTTGGACTATGACGTGGGATCGTTTGACGCTGACCCCACCCAACACACCTCGCGACCTCAGAGTGACCTCCGCGGTGGAGACGCAGATGCAGGGCAATACATGGGTCCATTCCCTCCGTACGGGGGCGGGGGCGGGTTTCACGAGGACAATGCGCACTCCAACCAGGCGGAGAACGTGGCTGTAACGAAACACCGAAATGTTAATTGGGAAGATAATCGCACCGGAAGACATGGTTATCGAGAAAGATCAAGGCAGGAGTTTTACGACGAGCGTCAAAACAGAGGCCCGTGGACTGAGTGGCCGTACCCCGCTGTCCCCTACGTTCGGGTCTTGTCCCCTTGGAGCATTTACTGCAGACGAGAGGGGAGACGCACTGAGCAGGGCTACAATTCGACCTCACAGAGCAACATCGGCACAACGGATGTCATTCAACGTTATTGCGACCAACAACGTCCGTCCGCGACACACGGTCACGCAGGTTTTCCCTCGGGCATTGCGGGACAGCGGGGTCCATCTGGGGAATCGGCTGCTCATTCGGACGCTGCTTGGTTCGGCGTTCCTCCTTGGTCGGGAGATCCGCTCGCTCGCGGTGGCGGCGGTGCACCGCGTCCTGCTGTGCGGTTTCTGGAGACGGAACAGCGATTATTCCCAACATACGCGGGAGGTCACCATTGGTCGTGATTACCGGGAGGTCGGATCGAGTGGACAACTTGCGTTTGTGTATCCAAAGTTTAATTCTGTTTTTGTTTGCCACAACCCACTAAGTCTGCTGCCGAAGGTTTCATCCAGAATCACTGGTCCCTGCCAGAGCCTCCTTTTCCAGTAGTAGAAATAACCTTCAAAGCCTTGGAGGTCGTTATGCAGCTTTGGCCCCTTTCATTCTCAACGTTATTAAGTATTTTTTTGTGAAACCTTTCTTTCATCAGAATGTGAAAACGCGTGTGAATGAGTACAACTGAAATAGGCCTAGATTGTGACATATTTACTCTGGTTTACTTGGCCATTTAGGTTTTTCAGCAAAAGTGTATCCATCGGAATTAAGGATACTGATGATAGACAATGTTTTAGTATTCGTATTAATATTGTGTAGGCTCAGAGCAACAACCGATGCGTTCTAAAGGTTTTAAGATCACACTGAGGTTATGGTTTCTGATTGTCATTAAATGAACAAGCACAGATTCGACTGAAAATAAGGCCTTTACTAATATCTACATTTTTTTGTTTATTTTGGACCGTTGTGTAAATGCAACTGCATTATGTTCCCGCTGTGTGTCTGACTAACTTTTCATTAAAGGTCTTGATGACTTAGTGTATTTTTTACGTTTATTTTAGATGACCGGTTTCTGTTATCAGTTGACAGATTTAAGCATCAGCGTTGTTATCTGCTAAATCTAAACGCAATCAAATTCACTAGAGATCATTCTTAGACATGAGCGGGAACAAACGTGTACATGTCGTCAGTGTGCTGCAAGACATGGGGACTTATGTCTCAACAGAATTTGGAAAAAAAACCCTTATCTTAATAACAATCTTCTGTGACTGGACTATTGTAACGGTGGGTTCACTGGCCTCTGTAAAACGTCAGTCGGAACGCTGCAGCTCGAATCCTCACTAAAACCAAACCAAGTGGATCACTCCAGAGGTTGTTACACTGGCTTCATGTCTAACAAAGAATTTCCTTTTAAATCATCCTGTTGGTTTATAAAGCACTGAATGGGCAAAATACATGTTTGACGTCTGGGAGAGTTATTTTCTCTGGAACAGAGTCTCAGAGCGGCGGTCTGCTGAAACTGCAGCTTCAAATGAGCCTGAAGACAACCTGTATGCTGCTGCCTTTAATTAAACCAGATTCAAGTATGGAGTGGATGCTTTTTACTGTTGCTTCCATAAACTCCACTGCAACTTATATTCTGTTTTAAGCTTGTTTATAGTTATCTCACAAAAACTACTATGCCTACAACGCACCGGTTAACCCCAATAATGAATATGATCTGAAATGATAACAGCCTGTCATCAATGAAATACAGTATACAACTGGTTTATTATAGATGTGTCTGTAAATTCCAACTTGACATGAACGCAGCGCGCCGCTCCTGCAGGCTGCCGTGGTTTTGTCACAAGCTAAAGCAGAAAGGCAGCCGCTCTTCACGGCTAACGTTACTCACGGGGACGGCGGTGAGCAGGTAGCATTATCAAACCAGTCTTTATATCGTGGAAGGCGGCGTATTACATTCAATTTGGATGGCTGAAATTCGCGTCAGGTTAGTGACCGGCTAACTTGCCGTAGATAACACAGTTGGGAGAAACCGTAAAGCGGCCCGTCTCCTGGTGTCGTAGCCCCCCCCCCCCCCCCCTTTTTTTAACGTTGATTAATCTCGTCAAGATGTCAGCCTTCTCCGAGGCGGCTTTAGAGAAGAAACTGTCCGAGCTCAGCAACTCGCAGCAAAGTGTGCAGACGCTGTCGCTGTGGCTCATTCATCACAGAAAACACGCCAGGACCATTGTCAACGTCTGGCTCAACGAACTGAAAAAAGGTAAGGTCGGCTAAAGCTAACACTTAGCCGACTGACGTCAGTAACGTCAACACGGGACGCACGCGCACCTCGCTGTGCGTGTAGCCTTTGGCTGCGGGAGCCGACTCGCTGTGGCTAAAGCCTTATTTTGAATTCCCCAAAACTCACGTTTTCAGAGCAAAGTGTAACTCCAAAGCTGCCCGGCGCAGTGTCGCTGTGAGCGCCAGCTAATGCTAACGCTAGTCGCATTTAGAGCGTTACATTAACTGCATTACATGCCATTTAGCTGACGCGTTTATCCAAAGCGACTTTCAACCCATAAGGAGGCAAACCCTCAAGAAACAAGAACCTGCAATGTCATCAAATAAGCCCATTTACAACTTGCTTTAGATAAGAGCCATTATAAGTACAATGAAAGTGCTACAATTTGAGCAATAACGTCAGCAGCTGTAAACTGTGTTGACTCACCCGCGTTTAACAGCTAACTAAAGTTATAACGTGATGTGTGTAATGTTGCTCAGTGGTTGCGTTCGGACTGTGTGTGGCTTTTCTAAATGAATGAAATGAAACGAGCTGTAGCCCCCATTCACGTTTGTCTCATAGTTTAGTCCAGGTGTTCAGTATCAAACTCTTTTGAAAAGGTGATGCCACATCAACGCTGTGTTTACAGCTGGTTTTTCTGCTTCCAAGTGTCCACAACTATCAACTCGTGCAGCTACTTTTATATCTCTATTGGTATAAAATATTGTGCAAACAATTGTACAACTTTTTTTTTTTAAGTAGATTTCTCGTTGCAATGCACCTGCCGAGAAGCAGTGCCCATTAAATCAATGAATCTTTCTGCATTCATTGTTCCCTTTTTGTATCTTCGCACTGACACGGTAGCCAGAGCCAGTTGGTGAACACGTTGGAAATGTATATTGGACCTCCATTTGCCTGACACCACTTGGAATAAAAGCCCATGCTGCTCTGTAACCGCTGTATGTGTGGTTGGGTTCTTATGCGTTTTCATGTTCGCTCTCCACGGTCTGCTGGGAAGTTCATCATTAATCTGTCAGTTGAACACTAGGTCAGCCGTGAGGTTTCGCTGATACTGGGATGGACTTGCCTTTCTTCTGTACCAAACCTTTTTAGGAGTACAGACCGTACCTCTAATCCAATGACATTCCGCTTTATACTTGTAAATGTGCAGTGTAAATGCACTCCTATGATTTGCGACATGTCCAACATTCAACGTATCGTTTTATTTTTTGTTGTGTTATTACTGTTGCAGCTAATAATGGCCCACTCTTCCCTCCGGTGCCATTTGACAGCCTCATGACATCTCAAGAGATTGATGTATTTTAAGAGATGGCGTGTGCAGCGTTAACACGGAGATGGGGGGGCGGGCATGGCTCATTTCTCTTGAGCTTTACGCTCTGCTCAGTGTTTACAGTTACTTGCCTACAGCAACAAAGAGAAATGCAACATTTCTTCAACATGTGACTGTTACAATATGGTTGGTGGACAAATACCACATTGTGTGATTAGAGTTAAGAAAATACAAATGACTTTGAAATGTAATTGTTTCCCAACCTATCCTGAAATGTAGTGAATCTACAGGGAAGATTGACCTGTGTGACTTGTTGGTTGTTCATCAACAGATGCTGTTGTTTGCTATGAGTATGGGGGGGGGTTGCTGCATTTCATACATGGAAGAGTAACTTTTAATATACAATAATCTGGCTTGCTTCATCATCCTCATCAGTTTTTAAGTTTTAGTTGGCTCATCGACCTCTCATTGCGTTTTAAGTTCAGTCATGTAAATACTGATCAAATGCCTCCCTTTAATACGTGTGTGTGTGTGGATTTTAACGCACGCAGCTCAGGTTTCACGCAAGCTGACCTTCCTCTACTTGGCCAACGACGTCATTCAGAACAGCAAGAAGAAGGGACCAGAGTTCACACAGGACTTTGCTCCGGTCATCGTCGACGCATTCAAACATGTTTACAGGTCAGATTTTATATTACCAATCATCTTTAAGCCACATTTCTATGAATCACCCCGACACAATGACTGGCTCACCGTGTTACGGTCAGACTGTGATTTATGTTTTTATAGGCTTATGGTTATGAGGGTTCCTTCTAATGTAACCAATACAGCTAATAACAGTCTGTTGTGGAACATGTGGAATTACAAGGAACATGATTACTTAACCTGAATATCAAACATGCAAACTAAGCTGCGAGAAGAATGTGCGTCACGTGTCACACACATATCTGTCTCTCAAAATGATTAATAAAAGAACAGATTTATGGCAAGAATGATTGCGGAAACTAGAGATTTTACAGCTTTAATGTGATTTTCACCTCTTGGAAGGGACTAACCTAATAAAATATGGTATTTTAATGTAACACGTCCTACAGTGGTTTGACCTCCACCCTGTCCTCTCTTGTGTTTTCCTGTCCAGAGATGGCGAGGAGGGCTGTAAGAAACAGCTGGGTCGGGTCCTCTCCATCTGGCAGGAGCGAGCTGTGTATGAGAACAACCTGCTGGAGCAGCTCTCCCAAGTGCTCTGTAAGTTCACCACCGACGCCCCTCTCAACCAGTGTGGGCTCCCTACCGTTGCGTTATCTCTTTCCCCCAGTCACTGGTAGCGCAAGACGGAAATTACATAACTTTTTCTAATCTAAGTATTGCTGCATTACTGTATCCGGACGCAATGATCTTTTTGTTTTTGTTGTGGCGGGTAAATTCACGTTATGATGATGTGAAATCACAGCCGGTTGGGTTTGTGAACTTTAGCTTCTCTGTCATGCTCGTAAGAGCATTAGTCATAAGAGCGCGATACAGCATCAGTTAGGATTACTGGTGGGGACTAGTGGTCCTAAATGTTACATGCATAGTGTTTTAGTATTGATAAAGAAACCACTCCCTTACTTTATTACGTTCATTCTTTGTTTTAGTGTCTGGCTGGGGTGGAATAAGTGTTTGGCCAGCAGCTGACGCTTATCGAAAGCTCCGTTTGTGTTTTCTTTGAAATCCCAGATGGAGAGAAGAAGGCGAAGAAGAGACCGTATGAGGAGATCCGACCAAACGATGAAGATTTCGCTTCCCAGAGTTCCCCAGCAGAGCCCCCTCAGGTGAAATATGGTCTGAACCCGGGAGAGGTCCTTTTTTTAATGACGCTTCTTTGGGCGGACCTCTGGATGGATTCGTACCGCACAACCTCCTTTCTCCGCTGCTGCTGATTTGTATTTGACATATAAAATGACCACATTTGAACCTTTTCTCCTCACTGCTTATCATCCTCCCGCTACCATCAGACTGCAGAGTTGATCCGAGCTCTTCAGGAGCTGGAGAACGCAGCGTCTGGAGACTCGGTGCTGCGTCAGCGCATTTCGTCCCTTCCTGCCGAGGTGCAGGACACGTCGCTGCTTCACAGGATTACAGGTAGGAGGATCACTCTTCTGTTCTCATTGCCCGACAATCGCTCAACAGGAGACTCTTTTGTACTAATGATCTGTCTGGAGAACGGTGTCTTCTGGAGGCTGAGGCAACGTTGTTTAACTGCTTTGACTTACCGTACACAAGGAGCGCACCAAGCACAGCTCCCTTGCCTACACTTAAAAACATTATAAACAAACTGAAGGGCCCTCAAGCAGGAAACGGCAAGTACAAAGATAAAACCCCCTTCTATCTTGCATCGTAAAAAGTGTTTGTTTTGCCGGTGAGTAAACGGCGGCTGTTTCCTTTGTGCCAGTATTGATGCGCAACCTTTAAACTTGTTATTTTCTCTGTGTGCTTTCTGCGCTTCAGATAAGGAATCGGGGGAGCGTCTCTCCCGGCTGGTGGAGGAGGCCTGCATGTTGCTAGCGGACTTCAGTGGCCGCTTGGCGGCGGAGATCGATGATCGGAGGCAACTCACGCGCACGCTAACGGTCTTCCTCCAGAGCCAGAAAGACGGGCTGACGCAGAACGAGCAGAAACTTGACGTGCGTAAATCACTTTTTTTATTTTTTGTTCCATGACTTAACATGCTGTCCACCTCGCCTTATTGTGTCATCATTATTCTTCCTCATGTTCATCTGTGTTGTGTAGCTGTGTGCGCAGACTTCTTTTGAATAACCCTTTTTGTTTTAATGTATTTCAGCATGTAGCACGCGTAGTTTCACACCGTAGCTTTCCATTTGGTGGTCTCGCCTGTCGGCCTTAAACAAGCCAGAGATTCCCGAGTAGATGCACTTAGTAGTAGATGTTTGTTCATTTAGCCTTTGTCATTTAACCTGGTTCAATCTTTACTCTTACGGTAAGTATCAGCCAAAACATTTGAACTTGATAGAACTCAAATACACATTTTATTATTATTTTCTCTTAGTAGTTATCTCTTTGTGTTTACAATAACTGTCGAGCCTTTTATCCACAGGATACCAAGAGGATAAAGTATTTTCATATTTGTATTTTCGATAAGTCAAGTCTTTTGTAATAAAACAAAAACTGAAAATAAAAAATAAAACTGATTTTGTGAGTGCTTTTATTTTGCTATTACATTTTAAATTCCAAAGATGGTCTATAATATCAATTTCTTTATTGTTTTATAGTATTGAAACAGTAAATGTTACCTACACGCTCAAAGTCATATTGAGCTTAATTGAATAAACATTAAAATCACTCTAATTGAGGAAAACTTGTTATTAAAAGTCAAATAAAGTTTGGATGATTATTAGATATTGTGATTGGACTAATGTCATTATGCAGTATGACCTCACCCTTGATTTGGTGAGGAAATGTGTTTTCTTGCACAAAACCCCTGAATTCAGATCTACAACACCACGTGTTCTGTTGTTTTTAAGGAGTAAAACATTTATCTGTCGATGGCTTTGCCTTCAGCCATAAATTAGATTTTACTTCAATCGGCCACTATGAGTTCCCTGCAGATTTGTTGGTTGTGTCGTACGGACAGTGAAGATAAACCTGAATACTTGAACCCGCCTTATGTTCTATTCCCCAAAACAATCCGAGGAAGGAAGTTCATTTTAATTTTGATAATCTAACAAATGGAAGTAAACCATTCAGCAAGTTAGCTGAGAAGCTGTGGCAAGATTACTGACATATAAGATTTGGGGGTTTTGAAATGGCAAAAAAAAGTGTTAAATATGATCACACAATTTATATTTTATGTTTGTGTGATGGTGTATTTTTCTAATTAGACTGAACTGGGGGGAGCAACACAACTTGTAGTATTTGGAAGAATACACACACGTTGTGTAATAATGTGTAATAACTTAAATTCGACTTAACCAACACCACATTTTGTTCTACACAATGCAATACAAAGTCACTACATTAATGACTTAACTGTATTACAATTTTTACCTTTTTTTTAAACTCCATGTATTTTCCAATGAGATTATGTCAATTCCTTACATCTGTTTATTTCGACAAATTGTTTTGTTGAATGAATTTGAAGTGTCAATCATTCAAGCTATGAGATATTTGATCTCTGATGGACCTTTTTTTTTTTTCTTTGGGTATTTTCAGGAATACAAACGCAAACTGGCGAGGGTGACCCAGGTCCGGAAGGAGCTGCGTGTGCGTCTGAACAATCTTCCGGGAGGCCTCTACAATTCTTCAAAATGACTCACGTTTCACCTCCCGATCAGATAACCTGACCGCCCTGCTTCTGCAACATCTCAACCCGTCTCTAGATATCTGGTCATGGCCTTTGCCACAGTTCTCCTCTCATGATTTTGGAAAGTTTCTGTTCTCATGTTCTTGTTTTTTAACATTTTGTTCATCCCTGTTGCTTTTTTTGCCAGAATGTCTTCTTTGTGAGTTCATATCTTTGTGAAAACAAAGCGTCATACTCATCAGACCCAAGCCCCTATCGGTTTGCTCCCTTTAAGGTGTCGGTGATGCTGGTGTGATATTTTTGTATTTAAAGTGACTTAAGATAATGCACCAGAAAATACACCCCTAGTGTGATCATTTATAATATGTTTGGTGTTTTGGATTGTTTTCATATAATTATTTTACCAGTCTATATCTGTAAACCTATAAGTCTAACTCTTTGTTGTATAATCATTGTTTTATGCAGTGTGATGTAAACTGTGCACTTGTTAAATCTTTGGGAAACCATATTCTAAAGCTGAGCAGTAATCCATGTTCTAAAAGCAAACCGAAATGTGTAATCATCATTTACGTAAAGCCTCCTCCTGAGAGGAGTTTGTAAATCATGGGTCAATGTACATATTCACATCTGCATGTAAATATGACGAGAGTTATGCCTGTGAACGATATGGGTCCATGTCGCCATGGATCGGGATGAAATGGTCGTTCACACAAATTACTGAGGTATCTCACTGTAGTCTACGTCTTCATCGCTGCTCGGACTTTCACTGTACTGAAATGATGACTGAAGGAGCCTGTTGTCCTGTTTACTGTATCACACTGCTTCATAGATGCATCATTAACTCTACCGAATGCTGTGCAGATGCCTCACACAGCTTTATAGGTGCCCCCAAAACCCAAAGCCAGACTTAAGCTGTTGTTTTTGTACATTTGAAGCAAATTCTTCCTAGAACCAAATAAACAGAAAATGTGAAATCTTCGCAGTGCCTGTCTGCAGTGTCCAGTGTGTGGCCACTCAAGTTTGATGGCATTTGTTGGTCCTGGCCAACAGGGGGCGTGAACGGACGCCTGACAGTAGACCCGGTACCAGGAAGCTGTTAGCGCGTGTTTCCGACGGACAGATACGCACAAGCACCGGAAGTAGCTTTAGTCCGCAACCCATTCAAGCAATTCCGTCAATTGAGAGAAAACAAACTCTGCTGAAGTTCATACAATATATCCAGTAAATATAAACACGCGATTTCGCTTGTGTTTGGCAAGATAAAACTACGCGAATCGCTAACAAACGTTAGCTAAAATCTGACTCCCTGTAACGTGCTTAGCTATCAGCTAGCGTTAGCTTCGTTGCTATGTTACGATCGTTATGATTCAGATTTGATAAACTACGCGATTTCTAGAGGATACAACGCTACAACTAACCGTAAATCATCTAACAATGGACCATTTCGAAACACCATACGTGGAGGAGTCTACATTTATTTTATGCAGGGTAAGCTAGCATTACGTTACTCATGCACTTTGCAATTTGGCGACCGAATGGCGGAAGAAAGAGATGCAGCACGGCGATCACGACCATTTTAGTAATAGTTTACACACTCCGGTCTAACCAGATCAGATGTACCTAATGCACACCTGCTCGAATACCCCCTCTACCCCCCGCACACACTCAATTAGAGATATATTAGTGGTTATCGTTGCTATCGACTGGTACAGCGTTGCAAAATGACGTGTTTCTAATATTTCATCTACCTCTGTAGAAAGGCTCATGATGTCAGATCGTGGTTGTCGTACTCCGTTACAGTGCAGCAGCTGTGATACCGATTGATTCGTGTTTTCTCTCCGAATCCAGGTCTGTGATAAATCCATAAGGGGTGAAACCTTGTACAAGATACACCTGACCACACCAGGACACAGAAAGGTACACGTCAGTGGGGCAGAGTGACACGCAAAATGAAAAAGCTTTGTGGATTTTAATACACCACTCATTTATAAGAATATATGTTGATGGGCAGTAAGCACGCAGAAGTGAAATACACACGTTTTGTCTTTGGCCGACCGGAAGCTGGACCATATCTTGACTGCAGAAGTGTAAACTGTGCCGTCCCTCCTTGAGCAACAAGCAACCAGGGGAAATAAATGCTTCGTCTTTGACCATTCTGAAGACTTTGTCAAGGTCATGCTGGAAGCTCCCTCTTGTGTCTTTGTGGAGTAAAGTTTTGGCAAATAAGATTCTGCGTTCTGACTGAACTAGATGACTTGATCTGCATTTTCATTGTCCATTTGTTTCAAATCATCACCTGGTTGTGGGTGACTTTGATGGACACAACTTTTGCTTAACGAGAGGAACAGGTTTCCTGTTTTTGAAAAACTTGCTTTTGTTGCTTTCTTTCTTTTTTTTAAAGCAACCATCTATATATATTTTTCATATGTCATCAGCTTTAGATGAACCTTCATTTTTCTTGGTCCATGTTTGTCAAGTATTGAGACTAAAGACATCGAATACTAAGCCTGAAGCCGTGGATCTTTTTCACTCCTTTGATGGTTTGCAGATGGAAAATCCTAAAGCCAGAACGCTGGACTGATTTCAGCTTGATAACTTCTTCAATGGAGTCTGGTTCAATCATCTTGGTCTTCTTGGAAACAATAATTCGTGAGCGACTTGTTGGCAAGTCCTTTTCTGCGATGTCACCTGGAGGATGTGCTCAATCCTCTGTCTTACTGCACTATTATGTAAACATATTCTGGTCATTTCCCTTGCCTGCCTTGCACAAAAAAAGCATGCAGCTCCCTCTAGAAACCCGCCAGCTCGAGGACTGTAAATCTTCTTCTATGGCTTTTAATTCACAAAAAATTGCAGCCCTCCCACGCAAAACAAATAGAGGTGTCATGTTTCTGCATCAGACGTGTTTTGTTTTTTGTTGTTGTTGTTGTGCGACTCTGGATGTCTTTGTGTGGTTGGGAAGCTTCAACAGCTGACCTCCGACCCCAGTCCTCTCACACTGCGAACTCATGGAGTCGGGCTGGGAATAGAAAATGAAGATGCATAATATTTTGACAGTTGAGCATTGCAGATGCTAACTTATTATCCATGCTGTACGGCCCTACTTTCTACTGTCTACACCGGATGCACTCAGACAAGAGGCTGACATACTTTTCTGTGGATCTTGGGTTCCCTGTGGGTCAATTTGACAATTGCTGGAATTTCTTCACTCTTTCGTGGAAGACCGAGTGTTGGACGGGACTGAAGTGACAGTCAACTCCCTTGTAAGCAATCGTTTCTCTGCGATAATGCTTAGTCATGTGTTTTTTGGTTGTGTCGCCGAAAAACCGGACACAGCTTCTCTGCATGTAGATCTTCACGACGATAGAAAGGCCTACCTCGATTGTGTCTCAAGTGAGCTGATGTCTCGGTCGACCTTTATTTGTTAAAAACTGATTTTCATCCATGATATAACCCTTTCTCTGTTTGTAGCGGTTGTGGGCCAATGTCCTGTTCGCCGAGCACTGATTGACTTAATTTTGTTGCTCTCCTTTTATCCCTGGCAGAAAGAGGATGTCCTTGTTGCTTCGGGTAAGTAGACTTCATCTTCAGCATTCTGTTCTATTCTGGCGTTGAGTATATTTGCCCGTCTGTTCTGGCAGGGGAATTGGTACACACACACACACAAAGGTAACCAAGGGCACCGTGATCGTGGCCTTGTTGTGATGGACAGCATCAATGACTGAATCCTCTAAGAATAACTATGAACTGAAGAGATATGCTGTTGGTTGCACTGCGTCTCTCTCTGACAAAGTGTGTAAGCGATATGTTGTCAGATGTTTTTGATCTTTTCGCTGAGCTGCCAAACAACGCTACACAACTAAGTTGTGTGCTTTTTGTCCTCAGATGTCATGCAGTCAATGAGGCTTCTCAATTCCAGTTCAGGTGAATCTCGATTTACTCTGAGGACTCTGAGAATGCTCCTCACTTTCTTAAGTGGGCCTAAATAATGAAAAGGCCCTGTTTTGTTCTCAGTTTCACGTCTGCACAAGTTAGCTTTGTGAATCCTAACAGCCTTCTTCAGACCTTCTGGTGTCCTTTTAAGTCAACAGAAATACCACAAATTCACCCATTATTAGCAAAGGATGGGGGGGGGGGGGCACTTGCATGCCACCAATACCTTCATGGCGCCCCAAAATTTACTTTAGCCAAACATGGCGGCTACAGAAATCTGTGTGGTACCAGATCCTCAGAGAGTGCACCTGCACCGCCTGCGAGGTTCAACGCACAGGAGGGTGTCACGGGTCACCGCAGGGAGCCGAGGCCTGCAGGGACGCCCCCCCCCGCGCATCTAACAAGCCGATTGCTTGATCAAACTTTCTGTTGGAGTCGGGTTCCAAGTGGAAAGAACAGAGTGTTTATGGTCGTTGCATTTACAAGAGAGACACGGAGGCTTTTTCCACGTGTGTTTTATGCTGCAAAGGTGGACGTGTGTTTAGACTGGGCAAAGTGTTGTGCGCGCTCATGTTGAGGTAAAAACACATGGTCTCTCCACTCGTTTTGGGGATTTTTCTTTTTTGGGAGGGAGGAAAAAGGGATTTTTCCTTTTTCGCCTTTTGTCTTTAAGATGTCACAATATGCAGAGGAAGTCAATTTTTGTTGACAATAAAATCCTCCTCCTTTCCACATGTGCAAAGCCGCACGAGAGAATCACGAGAGACGACCTCTCTGTTAATGTAAGCAGAGCGGAATCTGGAGTCTGAAGTGTTCAAAGGTGAAGCGCTGGAGTTCATACAAAATAACGCGTTTGGTGACTCATTCGCAGCGTCACTACGTGAAGTGGACTCTCTGACTCCGCTCGGCCTCTTGGGTGCTTGTACTGCAAACCCGGTTCTCAACCGATCTCATTTCAATAGGCCTCCGTCCGCCCGTCGTCCTGAAGGTGGCGGTTGTCTGAAACAAGGGGAACCCAAAAGATGGGTCGACGTTTTAAACACAACGATGGTGTAGTTACATCCTAAAGCACTAAATTACACCAAAGATAATGCAGCGACGTTTGTACGGCACAGGAAGTTAAGTTTACGTTACCTCAATGATGTGACGTAACCTCAACAAGCGGGAGAAACCTCTGGACTAAAGTTGTAGCGTTTCTTCCTTACGACACCTGCCGAACTTCTGCAGCAGGATCCGCCTCACGGGATCTGAGTGGATCCGCTGCCGGAGGACGAGTCCAAGGACTTTCTGGTGAAGGATTCCACCTGAAGTTGCGGCGAATCCGACCCGGTGACCCACGAGCATTGAGCATTGAGCCAATCCTCTCACTCTAACTCTGGGTTAATTATGTGGGTCATATCAAGGCACCACTATTCAACAGACTGTTTGATAACCAGATAAAAGCCCCTCACAGTTACCTTAAAGTAAACAATGCACTGTACATGTGTTGTATTATCTTCGTAATGTTGTAATGCTTTCTTTCGCTCACTACAAGTGTTTATGTTCCTCAGGGCATCCAGTCAGACTTCCCCGCATTCCGGAATTTGAGGACATATTACAATATCTGGATTACATGAAGCTTGATGAGCCCATCATTGGTGATTAAGTTGATAGCAATTAAAATACATATTTTAACATGTTGATTGAAATCCTATTTACCCGTTTTTGCTTTAATTTCTTAGGTTTGAACTATTTGGACGAGCTGCCTTGTAATGACTCACAGACGGGCCCCAAATACACGTGTAGGCTTTGTCATCAGACGGCAAACCTGCTGGAGATGGTCCATCATGTGATCGGACGAAAACACCGGCAGAAATATGTGGTAAAGCATTGTGAATACTTACAGCAACCTTTTTGAGTGTTTGTTTCTCCTTTTTAAATGAAAAAGAGAAACAAATTGAGGAATGCCATAACTTTTTGGGGGTTGTTTTTTTTCCGTAGGAACTGAAACGGCCCGACTTGGTGACGTGGAATAAACAATCCTTAATAACCCACGGGGGAAAGACCGTACGAGCCAGAGCGGAGATAATCGAGAGGCAGGATGGACGAGGAACTCCAGTGGTGGGACAATTTTGGCAATTGGACATATGGAATATAATTGAAGTTGAATGTTCTTTAAAGTTCAGTGACATTTTTCGGGGGTTTTTTTTGTTTCAGGTCATGTCGGGAAAAGGGATGGAGGCCCAATTGAACACGTCAAGAGGTACATTCATACTACAAATTCTGTGACGTATTAGACATTTGATACGATATTGACAGGCCCACATATAATATACGTTATTGTGTTCTCACTTATAGTATTATAGTATGTTGGATCTTTGCATATATGATTGATTTTCAGCCTGAACATTGATAAACATACACTGACTAATCCTCATTTTCTTATATGTGCGCAGCAGGATGTTTGAGAGAATTTTACTGCGCTAAACTTTGTGATTTGAGTGTTTTCAAGTTGCTTTGTGATATCCATTTAATACCTTTACGACAATCCGATACAAAGTCACCTCATAAATACAAAAGCCAGAAACACTGTATCTTATGTTTTAACGTTTACCCGTCTTCTCTAGTTCCCCCCAGGCAGACGCTGAATAGGGATCAGAACTTTTTACAGAATCCGATCCGGCGAGGTCGGCCGCCACTCCGGGACGAGTACTCTCCCCCAGGGAGGGGTCACCCGGGCACAGCCCCATTCGGCCAAGAAGACGCGTACATGTCGCCCAGGGACAGTTCGATGTACCAACAGGGGGAACTGCAGGGGGCAGATCGCGGGGGGCGCCTCACCGACAGACAGGGGTACATGGAGCCAGATGATCGTACGGAGTACCAAGAGGAATATTTTGACGGTTCACAAAGGAGAGCCACACCGGAGCCGTGCGGGGATCCCAGGTACGATCCAAGGCAGGAGATTTACCCAGACGAGGCTCCTCCTGTCACAGCGCTCCACCCGGAGAGAGATCCACTGAAGGAGTTCTACACTGCCGAAGTCAGGAGACGCGGGCGCGCTGGTCCCGAGTACCCGGCCTCGCAGCCGGTGCACCCAGAAGGCGACGGGCGGCGTTCTCTGGACGGGGAATCCGGAAGACCCCGAAGCATGAATGGGGCCGGCAGGCAGGGATCGAGCGAACCCGAGGCAAAGAGGAGGAGCTTTCCTACATCCATGGAGAGGGACCAGACGACTGACGGCCATTTGTTTAATTTCGTCAGAGAATATCGTCACGAAATGAGGGAACTGTATCGGGAGGAGCCGGCCGGGAACCCGAGGCAGAGCCGAGCAGGAAGCCTCACCTCCCAGAGACAGGTGGAAGCTAGCCGGGCCCTGTCGGACATTCCAGAGCCGTTCAGGCGTTTCCTAAAAGGCGCCGCTAATGATGAGGGATACGGTAAAAGAAAAAGAAAGAGCCGCTTCTCTGATGCCACTGCAGAGGAGGCAGAAACCACAATGGAGATGTGAGTGTTAATAAAAGATGGATCTCCATGAAACTGACTGAATGCTTTGTGTCTTACAATATTTTTGTGGACACATTTGTTTTTATGTTTTAAGGTTCCGCGAGTACGGATTTCCAGATCCGACACCTGGCAGACGTCCTGCACCAGTCTATGGAACTCAACACCCTGACCGCTACAGAGAACCGCAGGTAGTTAATAGCGACATTGGGCTATTTGTTTTGATTAACTAGTAACCTGCCATAATGTTCAAATGCCAACTAATCTGGAAAATGTTGTATTTCTTAGAGCTCGCATCGTGCTGAAAGCCACCTAAGAGAAGACTCTGAGTCAACGGGTGTCTTTGACATGCTGGTAAGATTGTGTTTTTGTATTTCCAATGTTTGCCATTTGTTAAAGGGGCCTGCTTCACTATGTCTTTTTCCCTTGTCACTAGAAAAACATTGAAATTGAAAATGCAGAAGAGGCCGACTTCCTGAATAACAAACTTTGCGACCTTCTGAAGGAATTCAAGAACAAAAAATCTGAGAATGCTTTGGTATGTGTCTCTAACTGTGCGTGTAGTTTAATTTCAAAAATGTGTTTGAAGAACATTACCGAGCGTGGTTTTAAACAATGGTGTCTTTGTCGCTCCAGCAAAATAGCCACGGCCGAGTAGCCGTCTCCACAAACTGCAACAGCTTTGACCCGGAGCTGTCCCCAAAACATCAGTTTGACACAACCCACAGAGAAGATTCAGACCGCAGACGACCAGAAGAACTCTACTTTAGAGAAGAGCAGGGAGGAAGAGGCCGGCGACCGCATGAGCAAACACCTGAGGGGCAGCTTGATGAATACCACCATCCTGTACGCAGGGTGCCTGTACAGTCCAACAGAAGACATTATGAGGGTGTGCTTTTTATATATATATATATATAGATGATTTAAGGTCTTGAATGGAAGATCTCCATCACCCAAAAATAGCTCTAATAACTAATTTCTTTTGCTGTTTTTCTTCCAGAGGTTTTTGGGTTGCCCAGCATGCAACATGCCAGCTATCCGGATGAGCCAGCACGTTATCCTGAAAGATTTGAAGAACCGAGGCACCCTCTAGACTTCTCACATGCTCCCGAGGAGTTTATGGACTCCCAAACCTCTGCACCTCCGCTCCGCATGGAACGAGGACACAGGATGGACAGGGGCCTTCGGTACTCCAACAACCTGGACAAAATCACCTCCACCCTCCTGGAGCTTGTCACAAGGAAATAATTTACCTACAAGTTCTGTCTGCATATACCTCCATAGATATGATGAAACTGGTTTGCAGACAAATGTTATCAAACTTTCCTCTTCCCTGCAGTTGGATTTTTTTTAGCGTTACATTTGGTTCTTAAACATTAAAAATATTTGTCTACTGCAGCTGTCTCTGTTCTCTACCTATAACCGTTATCACCAGCAGCATGTAATAATGCCCATTGTGATAGTATTCCATACAGTTATTTTGATTAAATTCAACTCTGAAATACAAGTTTGGTTCAGTTAAAGTTAGTCAATGTCATGCAGACATTTGTGAATTTTTTGTTCCAATGTTAGTTTAATAAAAATTGTATTATGGGGGGAAATCAGTCACAGCAGTTCTACTTGTTATTACCAGAAATCTTCATGTTTTATTGTATACTTGTTACACATACATGGTGTAATTGGACTGTCACTAAACTAGTTGATGTAAAAATGGCAGTCTTGTATTTTTTACTCGTTCACTTATTTATTTTTTACTAATAATACATTATATGTTAATCGATAACACATAACCTCAATTTATTTAACCAATGTAATGTGCTGCGGTTAGAGACTGACGCCGTTGCCCAGGGAACGTAACTTCTACGTCATCACGTTCGTGCATCCAACTACTTCCGGTTCAAGTTGCAGCCATCTTGTTTCCCCCTGCTTGCTAAATAAAATAAATAATACACTGATCCGGACTTCACTTCGAACCCGTAAAACAAAGTGAGTACGAAATTAGACGCAGTTTATGTGTAGAACGTTTACTTTAAAGGAGCTCGGTTGGTGAAAGTTTGAAGGAATATTTATCTTATTTTCGTGTCCTGTTCTTGACCAATAGACGATTGTTTTGGAAGATGAACATAGGCGCCATTTCCCTCCCCGCTCTCTGAGGCGCTTATTGGTGGCCCGCTGAAGGGATCACGGGCGCTCAGGAAACTGGCGTTATGTGTCCGCCATGTTGGCGCTCGTCTACGTGCTCGACCGACGGACTGGCCATTTCAACTGGAGCCCGAATGGCGCCAGTTGCAGAACGAACTTAGCCCTAAAAACCTTGATTGGTGGAATCTAGTCCGGGGTTTGATTGGTCTGAAGGACAGATCCAAACGTTGCCTTTATTGGTTAGACTGCTTCTTCCTCGCGTTGGAAAGCCTTGCAAAAACCTCCACTCGACGTTGCGGACTCGTTGTCCGCTGGCTATCAGAATCACCCGAACCGCGCGGATGGTCTCCTAAGCGTGTGCAACAATCACAAGTGTGCAGCTCCAACATGCTAACGTAAACTTCACGTTAGCACGAAGTCTCGGTCCACGCGTTATAAAGCCGTTAGGTCCGGGCGCTAAGCGTGCGTGTCCATCGTTCCCGGTCTTAAGGCGTCCGATAGCTCACAGTTTAACGCCACATTTGTATTTGATCGAGTCTAGTTTTTACGGATAGCCGTCTGCCGCGGGATGATGTGGCACCGGTTAACGTCTCATGCTAGCCGCTTTTGTTGGTGCTCTCTGGTCAATGTAAACTGCTGTAGCGACCCTGTTAAAAGGGGGAGATTATGAGTCTTTATGTAACGTTAAGTCCTCATAGAGCCACGGTGCTCTGCTCCCAGTGTGAAGCCAAAGAGCATTTTAAAAATTGCAAGTATCAAGCGCGTCTTTGTTTCCTTAGAGCTACTCTCCTGTTCCTGAAGAAACATCATTTTAAATAACCTTTTTTTTATGCTTGAATTGTGAAAGAAGAGGGTTAAGCCACAATTTCAAATCCACCCAAAAAATCACCCAACCTAATTCTGCATTTTTTTCTTTATTAGCATAACATTATTTTCATTCTAGAGATCAATAATACTCCACAGTGAATAATTACTTCAGCAACACTGTGCACTGTTTACGGTTTTTCTACATTTTTTTACATTTGGCATTTAATATTTAATATTACTGGATTAGGTTGGGGAATTTAACCTAAATGACCCATGAGTAAGTCTAGTCAGTTTACCATTTTTACATGCAGGTGTTTTTGGCGGTTTCTTTTCGTGGGCGAACGCCTGCCGTGGCCCAGCTACCCTTATGGGGCCGTGTGTTTACAGAACCCACGGCTTGTGGCTGGTTTGTGTGTGTGTGTGTGCGCGTGTTTGTCTCTAAACAGCGCCGGCGAGCGCAAACATGTCCCTGCTACGAGCAGCAAAGGTCACGGGAAGGTCTCACTTGTACGGTTGACCTTGCCAGGTGTCATTACTGAGGCATTCTGGGTAGCCAGAATCCATTTGCAAGGGGAGAGGGGGCTGCTGGAGAGATTAATCGTTGTGCAGCTCTGGTCTAATCATTAACTGGGTGGCGGTGGTACCTGCTCCCAGTCCCCATGCTCCTCACAAAAATAGTAAAGGGAACATTTAGCTTTGTTTCTCTCGAGTCTCGTGTCTTGTTCTCTCACTCCACTTGTTCTACCCCTCCCATCCTATAAAACCTCTCCTCTCTGTCCTTCTCCATCCTTCCGGTTCCCCTCCCCCCTCTAGGTTTTTTCATTGATGGGGCAGGTTTGCTCTCTCTCTCTTAAGCGTCTTGTGTTCCTCACTACAGTCGGGATTTGCAGTAAACTGCAGCATACGGCTTCAGGTCATACCTCTATCCTTGGCCCAGGTTGTCAGTAAAAGGCACCCTGGCCACAGTTTTCTGACCATTTCTGTCCCTCCCCATGGCTTTATGTCTTAATGAGCTTGCGTACTCGATGTACAAATAACTGATTTGGTCAATAGGGTGTTACGCACAATGCGTTAAGCGAATGAGCAGCATCGTCGTGCTTTGGTACTCTAAAGTAAAGGTTACGGTGTTGGAGCGACTGCAGGGGTGAGTTGACAAGAAGGACATTGTATGACATTGCTGACGTAGTTTTCTGATGATGTTTTAATAGTGGAAATTGCTGTACGTGTACGTTTTTGGGGTCAAGACAACATTGTCTTTGTTTACAGACTTTCACCCTTATCTTAGTCTTGTTTATCCACAAATAGTACAGGAATCTTTTTCTTTTTTCTTCCTCCCTTGTGGCTGCTTGCTCACCAGTCAGCTGATTCATCTTCATCTCATACAAAAGCTCTACAATGATCTTGTTTTCAGCAATTAGATTTTGTGTAAAGTTGATTGACACAATAGTTTATTCATTTTGTGGTTGCAATAAAACCACATGTTTTATTGCTTACTCTCTTCCTCTTTTCTTTTTCCCCGACCCCTATCCGGTGAGTCATGGGCATTTTGTTGAATAAAGCCCGAGCCAACTAATTAATATTCTAAGCAAACGACGATTGGGTCAAAGAGTGCGATTTACTACAACAATTGCAAATGACTGTAGTGTGACTTGAATGCACAACAATTCTCAATAACAAGTTGGCTGGTCACAGGCTCGACGTTTGCAGTGTGAGCAAGGATGAATGAGAACGCAAGGACAAAGTGTGTGCTTGCGCGTGGGTGTGTGTGTGTGCGGATATGTGCATGTACACCTGTGCACACGTATGAGACAGCGAGTCTGCCTCGTCTGCTTTTGTACTTCAAATCATGTGGATGCAACATGCGGCACCCATCCTGGCACCCGTTTCAGCCAGTGAGTGCCGGCGCGGCTGCCTGCATCACCGCGCCCTCAGCCTGTAGCGGCGCAGAGGAGGCGGGGCGGAGGGAGACGTTTAGTTTGACATTGTAAATAAGCAGAGAGTCGTTGTCGGAGAGAGCAGCCCCGTGGAACCTTCCTCGTCTGTCCAGCAGCAGCAGCAGGAGACGGACCGCCCGAGGACACACAATGCCGAGGCAAGCAACAACCCGCGCATAATCACCGAAGAGCTTTCCACAACTTTATACAGTCCCCCCCCCCCCCCCATTCTCTTCTCTACTCTCTCTTCCTCTTTTCTTTTCCCTGACCCCTATCCTGCAGCTCAAGGTAACTTAGAGCAGGAAGTTGGCGGTCGGTGAAAGGGGGGGTTGAGCGGAGGCAAGGGGAGGAGCAGGGGACGCGTCTGCGCTGACTGATGTGTGCGGCGTCCTATGGCGCGGGAGGACCGTCTCTGCTCATTGGCTGTGAGAGTGAGGCGGGAGCCCGGTGTGAGGCGGGATTTGAGTTTTACGTAGCAAGCTAGATTGGTTACTCTTGAACGTTAAAGGGGAAGGAGGCTAGAGATTTTTGTCTGAGAGTCAGGAGTGCGGCTGCACTGTTTGCCTGCTGCTGCTGCGCTGTTTTAGTTTTTTAATCTATTCCCTCTCTGACCCTCTTCTCTGCGCTGGGCCAGGGGTCAGCTCAAAGACAAATGCACGGGTCACAGCTGGGGAGGGGGAGAGGAGCAGAGTGCAAGTGCACAAGAGAAAGAGAAGGTCAGCTCGTTAGGGGGACTTGGTCAGAAGAGAAACGGGACAGACGGGGCTGCATGGTTTGGCAGGAGGAGGAGAACGTTGGGGGGGGGGGGCTGAAGGATACGGGGCAATGTGGAAGGGGGAGGGGTAGAAGAAGGGGGGCCTTGCGCTGCTCTGTCCAGGCTTTTTTTTTTTTTTTTTAAAGAACAGTCCAGTGGAACTAGAGTGCCTTTTGTCTGTTGATACGATCAGAGGACCGCAGGAAGTGAAGGAGCTCGAGAGCCTTTCTGTTAACCTCTGTGACTCTTCTTCCTGCTGCTGCTGTTGATCTCCAGGAGACTTGAGCCGGGCGGTCTGTTTGCCTGTGTTCTGCTCAGCCACGACAGAGCGCTCGACATGAAGGGCACGGGGGTAAGTCCGGGAAAAACACCGCTCGAGAGAAGACCTGTCAAGTTGGTCAGGCTTTGAGTTTTCTCTCCATCATGCGCTGCAGCGATGAGGGACTGAATGTCCTTTACAGTTGTCCTCAATCCTCTCTCCCTTTCCCTTCCTTTAGTACTCTCCTTGGAAGAGGTGTGTGTGTGTGTGTCTCTCTCATCCGTGTCCTTCAGTTGTCACTTCAGCAAGGCAGTGATGCTTTATAAAAAAAACAGGCCGTCTATAAAAACTTTAAAATCTTGTATGTAATATATTTGTTACATCGTGAAAGTAGAGCGCCAAGTCTGTTTGCCAACTAGTTTTGACTGTTAATCACCTTTCAACACGGGCAAGTGCGCGGCGGTCAGATGCCCTTCGCTGTCATCGGCGGTGTTGGTGTCCTGGGGGCCGCCGGCTTCAGTGCACACGGTGCTTGTCCCGACTCTGGTCTCCCGCCCCCTCCCACCCTCCAACCCCTACTGACGTCCTTGTTTACGCGCCAGCGCCAGACAGTGACGCAGAGCCAGGAGCCAAAAATGGCATCCACGTCAAAATGCGATGTTGTGCGCGGTAGAGCTCTGTGAGCATAGCATGTCAGTATTGTTGTTGCGGGTTTGAGGGGCAGCTGGTTGCGGTGACCTCGGGACCCCCCCAGGCCCCTGCCCCGACAGCGGCAGATGCCCAGATGGGACAGCTTGTCAGTCTGTCAGCCCTGTAGACGCAGCAGGCTAATTGTTTGAGCTGATCTCTTCTGATGGAATCTTTGGACGGTGCCCTTTTCTCTCCCTCGCTGCTTCAACTGGATTTATTTGTCCGTTACTCGCTCCCTAAGTTTCCGTTGGTGCCTCCGACAAAGAAAGTCCCGATGGGGGAGCAAGAGTGAGAGAGGGAGACTAAAAATAACCCACGTTGAAGCCATTGCTGCCAAATCCCAGGGGTTGGCTTCTGTCTGCATGCGATTTGAATATTTGTGCCCCTTTCCGTATCAAAGGCACAGCGGGGTGAGAAAAGTTAGTGAAACATGCAAAGCACTTGGACAATGCTAGGCCTGTCAGCTTATCACTAAGGTGACCACTGCCGCCGCGAATTCGCTCTTTTGCCCTTGGCGCCTTTTTTTTTTTTTTGCTTTTATGTGTGTACACTGTCACTAAGGACGATGTGGGTGGCGGCGGCGTCAGCTGTGTTCCAGCACGAAATCTGCAGGTAGCTTTAGCCCTGCCTACCTCGACGCCGGGGACCGGGCCTAGCAATGGATGAAGGTCACAGGAATGTGAGCTCGGCTCATGCGGCGTCTCTCTCTCTCTCTCCGTCAGCAATGACACAGAAACATGTGGAGGGAGATGAGTGGAAGCGAGGAAACAAAACAAAGGGAGACATTGCTAATATGTACAGTATGTGGTGTTTTTCTTAAGCTTCTTGGGAGAACCACTGGGGTCACTTAAGTGCTGCAGTGAAAGTTGAAAAGCCTGTCCTCTTTCTCTCCTCCCCCCCCCTCTCCCTCTCCTTCTCTCTTTCATCTATCTCTCTCCCTCCTCCCTCTCTGGTTTCTCTCCCTCCTCTGTTGGATGACCTTGGGAGATCAGTGACTAGCACTTCCTGGGGTCGGCTTGAAGCAGAACCAAGGGCAAAGTTTGCAGGCCCGTTTGGTTGGCTGGTTCGGTCCGGCCGCGGCAGAAGGGGATGTTGCATCGCCCGTCACGGCGAGCACGTCCACCATTATAACCCCGTCGGTTCTCCTCTAATCACAAGGCATTTGCACCAACATCTGTGAAAATGGTGTGTGTGTGTGTGTGCGTGCGTGCGTGCGTGCGCACGAGCTCGTGGAGTTAATCTGTAATTCCTGGCCCGGGAACTTCTTGTTTTTTCTGTTTCCCCTGAGTAGATAATTTACCCTGCATGCTGTAACTGTGTGTTTGTTTTTTATCAAGGAGAACACTGTAATAGTTCAGGATTTGTAACCCTCTTTGATTTAGTGCCGCCATTTATGTTTGACAGTCGGGCGTTTGTCACCAAAGCAGTATTTATACTGTCTCTTCATGTACAATAAATCAGAATAAAACTGCCATAGCGAATGTTAAACATCAAGTGGTCCAATGACGTGTCCTGGTTTATGGTCACGTCCGTTATGTAACTTTCTGCGTAAAACCCAGCAGACTTAAACCTTTTACTGACCTTCCTAGAGACCTGCTGTTCTGCGTCATTGACAATTTCACACAGCAGCATGTGGGAAAATTGACCTCTTGCGAGAGATTTCAGTGTAGCAACGCTCACCCAGTAGCTGGCATCTTGGTTACACTAACGACGTGTCTTTGGTTGATTTTCCAGCGTTTTTAGTGTCCAGGTGAAAGTTGACACGGTCTGTGTGGTTGCGTGTTTGCTGTTTGTCCGGCCTGATGTTTTGTCCGTTAGCAACCTTGAAGAGCAACAATGCATAAGGTCATAGCGGTGCTATAAGGTCACGGTACGGTAAAATAAATCCCGTCCCTTTTTGTGGCATCTCTTGTTTATTGACACCCTTCTTGCCTTATGACCTCCATGTTTTCTTAACCAACGGTTATGGGAATGAAAGTGCATTCCAATAAATCCATTTATTATGGATTATTATCCATCTGAAATTACCCAAACTGCACTCGCAGCGTTTCACACTGGTATATTAATAAAATAATGGTTTATTAGAGGCTAAAACGGTTGTTTGACTGAGATGTAACGCGAAGGTCCTCCATGACCTCGGGTAAAGGAAACAAAAATCCACACTTATTTCAGATTGGAACACTTGCCGCACATTCGATCGGGTACACGATATGGCGCTTTATTTCCGTACAGGTCAGATCCTCTCAGTGCACATCTGCTTCAATGTGAAGTGTCAGCTCTGCTTCGGGGGGAGATCTGCGATGATATGAGCTGCTCTTCAGCACATGACAGTGTGATACTGCAACACCTCGGGGAGAGGTTCACGCGTCTGCCTCAAATAGGCCCTTCACTTTGTCCTAAGCTGCCTCGCCTAATTACCTATGAAATGCACTCGGCAAAATTAACCTCAATTCACACCAACCGTTGGGTCATTAAGGGGGCAATTAACTGCAGAACATGACGCCTTAATCAGAGGCCAATTAATTAGCTCAACTGCACCGTCGCTTACTTTAGCTAAAGGAGAGGATGAACCGGCACACGGCTACCTTTTAATTCTGCTCTTGTGCCTTTAACGCTAACAGGAACTTGACGACTTTTGTAAGTGACGTTAGCGTTTGACCAAGTTGCTGATGCTGCTGTGAGTGGCCTCTTGATGGGACGCGCCAGTTAGCGAGACAGAGCGAGGGAGGGAGCGATGACACGAGACGCAGGACCGGCCATAGCGCTGATTCAGCTGTAGCAAGAGGAGCAGCATTGACTTTCTCAGAGAAGTTGTGGACGAAGGGGAAGTGTGGGGGGGTGTAAGTTAAAAAAAAAAGACAGAACATGAGAGACACCGGGTGACAGAGAGATGGGAAGTACCGCTTAGAAGACCAAGAGGAGAGACGCTAGGATGAGCAAGTCGCTGTGTTGTCGACAAAGTGCAGACGTCACATTGCTCCTCGGAGACACACACACACACACACACACACACACACACACAGGCACAGCGGAGTTGGAAGGAAATCCAACACCGACATCTCTGTGCGTCTCAATGACCTGATGAAGGACAACAGAGCCGCATGGGGGGGGGCACGGTGCAATGTACACTAATATAGCATACAGTAGCAGGTCGGGTTCATTACAGCTGAAATGATCCACAATGTTATCCAGAACAGCAAGCGCACATCAAAGTTCAAAACATAATTACATTTTTACCTGCAGTGCAGTGAAAAAGGTCCTGAAAGCTCGACTTTTAGAGAGCGGACATGAAGAAGCAAAAATTAGCGATGGACTAATCGATCTTTCTCCACTTTGTCCTCATCGACCCTTTCAAACTAGCGTAGGTTTTTGAGTTGGTTCGCTTTCGCCGAGTTTGAAAAACGGAGACCTCAGCGGGCTCCCACGCACACTTTCCGCTGAACCGAAGCCCCGGGAGACGACTTCGGTGCACAGTAGGTGGCACTCGTATTGTTTCCTGCCCTCCTCCCCCTCCATCTCACGTTTCAGCCTGCTTAACACTTTTTCTCATTTCTTTTCATGTATGGACTCCCCCCCCCCCCCCCCCCCCCCCCCCCCCCCCCCCCTCCCGCCTGCTGCTGTTGGTTAGTGGGTGGCTGTGTGTTTTAGATTGAAGGTCACAGGGTCAGAGAGGGGGGGTTTGGGCGTACGTGTGACTTAATAACGTCTCTACCACCACAAGTGTTAAAAGAAAGAAAAAAAAGATAGCGGTTTAAGAGTAGGTTGTTTTTTTTGTGAATTGTTCCCGGGTTTGCTCTCAGCGACATTGGTGTTACCATGGTAATTGGCCTGATTGTTGTCTATAATGCTATCAAGTGAATTGGCTGATTCATTGATTCATTATTTATATTTTATTCAGTCTACCACATGTAGAGAAGCACCCAAGCTGGCAGGCAGTGGTGCACCGGCGGATGCACAACGGTGACTTGCACGAGTCACCGATCACGAGATCGAGTGAGCTGGAGAAAAGCCTCCCCCCCTCTCCCCCGCCTTCCCCCCATTTGCATGGTCACGGCGCTGCAAAGTGCGCAGAGGTCACTTTACCTGTGAGGCAGAGGCAAAAAACCCCAACTGCAATTCCCATCAGTCAGCCCCGCCGCTTGGAATGCTGGGATTGTTCTGGTGACTGCAGGATTTCCATCAACCTTGAAATGCAACTGGACACTGGAGCGTCGGGCAGCGGAATGGAGACATTGTCAAGGTCAATCACTAGCCTGGCATGCCATGGCTACAAGCTGCCTGATTGATTTATATAAAGCCCTCCAACCCCCCGAATCCCCCCGCAGCCATCCTGTCTCATTGATTTAGGGTACTCTCTGTCAAAAAACTGAATGACAGAACGGGATGCAGCAGTGCTGCTTATGTTATTCCCAAAATCTGTCAGAGAGGGAAACATGGATTCTGGATCTGTGATTGGTCGGGGTAAAATATTCATGATTGCACTTAAATAGTACAACTAAAAGAACTGGCCTCCCACGACACCACTGTACCGGGGGGGGCACTCGAGGGGGAGGATAAATAGATGACCCCCCCCCCCCCGCCCGCTTCCAAAAATCTTCTTCTCTGTTCTTTTCCCTGGCTCCCTCTTCCCGGCATGGTTAAACCACACAGCGAGTGTTTCAGAGGTCTGACTGGGGGCCGGTTTGTCTTTTACCTCCTCCTGTAAAAGCTCCGGGCGTTTGTTTAAGCGCGGGATTAATGCGGACCCCCCCCCCCCCCCCTGACGTGTTTCTTTTGCTCTCCCTTTTGGCAAATCTTTCAACTGAGGTGAAGGGAGGGAGAGCGAGCGAGTGCAATCCACACACTCCAATGCCCCGCGTGTTCAGACAGGGAGGCCAATATTCCCCCAGCAGATTCCTGGCATGCCATAGTAACCTGCTGGATCCTCTTTCAAACCGTCGGGAACCCACCCCCCCCTCTCCTGTAACAGCATTGGCTTTTATGTCCACGTGGGTCTGTTTTTTTAGCCGTTGGTTTTATTTCACGTTGAAGCTCATGGTGTGTTTGCTCAGTTTTGTGGACCTGTGGAAATCCCGCTGCCGTCAGGAGTGTTTTCTTTTTCTTTTCACAAAAAACGCACGCGCGTCCTGTCAACGTGCGGGGGTCGCCCGCAGCGTGTCGCGCTTGCGTTTTGCAGAAGGAGCCGCATCTTGAAGGGGCCATCCGTGAGCGGCGAGTGTGCCGCCAGTCCGCTGGCGTTTTCTCTGGCATGTCAACAGCCCACAAGGACAAGAATAGCCGTCTGTCGGGGCTCTATTTTAGAGTTCACTGTATCATAATGACAGGCCCTGGTGGAATGTGTGGCTTGCCCGGCATGGACCCAAACTGTATTTCGTGTCCTGTCGGCCTTAGGGGATGACCTGCCTCCGGTGTCTGAATTATCACATTACGTCTTTGTTTTTGAAAAGAATTAACCCACCACTCTTCCCCCTGTCATTGCCTGGTGAAACAGAGTAGAGGATGTCTGCAGAAGCCTTCGGAGCCGGGGGCAGCGATGCCCAGCAGACCCTGCAGTCCTTCTGGCCTCGCGTCATGGAAGAGATCAGGAACTTGACTGTGGTACGCTGCACACACACACACACACATGCATCAGCCAAACAAACTCTACGATTCAGTGGTTTTATTTGGTTTCTTACAAACATACATGCACGCAAATACTGAAGCCAACTTCCTTGCTGGACTCTGTCCCTCTAACCGACCATCCATCCCATTGTCTCTAGAAGGATTTCCGTGTGCAAGAGTTGCCTCTCGCTCGAATCAAAAAAATCATGAAGCTGGATGAGGACGTCAAGGTAAGAAGACCTTTAGCGACCAATGTACCACTCTGAGAAAACTTGTATGAGAAAACTAAGAGCATAAGACACTTGTATCCCTAATAGTTAATTAATAGTTAATTTTGTAATCATATTTCCATGTTGTGGACCAAAAGACAGATCTTTGAAAAACATTTGGGACTTCATTTACTTTAAGGCAAAAGTTTGAAATGTTTAATGGTCACTAATGTGGTCAAATTATTGGTTTATGGCCTATTGCTTATGGTCAGACCACTAATTTTTTTTTATAATGGAAAAATATCATCAGCTCTTACAGATCCAGCAGGGTCGATAAGAAGTCCATTTATATCAAATGGGTGTACATCCAAGCATATTCACAAAGCCCATACAGCGTTACGGGCCATGATAACAAAACAGTGCTGTTGAAACCACTTTGTGAAACACAGGCATTGTGTTCAAAAGACGTTGCTACAATTGGTTTAAAAATAAACTAATAATCTGAATTTTATTGGGTTTATCACAACATATATCAATCACTTGAAGTTTAAAATGATACTGATCCCAGTCCCTCAGATCGGCCGATGACGTACCATCAATTTAAAACTTCATTTTTAGAAATCCACTCATCTCCCTCTACTGAACTCAACAGTTTAGGCACACGGAGTGATTGTTTTATCTCTGTTACACCCGATTACCATGCACGACTGTAACGAGAAAGCCTGTGTGTGTGTGTGTGTGTGTGTGTGTGTGTGTGTGTGTGTGTGTCTTTGAATGTGACGTGTCGAGAGCACTATCCCGTTAGTTAAGCTGTGGCTTAAAGAGGTGAAGAGATCATGAGATCAGTAGCGTAACTGGGGACAGGACCCTTCTGTCAGCTCTTGACACAGCAGCTTTCACCGCATGTGTACATGTGAGTGGTGCGGTATAACATTTAAGCCTTCACGTATATGTCCGTGTACTTAACCCGTTATCGCGTGCCTCCGCCCCCCCGAGTTCAATGCGACTCGATATGAAGCCGTGGCGTGACAAGCTAAGCTGTTTGCAGCAAATGTTTAAAGCTAACTCACTGCTGTAATGCGAAGACAAGTGGTCTCTTCATCTCGACATTTCCCACCACATGAACGTGATGCCGCCACGCGCGTGCCTTCGGCCCGGAGTGATTCACGCGTTCGCTGCCGTGATTCATGTCGGACAGTCCGTGGGTGTATTCGAGCAGGTGTAACGTCGTTGTCTCTTTCCGTACAGATGATCAGCGCGGAGGCTCCCGTCCTGTTCGCCAAAGCGGCTCAGATCTTCATCACAGAGCTCACCCTCAGAGCGTGGATCCACACCGAGGACAACAAGCGGCGCACGCTACAGGTCAGATACCCGCCGAGACGCATCGGGGAAACCAAGATGACCCACTTTCTCCCCCGTGTCCGTGTTCTTATTGCTTAGGATGCATCTGTAATATTTCCTTTTTGTGAATTTCTTTTTAACACCTCTCCCACACTCCCCTGGGTGTCTTTTTTTTGTTTGTTTATCACTTTCTGTTCCCTGCGTGTCTGACTGCGTACGTACATACAAGCGGAGGCCCCATACCGGCTCCCCCCCCCCCCCCCCCCGAGGTCCATTTCCTCTGCTTAGTTCTTTCTCCCTCTGCTGACTTTGAAAGTAAAGCTGGCCGGGTTACCGTGACCCACTTTTCCCCGCGGTGCCATTTTGCCTGCTCGGCTGTCCCAACGTTGAACAAGATGGACTCTGGGATGATGTGATGGAGAAAATCTAGATCAGAGTCTCACCTGGATGTTAAGAGGGAAGAACGCTGGAGCAGAACATGAAAGCCCTTAAGTCTACTTTATCCATTCACATACCTCTGAGAGATTAGCAGCCCATGGATATGTTTGTGTGTGTGTGTGCGCCAAAGCAGGTAGAAAAAGAGACGGGATAAAAGGCCGTCTAATCGCCCTCACGGTACTTGGTCGGGGAGGAGACTTAAATTGAAGCCCTACTTGGGAAGCGTGTTTCACTTTTCTGTTGTCTTGGCTAATCTTTATCTCACAGTACTTTCTCTCAGCATGAAGTGTAAAAACGTTGCACTGCATGCTTTAAATGGAAACTTAATTTACGGTGCGGGTTTACATGCAAATTACAATATACGCCCCAAATTACGCTTTGGCTGCGTGTGGTGTTTGAAGCTTTCCCGGATGTGAGATGTCCCTACACGAGGAAAACCGGCTTCCTCCATTTCCACATGCTTGAAACACACATGCAAAGGCCTAGTCCTATTGTTAAAAGTGCTGCCAATAGGTCACCATAGCAACGCTCATCAATAGAACCAAGTGTGGATGTGACCTGATGTTACCAGATATTAATCAAGCCGCTAATAATAGCCTGTGGTGAAGGGAGGGCCCTCACTGGGGGTCCTGACAGCCAATATCCTGTGGAAAATTCCACGGAGACGGCACGCTGCTGCTGTCATGGGAAAGCGTGTAGCCGCCGAGCCTCGGCCTACGAGGGCAGGAAGCGTCATCCCTGTTCATTTCCACGCATTACCCACGTTAGCAACTGTGATGCTTCCCGGAATGTTTTCTATGAACCCTTTTACCTTTACTGACTGTTGAACAAAAACATAAATCCAGACAAATGCTCCCATTTACAGGAACAAGCGAATGTGAGTGTGTTTAGCTCCTAACGCTGCCTCTCTTCCCTTTGAGCTCAGTTATAACTGCTAATAATACCTGGTAGAATCCAATGGGAACTTTCATTTCCACAGCAGCCTCTCGTGTGGCTATTTTGGGGGGGGGGTCGTCCGTAGGCCCTCGGGCATGTTCATTTATAGCTCGCTGCATACATCGAATTAGCGTCATTGAAGTCCGACCTCATCCTTTGACCCTCTGTGTCTGTTGTGTTTTCAGAGGAATGACATCGCCATGGCAATAACAAAGTTCGACCAGTTTGACTTCCTGATCGACATCGTGCCCCGGGACGACCTGAAGCCTCCTAAACGACAGGTACGCAATCCCACGCTGCGCAGTGACGGGGGGGCAGCGGCTTCTCCCAAGGCGTCAAGAGTTTTTAAAGCCAGCGCAGGGGAGCGAGGGTCTTCGTCTCAGGTCCCCGCTGTCGGCAACCTGGAGGTGCTGTAAACATCCTTGACTGGAAGCTGTGGTTTTGGACGTCAAGGGCTTTCAGTCGGATGTTTGCAGCATCTTATTGCCTCTGACTGCAGCGACGGCAACTGGTTTGTGCGAACGGGAATCGGGGGGGGGGGGGAAAGCACAACTTCGTCAAGCCTTTGAATACGTCCTCTACCCGAGGGGCCACTTCAATAAGGTTCGGGTCAATTGCAGTCTTTGCACATTGCACTGACATTTTGCTCATGCACAGGATAGCAAATGGAGAAGCGAGGTGTTCAAAGTGGTATTTAAGTAGACTGTCCCCAGGCATGTAAACATCCTACACTCTCAGCTGTGTTGTCATGGAGCTGGGAGAAGGGTGTTTACTCTTCTGGTGATGGAGAAACCTCATCAAGACGAAGCACCGCTCATTAGTCCGTTATCAGGCGCAAGGACGCGGGTCATCGCTTGTAATAATTGTCAGAGCTGCGTCCAAGCCGCCATCTACCCTGCCAAACTGTGCTAATTAAAACAAAAGCAAACAAACCCGGACGCCAACGTTTGCTTTCTCTTTTTTTGTTGTTGTTGCATTATTAGTCAGAAATGGCTGATGCTGTTTTCTGGTGTAAATTGTTCTGTCCTTTTGGGCCTTCAGTCCAGCAGCGCGTGTAATGGATCATACGTCCAGATTACATTACTCCTCTCCAGCCCCGTCCCATCAGTTATTCATCAGACTTCTACCGTTACACCTGCAAAAATAATTCATGGAGATGTAATGAACTGATAGCCGCTCTTCGTCGTGTGTGTGTGTTGGTTTGTCTGTTTGCGCCTGTCCTCACCATCAGGAGGAGATGCGGCAGTCAGTGGCTCCAGCGGAGCCGGTGCAGTACTACTTCACACTGGCCCAGCAGCCCGGCGCTGTGCAGGTGCAGGGCGCGCAGCAGGCCCAGCAGCCCGGCGCACAGACGGCCACGACCATCCAGCCCGGACAGATCATCATCGCTCAGCCGCAGCAAGGACAGGTAGTACCGACGCCTCGTTTGAAGCGCCTGGAACGGGGGTACACAAAACATAGATTTAAATAAGCTGCAACACCTAAACGAATCCACAGCCAGATGTGGGAGGTTTTGACAATAATAATGGCGATTTGGAGAAACACCTTGACTACAGCTGTGATGGGCTCAACTGCTCCCACAGAAAATGCCACTAAATGAAACTTTTCACTAAGCTTTAAGAAAGTGGATTTTCTGTGGTAACACATGAAGGATTATGTAGAAGATTCACAACTCCACCTTGTGTTTGGAATCGTGCTGCAAAAGGCTCGTTTCTCAGTCCTCACACATGGCTTTATTGATAGTAGCCTTATCCCACTTTGATCCGAGACCCAGAACACATTCAGGCCGCATAGATGGTGGTGCACACATCCTCTGAAACCCCGCAGAGGAAACGTATGAACTGAACTATTTACTTGTATAACTTTATAATGATCAAGATCAAATGAAATGTTTATAAATGATCTGTAACTGATTGTTTTGAAATTCATGCATTTCTGTTCCTTGTCTAATTTTGCACCTCATAACCAAACTCTACACATGTCATTCCATGGTCAACTGAAATCCTATAGTAGTGTACATTTGGCTTTTTACACGTAAAGCACACAGAGAAATCAAAAAACATATTAACCATTAAAAATAACATTATCAAATGCTCTTCCTCGGTAGTGCCATTTGTATTGGTTACAAAGAAATGAGCTGAAAGAGACATAAACTGAATGAACAGACGTTTCTTGCGATGGCCTCAGAGATTCGCTGTAGGTTTCAGGCATTACTGAGCTGGGAGAGAGGGTTTATACTCTACTACTACAATAAAAGCAGATTCTCTGAGAAAAAAGCTTGGATATTCTCCCAAGTTTAAGAGGTTAATTTACGAGAAGAAAAAAGCATAAATATATAACAAAATAGAAGATTCACGGAGAATATAAACCGTGCACGGTTGGATCATCTTCATCCCACCGCAGACTGTAAAATCTCCCTGAATTATGTTCATAAAAGCATACAGAACATGAAAGAAACCTTGTTTGTGTTTCTTTTGAGACCTTCAGTCCTCCCTGGCAGACATCGGAAAAAAAAATATCCCTAGGATTTATCCGATGACCCATTTTTATAATAAAATGTACTGCATTAAGTTTGTGAAATAACTTTAAAGTTAACATAAGAAGAGTACTTTAAACATGGCTGGTGCATCTATGACTTTGCTTAATTGCCCAATTTAACATAATAACATCAGACAACGTTCCCTTTCTTTCTTGTAAATTAATGACTTAAATCTTGGATGTTTTCCCTGAATATTACTACTCTTCCCCAACTTGTCACATTAGCATTTTACTTGTCTTTTTACCTACAATGATTCAAAAATGCAGGCAGAGGTTCTTAATGATCCTGAGCACACATAGAACAACACACAGTTTCTCTCTCCCCCTCACACACGCTCACTCAGTCACATGCACAAGAGTATTGGGAGAGTGTGCTTCCAACTCCGGATCACATTTTGTCATTCTATTCTGTCGGGCCATCAGATGCTGCAAGGGGCCACCATGCAGCAGCTACAGCAATTGCAGGTGCAGTCACAGGGCACACCAATCACACCCATTTTCCGACAGTCAGTAAGATGATAAACATGCATATTTGGGGACAACCTTTCCATTGTGTCTCTATCCCAATGACCTTACTCTTTTGCTGCCGAGCGCTCTCTGCCTCGCTCTCTCTTTCTCCAGCGTGGTCGCTGCATGTCATGTAGCCGTGCTGCTTTCGGCAGTCCGCCTCTAGCGGAGCTGTCATGCTTGTTTAGACCCGGTGTGATTCACCGCTGCTGCTGCAGTCCCAGCTGAGAGCAGTGAGGTCACCGTTTGAGCCGCACGTTGACTGTAGGCTTTTTTTTTTACAACGTAGCACTTAAGAAAGCGGGCCTAGAGGGAATGAGTGAAAGTGTAAAACTTGACTCTCCCAAAAGAGTTATTTGGTTCGTTGAAGTGCTTTTGAGATTACAATAAATACTTCTCATTGACGCTTTACCCTTAAATCCTTACCGACAGTTTGTTTTAAATGGCGCGTGCCATGTTTGGTCAATGGAGTAAAGTGTTGCCAGGAAATACAAAGACAATAACATGCACGCATCATTCCGTTTTAAGCCCCGATAAAGGACTTTATTTATGCGTCTGGTGTCCGTGTGCAGAGCTTTAACTGTCTCTAGTTGTCTGTTGTAATAATTCTTTTCTTAAGTCGAGCTGCTGTAAATGTTTATGCATTTTCTCCATAACTTAATTATCCTGTTTCTGACTTGAACCTTGCCTTCTCTATCATTCCTAAGCATGTCATCTGCCACTCGTGTGCTGCTGTTCTAACATTAAAGCGTCCCTACGCACACACACTCCACACATGCTTACGTCAACTAGTTAAGTTGTTTGCAATCGCTGCTTTCTCACTGTGTGTGTCTTTCTCTCATTTTCTCATTCTACTGTCGGGCCATCAGATGCTGCAAGGTGCAACCATGCAGCAGCTACAGCATGTGCAGCTGCAGTCACAGGGCACACCCATCACGGTAAACACACATGCACATTTGCATTTCTATGTTCACACACGCACAAACAAAGCCGGCTACCCTGGTAGCTCAGCTCACCGAGGTGGCCTCTCCTTGCTACCGTGACAGACTGACATCCCCACATCTTTTGTCCCCGCATGATAATAGTTTACAGATGTTTTAATATGTAAGATCACACAAGTTTTCACCGTGCCGGTTAAAATCTTTTCCCGGTGCGCTGTTTGGTTTCAATCATAAACGTCATGCCCCCTCCTAATGTGTGCTTCTGTCTCACTCGTGTCTGTTCCGCCTTTCTTCTTTCCTCGTTACCTGTTTTCAGAGTGCGCCTGTGGCGATGCAGGTGGGTGAGGGCCAACAAGTACAAATTGTCCAGGCTTCGGCTGCTCAGGGTCAAGCTCAGACAGCTCAAGCCCAAGGCCAGACCATGCAGGTCATGCAGCAGATCATCACCAACACTGGGGAAATCCAGCAAATCCCGGTAAGAAATGAGTTTTAAGTGTGTGTGGGGGGCCAACAAGTGAAGGAAATGGGGGAAAAAATCGCTTTGTTTGCTGCTGCATTCTTGTACTACACACACATGGTGTTCTATTGGATTATCCATCCTTCGCTGCTTGATGGGAATATCGAGTCTTCCAAAGTTAACAATTCATCAGAGGAGGGTGAATGATTGTCGCTGCTCTTCTCCTGAGAAGTAAAATGGCTGTGACCTCTGGGGTTTGAATGACCTTTGCTCCAATTCAAACGTTGTCTCCCTCTCGCGTTGGGTGAGTGTAGGTGCAGCTAAACACGGGTCAGCTCCAGTACATCCGTCTGTCCCAGCCTGTGTCCGGAGCTCAAGTGGTCCAAGGACAGATCCAGACGCTCGCCAACGCTCAGCAGGTAATCACATCGGTGACAAAATACCACCTTCAGAGCAAATGATCTCATTTCTTTATTTGTTTATTGTATTTTCCACTTTGTTTTGTTTCCAGATCACACAGGCAGATGTACAGCAAGGACAGCAGCAATTCAACCAGTTTACTGATGGACAGGTAACAAACCGAATCGATGAGTCCATTGTATCACAGCTGGCCGTAACATTATAAACTTAATGTCTTTTTGAATAGACTCACTTCACTTATTTCTGGCTTGTCAGTATTGTTAATATTTAACTAGTGCACACATTTAGCTATAAATCAGCTGACATGTGCTCCTTAAAGTAAAATGGAATTAATCAAACCACAGACAACGTTAGACAGGAGACCCCAAATGTGTCAGAAATGTCTTTATTAAGTCCTGAATAAAATATTTAGCTAGCCATTTCAGCAACAACCTAAACAGAACCTTGTAACAGACCTGTGCCCAATCGTGTTGTTTCGTTTTAAATCCGACCGCACACAGACCTTCAGCCTCTCCCGTCTCTGTTTCACAGCAGTTGTATCAGATCCAGCAGGTGACGATGCCGGCGGGACAGGAGTTGAGCCAACCGATGTTCATTCAGTCCACCAACCAGACAGTCGATGCACAGGTCACGCAGGTCACCACCGAATGAGCCCAGCGGGCAACCTTTTTCTCCACTCACTCACTCACACACACGTGCACACACACACACACACACTCACACACACGTGCACACACACACACACACACACACACATACACACCAGCCCGTTCGAGGCAAACCGATGCCACCGACCTGGACGAAAGGACGCTCGATAAACTTCAATTGTAGGGCCCGCTCATCTAGACGAGGGAGCTGAAATGTTATAACACTCTTTGTAATAAACTTGGTACGCGGGATTAAAAACGGAAACCAAAGGACACCGATTGACGCTCTCGAATTGACATGTTAAGTTGCATCCATGCTTAGATGCGGCTGACTTTTTGTACTTTTGTCACCGACCGTCCGTGGACAAAAATATGCATCCACTGCCGCGGCCCCTGATAGCCGTCTCTCCGCAGAGCGACTCAGCGATACCGCCATGGCGATACTTCAAAGATCTCTCAAACAGAAGAAAGTGTTTTTTTCCTGGCGCTTTTCTTTTTGCTCTTTATTTGGAAATGAATTGGGGAAGTGTGTGTGTGTCTCTCTCTCTCTCTCCATGATATGCTCCTGGTCTATCTGAATCATACCCTCCATATTGTTTCCCATGTAGTTGACAGATGAAGTGAAGCCATATACCTCAGATATCACTTTAAGGGATCTTGAGAAGAGGTTATACGTTTCAACAATTTCATGTAGTTTCTCTTGTTTTTTTTCTCCACCACATTGATAATGAAGCATGACTTTAAGGGGCTTTACCATTTACCAAACCCCCCCACCTTTTCATAGAACTTCCTTTTTTCAATACAATTGATTGTCTTTTGGTTTCAAGATGATGTTTTGGTCTCGTATCCTCCCGCTCATTTTTTTTGTACAGTAATGATTATTGTCAATGTTCTTATTGTTGTTTTTGCATGTAGTTTAAACTGCCAGCATGACATGCAATAGATGGGTACAATTTTATTTTTGGATGATCCTTTTTGTAAACAGTTTGTGAGAAAAATAAATAAAAAAACACAACTTGTCAAATAGTCATATTTTTGTCTTGTTTTTGTGCACCTTGTGTTGTTCTCCCAAATGACCAGAGGAGGGCAGCACTGATCTAACAAACCCTGAAAGCCTCTGCTGTACTGAATTATTCCATTTCCCCCCCCAAGATCATTGTAGGCAGTAGAAAAGATATGCGACCAAGTGACTAAAGTTGCACCCTAACGCTTTGAACACTGCTGCTCTCCTCCTCGAGCGCTGGAACAAAGGACAAGCGGTTAACTGTAGTCACGAGTTATTTGGCTGGAGACCGCTCAGCTCCTGGGAGGCTGCATTCCTTACACGACCTAAATCTTTAAAGGAGGATAAATACTTACGGTGAAACAGAAAATCTTGATAGGCAGGGGGGGGGATCACAATGTCCCACTTAACACCAAGGGAGATACCTCAAGGAAAGTCTTGAGTATCCCGTTTTAACGTGTGTGTGTTTGTGTGTGTCTCATAGTGGCCGCTAGCCACTCATTTGTCATTTGTCCGGCTGGGCCACAGTGGTGGGAGCCACGAGTTAGTCAAACCAGAGGGCCTTTTCCTAATGGACTTAATCACCGAACAATAACTGCATTAATGAGGGCAGACTCATGCTCGGCTCTCTCTAATAGGAGCAGCGGGGACTGTGAGAATGTTTGAGCTTAAGTCGAGCATGAGAAGGATTGTCTGCTGATATTTTTCTTGGCCGGCTCGGCTGGTCAGATCAAGGCAACCTTGGCGAGATGAATTAGTGCTGGCTGCCTTGGCTACAGTCCGGACCTTGTGATTGGGCCTCGCCGCCGGCCGGTCTCAGTCACAGACGAGCCCATAACAGGAGTGGACGTCCACTTTGTTTTTCATCTGCTTTTCGGCCTCGCCGAGGTGTCGGGAGAGTTTGTTTTAATCACGGTCAAACCGTGAATGCAAGCATTTCCCAGGTACTGGCCTTTCATTGGTTGTGTAAGCGTAATGTCCAATGATCCACATCGCGGTGGAATCGTCTTGGTGGGCAGCTCACTGATTGATACACTTGTTGCGTATCTCTTCAATCAGTGCAATGGACTCAAGAAAAGAAATATCCAATTAAAATCCTTGAACTTTGGTTACAAGATAATGAAATCGTTTGATTCTCGACGGAAAAGGAAGGACTGCGTGTTCATGTATTCATGCGGATCGAAGCTGTTGCCAGTTCCTTTGATAGAAGACACAAATGCGTTGTGTTTGAATTTAGTTCAGAAACAAGTGATTCATATTCATTGCACAATGGTGAATGACGATATACTTGCAGCTGCTGACGTGCAGCCTTGAGTCCACTGTGGCCTCCTTAAGTCACCTCCATCATTCACCTTAATTCAGGACAATAAGAAACGTTGTTCATGAAGAAAAACCCGCCCAAAATTGATAGCTAAGGAAGACTTGAATAACTTTCTGCTCTGGATTCTTTCGTAATCTTTCTTTTTATTTCAGAACATGTATGCTTTTCCTGCATGTGCCCAAAGGAGGCGGGTCTATGAAGCAGTTTGGCCAATTGCTGACTAAAGACATTTCATTGTGACATACAATTTAGCCAATCAGCGCGCCGGTGACGCGTCGTTTGGGGTACAAACCAGTTTGGCCCCAAACTTGTGCGTCACCATCACGGCTCGTCTTTGTCAGGCGTCAGTCTAACGACGATGGCGAGTGCGAGTCCATTCTCTCCTCCAAGAGTTGAAAGACGGAGACGTCTAACCACACCAGGAAGGTTCGGCTAGCTTGATGCGCTCATGCTAACGACATACTTCCCATGCTTATTAAACATAATATATAATACTATGTATAATATATAATACAATACAATAATGAATATCTATGTATAGCTCGGGGTTGTGTGTGTTAGGCTTGTCGTCTGACGGAAATGAAGTAACTTTACTTCCTACACGCTGCGTAAGCTACAAAGGATCCTTTCATTGCTCATGAATGGGCCACGGAGTGAACCGGGGTAATTTCCTGACTCACTCACTGGCTGCAGTGGTTCGCACTTAATATATTGATGAAGCAGAATGGCAGGTTGACTGTACGGCAACAACAAAAACAAAACAGCGGACACAACATTGACAGTTCTGTCCTTCTCTTTTGGTCCCTCCCATGTTGTCCATGTAGAAACCGATTACAAAAGAGAAGAGCGATGAGATTAAATAAAGGCAAAAAAAGCATGCTCTGGGAAAGCCATTAAGTGGCGTAAATAAACGTCCGAGGGCACAGCGGAAACCAAAGGTTGTCGGGGTCGGACGCAGCCAGCGTGCACTGTACTATGCGTAGCTCACATTTGCTGACGCGAGGGTTTTTAAGTTCCCATAGATTCCCTGAGTGGCTGTCGACTCTCTTCGCTCAGACGGCTCTTTGGGGCGTGAGTGAACGCTCCGAGTGAGAAGTGCAGTGGAAAAACAACGGCGAGGGTAAAAGGCGGGCGTGAAGGGAACACAACGGCTACTGCTGAGCCCCTGGAGGCCTGGGTCCCCCCCCCCCACCACCATCCCCTCTCCCCCCGCCGACTATGGTTCCACCCTGAATACCATCAAGTCTGTGTCCACAGCAGCTTACAGCCCTCCTCGTGTTCTGGTAATATACATTTGCACAGCCAGCTGCCCGTTACACGGTCCCATATTTTACAGTCTGACCCTGCTCAGCTGTTGTGTGTTGTCACCGTGATCCCAGAGGCCACGTTGGATTCTCTGCTGCCCGGCCCTGAGTGTTGATTACTGGGTGAAAGCAACACTGCAGCAGGGCTGGTACTGTTATAGAACGAAGGTGGGGGTGGGAGGGGGGGAGTGCAGGGTTTTTGCCTCGCTGGAACTTTGATGTAAATCCCAGAGGGTAAGAGTTGGGTCGGCCTGTCCGTCGGCACCTTCTTCCTTCCCCACCTCCCCCGGCCTGCCTGGTTTGGACAGGCGGAAGAAAAGAAACCAAGCCAAGGGAGAGAGAGTGGTGACGGGGGGTTCCCCCCGCAGGATGCGCTTGTGTTGATTAGACGTTTGGATTGGACCTCCACCTTTCACCCTTGGCAGGTTGGCCTCTGCAGGACTCCACTATTAGAAAAAAAATCGATTTATAGAATCAAAATATCAGCGGTTTATATGCTTTTCTACCTCTGATAATTCAAAATACTAGATGGGGAAATTAACAGTTTAAAAACTTTATTGGATGTTGCTGTTTCAATACTGCAGCTGTCAGCAGTTGATTTTATTTCATAGCCGCCAGCTGAATTATAATGTCTGTGACTAAGAGTTACTTTCATAATATCAAGGACAAGCAATGAGTGCAGGTTTGTTCCTGGAAAGTCCTCAATTCTGGAGTCTGGACTCCAAGTTCACATTTGGGTGCGTCTGCTTGATCTGAACAGAGACATCAGCTCAAAGACGCGTTTCCTTGTGAATTACTTTTGTATTTGCTGATGTCACTTTTGGTGGGCAAGATTCACCAAGGCCAGCTGGAGGTTTGGGCTTCACCGCCTGGAGGCCCTCTGGCAGGTGACCTCTCCAAAACGCTCGTGTGTCACTGTCACAGATCCAGAAAGCTCCGTCCTCTGAGGCGCTGAGCACCTGTCTCTGCAGCACGCCAGTTTCATTCCACAGAATAAACGTTTGTTAAAATCCCATTTAAAAGTGTGTTTTGGAAAAATCAAAGAAGGTAGGCGGGGCCCCTGGATAGTTTTAGCACTGAGCGTGTGCACACGCAGCAGTTCTGGTTATCAGTTCTAACAGACTCCCGTCCTTCCGGTGGAAAACCAGAAAACCCCCGTCCGGCCATCCTCTCCCCGGTCACCTGTGACCCCCAGTGCGAACACCGGAGCGCATTTATCGGTCATTTCACCAGTTTTAAAAGAGTTGTCCACCTTGCGTTTCTTGGCACTGTGCCGATGGTCTCCACTTGGTGCGCGCTCCACACCCCGCCTGCCGCAGCGCTGGACCAGAGAGACGCACCGGGAGGAGGGAGGAGGGGTGAGGGAGGGGGAGACGACTGATTGTGAGCGACTGGGCGAGTCTCACTCTAGACAAATTCAAAGTACAAGAACAGCTCAGACGAGCTCATCGGGGAGACTTGGATGTAGTTAGTCCGCGGAGACACACACACACGCGCGTCACCTGCTTTGGCTTTTTATTTTAGGGAATTACGGCTGCACGTTTTTTAGTGTATTTATGGTAATGTGCAATGCGTGATGATTGAGTTCAGTTTGGGCCACTTCTGCAAAGGGATGACAGGACTTTCTCTCTGGTCTCGGAGTTTAAGTGCATATGTGATAATTAGTCTTCTCACATTTGCCTATTTAAAATGATCGCCGAAGGTCGCGTGCCGGTGCGACGCACTCGTTTAAGTCATGCGCATCTGTTCTTCTGCAACCGCGACTTGATTTACAGATAACTTTCACATCTCGACTGAGTAAACCGAGACCGCAGTGATGGTTTCAACTCGCGCGTTCTGACCAGCGGAGTAGTTTTGGTCCACTTAACAGGCGAGACAAACCGGACTATGACTTGGTCGAAACTTTGGCGCGCGCTCCCGCGGACGACCCAGTGAGAGGCGTCCGATCACCTTCGACCGAGCGCCGCGGAGGATGCCGGAAAGCCCGTCGAACAACGGCGGCGCCAGAATGCTCGCGCCACCGACTTCCAGCGACGACAGGCGGGTGGAGTTCGTGGCTCTCACCGCCGTCCACACGGAGAGGAGCGAACCGTCCAGCCCGGAGCGCGGACACCCGTCGAACCGCACCGGTCTGCTGGGGACCCCGCTGCCCGGGCCGCCGGGCCCCCGGGCCAACACGTCCGCCTCCAACAAGCGCTACCGAAAGTTGCAAAACTGCCTGTACAACGTGCTGGAAAGACCGAGAGGATGGGCGTTCATCTACCACGCGTTCATGTAAGTGTACATCATCTTCATCTTCTTCTTCTTCTTTTTTTCGTCTGCGTCTTCTTCTTCTTCGTCCTCTTCTTCTTCTTCTTTTTCGTCTGTGTCTTCTTCTTCGTCCTCTTCTTCTTCTTCTTCTTCTTCTTCTTTTTCGTTTGTGTTATCTTCTTCGTCCTCTTCTTCTTCTTCTTCTTCTTCTTCTTTTTCGTCTGCGTCTTCTTCTTCGTCTTCTTCGTCAACCTTGTTAATGAGTGACGAAATAAAGCACGTTTTACAACTTTTTTTAAAAAACGTTTGGACTTTTTTAACGACTAAAAGATGTGTAAAAGCCAGTTATGTAAGTGAGCAAAGAAAAAGTGACTTTAGTTGGCAATCGTGAGTTTAGATTATTATGCGCCAGACGTTTCTTGATGTATTTTCCAATTAACGGAGCAGAGTTGCTCGTGCAGCGCAGTTACATGAAACACATCATCTCAACACGGGGTCTTCTGTTTCCCCCCTCTTTTGAGTGATGATATCATCAGGAGCACCCTGGATGAACAGAATCAGGGCTGACATGTGAAAGGGAATTTAAAAACGTCAGTAAAGTAAGTAAATAATGCCCTGGTAACCTCCCCCCCCCACCCCCTCCTCTTGAATCCATTTAAATTCATTGTTACGTGGTAGCTTTTTGATATGGAGACTAATCTCGCGTTGAACATCACACAGTATTCCTTCACTGACACTTCTCCCGTAGCCGTGTATGAATGTTGGCTCTCCTGATGGGCAGGTGGCACCTCGCATGGTAGCCCCTGGCATCAGCGTATGAAAGGGTGAATGCCATACTGTGTGGAAGCACTTTACAAGCGCAGTCTGTGTACTATTTAAAGTACCCGTGTGCCATATATGCTCCATAATGTATACAGCATGTAAACACTGGAAAAGTATGAGCGGCCCACACTAACATGTGAGCCATGCAGCACTTATTTTTCCAAAACCAAACTGAATATTCATTTGATTGAACGTGAATCCGTGTCAGATTTTACATTTAAATCTCTTGAATAACCTAAAAACAATTGTATGAACGGTAGTGGTGAAAAACTTCCCTCAGTAATTATTTAATGGGCGTCAGTGTATGCCGCTGTCTTTTCAAGCAAAGCCCAGGACAGCTGTGCCCCGGCAGCTGGCGGTTGCATCTGGCATATAATGGACGGAGCATTATGTGTGGGAGCTCCTTGGACCGGGCTGTCCTTTCACCGTGGTTGTTTAGAAAAGAGCAGCGGTCCACCCTGCCAATGCCATCATGTGTTTATACCAGGGAAACCCCACTGCGGAACATCTCGCATGTGTTCTCATCATATTAGTGAGTGGAGATCAGCGGCCGCTATGGCCTCGCTTTTCCCTTCAGCTCTTTCATGTCTCTCAATTTGTTTCTGGCTTTCTTCGGTTCCCACGGGGGGGCCGCGAACACATATAAGTGCACGGACACAGGAGCAAACGCGCTGCTGTGTCTGTGCGTTTCTCATTAAGAGCGTGGCCTTTTGCGGCGTAGTTGTCCCAACACGGGTGACATTCCCCCTGATGTAGCCGGGTGTCGGGGTGGATGGCAGCCATGGCATTTATTGTTATTTCTCCACCAGAGAGGAAGGGCAGGTCCTCTGAGGTGCCCAGATCAGGTTTCAGATGCCTCGGCCTCAAAGACTGAGCCGGCTTTGAAAGTGAGTCGCCTCTCCGATGTCTAAAGTCTTATACCAGCCGTTTAAAAAAAAATCCTCCTTTGACATGATTTATGTTAAGTTCACGTATGCCCAGCTGAGTGTATCATTCCCATGATGCTGTATCATCCTGAGCTGTGCAGTTGCTTTGATTAATTACGCTCGAGGCGCTCGCCATGCTGAGAGCCGTGTACCTACGCGAGGAAAATGAATTGGGAGGAAGTTCAATTAAGGCGGCGTTGATCTATTGTAATTAAATTAAGCCACACACTGCTGCTGCGTAGGGCGCTTTGCAAACTTCCACTGAACCTTTAATTAGTCCTGCGCCGTAATGGGGGGGACTCTTAAACAGATGCGTTGCCTCCAGAGAGCCTCTCGTCGCAGATGTGTGTTGGAGCGTGTTTGGGGAAAAGCGGGTGAAGGAGCTCTCCGATGTAATGTCTCTCCACGGGCGCCCACTTAGGTCCCTCCGCACTCCTCGCCCCTCCTTGGTGCTGTCCCAGCTGCACACGAAGATGCATCCTCAAAGAGACAGTATGCTAATTCGCTTCCTTAGCCGGATGAAGAGACTGAACTAAAAAAAAAAAAAAAAACTAAGAAGAAAGGGGTGGAGCAATTCTAAGTTTGCAGTAACTTGTTAAAAGAGTGTTCCTGGAAACCTACGTTAACAAGAATTCCTCTGGTCTCCAGACCGACCCGTTGCCTAGACGACATGAGAGCATCCGGCGTTTGCCGATGCTCTTGTTCAAACGGTGCGTGAAATGTTCAGTGGCGCTCGTCTTGTTATGGTCCATTCACTCACTCACAGTAAAATAACTCCTGTCACCTTTTGAATCGCTTCTTTTTGTCACCTGCTGTAAAACTACAACATCAGCAGGAGGTATTGGTCTGTTTGTCCGAGCGGGCTGCAGCCAAGCAGCGGCCCGGCAAGAAGGTCTGCATGTGTGTATTCCCGAGGAGCTGTCGTCAAGGACGGCCTCTAATGATTATTTTCATGATCAAAAATAACAACAATTATTTTTCTTGAATCATCGTTTAGTGTACGAAAAGTGTCAAATGGTGATAATTATGGTTCCCCAGAGGAAAGGGTGCAATATGAAAAACTTTACGTCTACGATGACATCAAACAGACAAACCGCCAGAGAGTGATTGATTGGAATTTTCTCTTACCCGTTGCTCTAAATGATTGATCAAATAATCGCTGCGGCCGCTTTACTGTTGGTGCTCTGCTCTGTGCGTCCGCAAACCTTTCCCCGATGAGCGACAACATTCAGAGGGATTGATTTCAATGTTTCCCCTCACCTCTGACCCCTCCCCCACCAAAGCCAGTGCCACATATAGACATCACATGAGGCTCCCATTTTTTTTTTTGCCCGTAAGCTGGGGGTCCTTTGGGGGCGGTCGAACTCCAGTCCAACATTACTCCCCAATCAGGTCGCAGTGCATTGTGCCAGCTAATGAAAACCCACCACGCCATGTCTCGATCTTGGCTGTCGCACCCCCATCTTAGTCCCTTAGCCCCCCCCCCCCCCCCGAACACTGCACAATATTCAGAAATAGTGCACGTGGACGCACAGGAAAATGAAGGATCGAGCACAGATCAGCCGGAGTGATTGATGGTTCTAAGGAGGGTGAAAATATACCGGTCATGTATTATTTAGGGTTTCAGACATGACCTCGAGCATAAGAATTAGTGACGTGGAGAGAAATGTCTTGTTACGAGGAGCTCTGTGCTCGCCCTCCCGGCGGGCTGGTTGGGAGGTTTTGGAGAAACTACAGCTCTAGAGGGCTTTCTTTCCTTTTGATGACGCGCTAAATAATATGCGTTTACCAGAGAAGAAGTACATAACAGAAAGACTTTCACGAGTTGCATTAAAGAAAAAGTGTTGTTGGAGCTTTATCCAAACCGGGGACAAGAAGTGAGAATATCTTCAGGATTGCAACGTCAATATTCAAAACCACTTTGTGGCGAGCTGCGCATTTGGTTGTAAAACATCTGCAGTACTTGCAGGAATAACATCCCTACCTGGAATCTGAACAGTAGCCTCACAAAATAAACCTCTCGTGAATCTTTGCCCAGCTGCAGATTAGAGTCGCGTGACGTGTGGGAATCCCTTCACTTTAACCTTCTATGGCACGAGCGATGGTTTCTGTTTATGAAAGCCTAAAGCCACATTATTTATAGATGTGGAGGGAGATACCCACAACAAGGCAAGCACAGCCGAAGCCTTCTGCTGATAGTTTGATTGAGCGACTGTACATACTGTAGGTGGTCATGGTTAACTCTTGCTGCTGCACACTAAATACACTTTGCAATCTTTGCAGAAGATGCGTTCTGAAACTGTGGCCGTACGCTGAATGTGTTTCCTCTATCCTTGCACTTTTCCCACCCACTGTACACGGTTTAACTCAGCTGTTCTACTTTCTCACCTCAGTCATGCAAATAGTCTGGTCCGCTTTTTCCAGATTTTCAACCACGTGACTCAAAGCCGACTAAAATCCATCGCTTTGATATCCTTCCAAAAAAAAAGCCCAAACACTGAGGGATTTGGTGATGAAGGTTTTTTTTAATTATTGATGTCAGTGTGTCAGAAAAAAAGCTTTCTGTTTTGTCGTTTGTTCCTCAGTCCACGCATGAATGTGTTTTTATTGATGACTCAGAAAATAAGGGGGTAGTGGAGCAAGAGGTGGCGCAATAAATCGGTGAAGGGTGAAAGCCACTCGGCACATTGTGCGCGGCTTCTAACCGGCTCAGGACTGCAGATTGGAGGCTTGTTGTTCAATTACCGCGGCTGTTTTTTTTTTAATCTGTTCACCTCAGCGGGTCGTGTAAATTCTGCTCCATTAAGAATCCTTTATGGCCCAAACGCCTTCGCTCTCCGTCAGTCTCTCTCTCTCTCTCTCTCCTCCATCCTTCCCTCCATCCCTTCCTGCTGAGCGGGAATGTAATCTCTCTTTTGTTTAATTGACTTCCCCTCCCTGCACGGCACTCTTATCTCTTCCCCTTTCTTCCTCTCCGTCCTTATTGGCTGCTCATGTCTTTTCTTAGAAGGGCTCTCTGTGTGTGTGTGTGTGTGTGTGTGTGTGTGTGTGTGTGTGTGTGTGTGATAAGTAAGATGAGCCATGCGTTGAAAACATGGCAGATGGACAAATAAGAAAATAGAAAAATAAGTATTAATGGTTGAATGCATAAGTTACAGGTTAGTAAATCTAGCAAAAAAATGATTTACTGTAAACTATTATTGGTCTTAGACACTTCTTAAATGTGACTGAATTTTTATGATATGTGGTAGTTTATTGATTTGGCTTGAAAGTTAT